ACAATGCGCACAAAACGCGACCAACCAAATAAAACAAAACACACAAACAAACGGAAGGACGGACGGCCAAACAAGCAACAAACAAAAACGCGACAACACACAACACACAACTAATAAAGACGGCAAACTCACCACAAACACGGTCACAGCAACAGCCACGATGACAAAAGAAGCGATTCCCTCGACTGCGGCAACAAGTCCAATTGCTACAGAGAAACGGTCTGCTCCATCATAGCCTCGGCAGGGGCAATGTAACAATAAGGCGTGCGCCAGATGCAACTGCGTTTGCGGTCGCAAGCAACAAACACCCAATCCTGTCCAACAAGCATCTGCCACGGATTCTTACAGTTTCATTTACTCTGAACAAGTTGGAAAACAACAGCAATCCTCCAACACAAAAGTCTCAAGTGTAAATTGCCAACTGAGATCCTGTGAACCCAGGACCCGTCAAAGGACCAGGCCTCCCCCAAATGGTTCAAACCAGGCCATGGGTGATATATAGTGTACAACTTCCACATCATTGGCAATGTATGAGGTTGTTGTCCTTTTGAAAATAGCCTCATCAATGTTGGTTGACCAGCCAATGCATGAGTTGCTCACAATACCCAGAGGTTCATCCCCTCACCGATCTCCGCTTTCCAGGGACGATGCTCTGAGGTCCCGGCTGTAGATCAAACGCCGCTGCTCACCTGCCTCATGCGCTGCTGCGGTGAGGAGCCAGGCGAAAGCGGCGGCGGCCATGGCAAAAGGCCCCAGTGGCCCAGGGCCGGGAGGAGGGGCCTCAACCCCTGGTAGAATGCATTAGAATGCAATGGTTTACCCTGAGGCTGGACCGAGGTTGAGGCAGGACCTTGCAATCTACACTGTGTACAGAACCTTCGGAAATGCCTACGTGAAACTTGCCCGTCGGGAACGGAAAGGGCTAACACAGGGTTGTCACGATCAAGTGCCAAGCATAACTTCAAGCATACGAAACACATGTTGCTCATGCTTCTCTTCCCTGCTTGTCCTGGCACTTGCTGAGCTGTGATCTGTTCAGCGCAAGCGAAATGCCGTGGGTGTTGGCCAGTTTTGCACATCCAAATGGATCCACAGCCGCTAGTGATCAGCCACGTTGCCAGCGATGTCGACGAATGGCATTCTATGGTCATTGCTCAGGAACAAGGTCAACTTTTATAACTGAAATACATGTAAATTATAGCAATAACCTGTTTTTTTTTTTTTTTTTTTTTATATGTACATATATATATATATGTATATTATATTTTTCCAGCACGGTCTTTCATGACAAGCACACCTCGCCGGAAAATGTATGAAAAACAAAACTATGCGCAAGAAACTCAAGGAAAGCGCACAAACACACAAACACACACGGAAAGCTGAGAAAACGTCCGCTGCAACAAGGCAAATGTGCTGAAGACATCCTTGCTATTGGCGGTATCAGCATCTTGCGCAACCCTAACCCCCCCCCCCCAGAAAGCGCCACAGGCGAAAAGTCGACACTAGTCAATTCATGCAGCCCATCGCACCAAAACAAAAACAAAAAAAACAAAAACAAAAAAACTGGAGCTTCCGCCATGTCCACTACAACATGTCTGCTGGTGGTAGCCCAATTGCAAGCAAAGCAGTCAGAACAATATCAAACTCCACGATCATTATACCTTCTGGATACGCACCATCAGGAACCCCTTGAAGCCTCCCTTCCTGACAGGAGTGGAAGCAAGAAACTCAGGTAACCAGCCTGGCCCGATGGATTTCTCTCCGGTCGGTGGCTCATGCCTCTCTCATCGCAGCCGAGGCCAGTGCGCAGCGCTTCACGTCCAACTTGCCTCGGGCATTCCTGGGCTCGATCTGTCAGACTGGCCATCGCCAACTTTGGGTGGGGCTTTGGGATGTCATCAAAACCTCTTTGCGGAGGAAAATGTGCTGCAATTTCTTGCGTAGCGCTGGTACCACCCGATGAATCTGACGACTGGGACATCTGCGAGGAATAGCTTTCCATGGCCAGCCGATGGGCGCCAATTGTCAACATGGGGGCAAAACGATGATAAAGACAGGGGGGGGGAATCCTGACCGCTTGGTCATTGAATTCTCCTGAAGGGGCAGGCCGTATGCTGGCCAAAATGAGCACAATAGTTCTGCCTGACAGTTCCTGGATCACCACGGTGAAGACCGCCTAGAAACCATGCATTGGTGCGGCCAATGCAGGTGAAGCCCCATAGAAATCTGGAGACCCTTTACTTTCTATGATGCCGCCAACTTAACCCTTGCTACTGATAGGCATCTCGGCTCATCCATGTGTCATACACGTCCCAAGCCTGACCTCTGCTTTGACTCTCGCCCCGTCGGTTAGGCCCTGAGGCCTCCCGGGCCCCGGGCGGCTGCTCCGAGTGATTATACAGGGAGCCCAGGCCTGGCAAATGGATTCACATAGATGGATTTCCCCACGAGCCTTGGCTTTCTGATGGATCCTGGAGGAAACATAGAACATACAACTGAGCTCTTTACAATGACTGGGCCAACGCCAAACAGCCTGGCAGTCGGAGAAACCATTTTGAGGCCATCGGCAAACGCCCACATGGACCTCCACATGTCGACAACGCAGCGCCGCCACATGCACCCAGTACATCCCATTGCGAGCTCGCCCTTGAAACAACAAATCACCGCCACAAGGCTATCAATATGGAGCTCATTCCAAGCGGTTGCAAGAAGCAAGCCCCCGTCACACACCTCTAGGTGATGCATGGTACGAACGGATACTTGGGGTGTGAACAAATGTCTGGCATCGTGCACGCAAGCGGCTCAATCCAAGGACCTAAAACAACTGCGGGCAAAGCAACCTGCCCGCCACTCCAAATGTTCCCAGCTTGGTTCTGAGCCGCAAAGATCTGGCCTAGAGGCAAGAAGTAATCCTTGCTGTTCTCGTCGTCCTTGAGGCCTTAAGCCGCAACACTCTCTACGTAGTCTAGTGTTGTCTTACCCTCCCTGACTCCACATGTGGAAGGAACCGCACACGAGCCTGGCCAAGGATCTGCTAAGCGATGTTTGCCCAAGTTGAAAGTGCCTTTCATGGTGTCGGTGGTGCTCATTCCCCCGTACTTCTATAAGCTTTGAGGGTGTCAACGCAAGAAGCAGCTGCCCAGAAGCAGGAATCTTGAGAGAGCCACCTCGCATGGATATTGCTTTTTGCCAGAGCTATATATTTGACCGGTTGCATCTAGGAATCCTTGTGGACAGGTTTCAACAGCAAGCCAAAGGGCAGCGGCCAATGTTGAGATGGTTCCCCTTTTCCAGAAAACCTCTTCCATTTCTTGGTTGGAAGGCCAATGTTAGAGAATACCCCGACAAAGGGGCTCCCCTTCCACATAAAGAGGCACATGTAATCTCTCCCCCCCAAGTACAAATGTCGCCTGAGGTGCTTGTTGAACACCCCGGAATTAGAATGGGCAAATCCTAAACCAATACCACCCACCGACCTCTCCTCCAATCGTATTAGGGGACCCTCTGCCCGGACCACACATGACCAGACCTACACAAAGTTAAAAACATGGAATTGGCAACCCAAATGTGGAACAGGGCTCCCTGATACTAAAAAATGATTCTCCCCAGCAGATGTGTTCGATAGGGAGGGAGGGAAGGATTTTCTCAAGAGAGGCCGTTTTATTATTAGCCGGACTGGATTCGCTGGTACAAGTACCCATTTCCACTTGCGCCCCAGGAGCCCTGGGCGCACTGCCCCAACGATAGCTAAACCTGCCACTTGCAACTCATGCTCAGGTCTCACAATTATCATACATCACATGTGAGGAAAGCAGTCCTCAGCAAACGGTCTGAGATTCAGCAGGTTTGGCTGAACAAGTCCACTCAGACCTTCCGGAGCTGTTTGCAGCTGACTGGGAGTGGATACCCCCGCTCGCTCCTGTCGAGTCATGGCTCATTGAATGACAAAAGTCCAAGGTTTCAATGTGAAAATGCACATGATGGAAATCGGCATTTGAGGCGAAATACCACCCAAGCCCTCGCTTGAACTGTTGAGCTGATGCACTACTAACCTGGCCGGCTTGGCATCGCTTCCGCTGCACCGGCATCCTGGGAGTCAAGTCTCGTGACAGAACAGCGGCACAGCCAGACCTTTCCCTGCGCTCTCAGACCTTGACATCGGGGCCATGCCTTCCTTCCAGCTCCGCCACAGTCGGCACTGACTAGTGAACGACGCCTGGCCTCACGTTGCCTCCCCACTGAACAATTAAATAATTAAGCAGCTTCATAGCCTTGCTGACTATCCCTTCATCCTTGTCCTTACCCCCTATCGAGGTCCAAACAAACATGCCCCGTCAGTGAACAACTTAACCTCTGATCTCGCGAGCCTACAGCGATCCCGGGCAACCGGTCCATCACTACCGCTGGGCAGCTTTCCAGCAGCTGGCCTGCCTCCAAGTCCTGGCCACTTTGACTTGACATCCCCATTATTGGTTCTTGGAGAGGGAACACCATACCCGTAAGGATCTAACGAGGAATCGTTGTACAAGTTGGGAGTGGGACCTGAGCAGCTTCTTAAATGCCCTTCAGCCCGACATGCTGAAACACGCTGCAGTCTTGTTGTTATGGCTACACTGTGACACCCTGCTTGCCAGCCAAACACAGTCCGGTCCTTGGTCGTAAACACACCGCGGCCGTGGATGCTGGACTCCTCCCCGTCGGAACAGAGCGGCTGTGACAAGCAGCCAAATGGCCGGCTCAGCAAGGGTCCTGCCTCTTGAGGGGCGGGGAGCACCCTCACTAGCCCTCACCAACGAAAACCTGGAACATCCTGGAACCTCACTGTGATAGGCATCAACTTTATAACTAACTCTTAATCGCTGCTAGGCAGGAACCCACTTTCAATGAACAAAGTATGCAAGCTGAATGTGTCTCCATGAGATGAGGCGCTTGTTTCACTTTTCACGCGCTATGTCGCCAGGTCCGTGGCGAAGCTTCATCTCGGCAAGAGGCCTCTGCCTCTACCAGTACGCCTTTGGCACACAGGGGCTGCTCTTGGAGGGCGCGAAAGCCATGTAATTGGCCTTTGCCTTGGAGGGGATCTGCGAAATCACGCTGGAAGCCTTCGAAAAGGGCGCTTGTTGCACAGGCTGCTGGCTCGAGGGCGCTGGGGGAGGCCGTATGCTGCTAAAATGCTTGGCAGGTACCACTTGCGGGCCGGACACTGGTGCTGCCGCTGGTTCTGCCGCTGGCCCTGGTGGTGCCGATGCCGCCAGTTGCACTGGTGCCTTTGCCGGTGCTGCGGGCAGCGCAGCTGGAAACGTGGCAACTGGCGCAGCCGCCTGGTGAGGACTCACCTCGCCGACGGCTGCCTGTTGCTGCAGCAACTGGTACATAGCCGAGATCTGCGACTGCATCTGCATGGACTGTGAGATCTGTCCCAACAAAGCATTTGCTTCAAGAGCTGAGGCAGGAGATGCCAGGCTCGCAGCAGCCACAGCGTGCGCGGCCTGTGCTGCAGCGTGGGCAGCAGCGAGCTGCTTCGCCGCGTGAGCAACGGAAGCATTTGCTGAGGCTCTGCCACGCGCAGTGGCAGGAGCTGACAAGTGGGAAGTGCTAGCCTGGGCAGTGGCTGAAAGTGCAGAGGCATAGTCAAAGGCAGAAAGCCCTGCAACTGGCACAGTGCCAGCTTGTGAGGCATAATCAGGGGCAGTGGCAGTAAACGCTGCAACTGGGGCAGCGCTAGCCTGAGTAGCTGCAGCCAGTGCTGAGGCATAATCAGGCGGTGCGGCCTGAAACGCAGGAGCAGTGCTGGCCTGGGCAGCAGCAGCGAGTGTTGAGGCATAGTCCGGGGCCGCCAGTGCTGCAACGGGAGCACTAGCCGGGGTGGTTGCACGGGCTGCTGGAAGCACTGCCAGCACTGCAGGGGCCTGGCTGCCCTGGGCAGCTGTGGCTGCATGATTCCCGAGGGCAGGAAGCGCTGCGACGGGAGCTGAAGCAGCTTCTGGAGCCGCCACAGCAGGTGATCGCCATCCGTTGGATGTTGGCTTGCTGATATCGAGTTTCACATTTGCATCCTGCGAGTTGGTTGCGTTGTCTGGCGCGTCTGCCGACTCTTCCTCCGCTTTGCTCACAGGAGTTTTGAGATTCACAACAAGGGGCTTGCCCCTCTGGCGCGTCCAAGGGTGAGGCTCCTCTTTGGCCTTTGCCTCCTCCTTCCTGTCGGTCGGCAACTTCAGCTGTTCTAGCCTTAGGCTGCAGCATTGGCCACCCATGGCCACCCACTAATTACCCCCATGTCGATGCATGTCTGGTACTACAAAGCCAATGCAAACCGGTCGAAAAGAGCGAATGTAACCACAACTCTTTGACAAGTTCTGGAAATGCAGCCAAGAGGCAAGATTCGCTCCTTCACCATGGCAATGCGAGCCTCCCGAAGCTCCTTGGCTCGAGCAAACTCTTGCCTCTCCTGTTCTGAGAGGATACGCTCCTCTTGGACTTCCGGCTGGTGCTTTTCATTTGCAATGGATGTCTGCTGCTGAATGCCTTGCTCATGGTTCGCACCCCTTTTTCTGAGCTCCTGGTCTTTGGCTCTTGCCTGCTCTCTTGCCTGGGCCTCTGCCCTTGCCTTGGCTTCCTCTCGTGCTTTCTCCTCCTCTCTTGCTTTTGCCTCTTCTCTTGCCTTGGCCTCTGCTCTTGCCTTGGCCTCTCTATTTGCTTTGGCCTCTTCTCTTGCCTTGGCCTCCTCTTTTGCTTTGGCCTCTTCTCTTGCCTTTGCCTCTTCTTTTGCTTTGGCCTCTTCTCTTGCCTTGGCCTCTTCTTTTGCTTTGGCCTCTTCTCTCGCTTTGGCCTCCTCTTTTGCCTTGGCCTCCCTCGCTTTGGCCTCCTCTCTTGCCTTGGCCTCCCTCGCTTTGGCCTCCTCTCTTGCTTTGGCAGCCTCTCGTGCTTTGGCCTCCCTTGTCTTGGCATCTTCCTTTGCCTTTGCTTCCTTTGCCTTTGTTGCCTCTTTTGCCTTGGTCTCTTTCCCTTTGACCTCCTCCTTCTTGCGTTCCTCTTCCCCCTCGTCAGTCCTCCTTTTCTTCCAATGCCTCCCCTCCACCTTTCCATCCGGCTTCTCATTCGCCTTGTCCAGGCGCTGGCGCTTCGTAGGATCAACACCCTGCTCCTGCGAAGCCAACCCGAACAAATGACACAACATGGACTGGACTTTCTCGATTGACACGCCCTGGGGATCAACTTGCCAGCCAGCCAGAACACACACTTGCCGTCTACAAATTGGAACTGTGACTGGGTGGGTTGTTGGGGGCAATTGGAGTCCCCATCGTCCCAGCAAAGGTGTTGTGGCAGCAAGTTCAGCTGCTCCTGTGGCCTCTTGCCCTTCACTTCGTTGCTCTTCTCTGGTGCTTTTGCCGAGATCTGGACGCCTTTGGCTGAGGCGCTCGACATCTGGACGCCTTTGGCTGAGGCGCTCTTATCCACTCGATCGGAGTCAGCCGTCGCCTTGGCAGAGTGCGGGGAGTCCGCCATCTCCCCCTCAATCACCTCCTCGATCTCTGCATCTACGACACCTCCTTGCTGCTTCCTTTCTTTTGCGTCTTCACCCTCTTCCACGTCCTCATTGACACATGCTCTGGCAACAAGCAGCAGCATAGCCAATCACGCTTGTTTTGGCCTCTGGTCTTTGGACATATTTGGATGCTCGCTCATCAGAACATCATCGCGGCCTAGCTACAGACATGGCAGCTGCCGCCCTAGTAGTGAAAGACACCGCAAGCTACAAGTACATCAGCCCAGTAAGTTGGCTCCATCTGCATCAAATCAGAAAAGCGCACTGAATGCTCAGCATGATGCCAACATAAACTGGGCAAAGCTAGAAGGTACATCTAATTTGAAGAAACCTCAAGAGAATCAGGACATGCTTACGCTGGTGCAGCCACCAAGTTCAGCCAAAAAAACATTAGCTGGACCTGCCTTTTCACTACCCATCACGTTGCCAATCCCAGCGTCCTCCTTGCGCTTCAGCACGTCTATGAGCGACTCAGCGTGGGGACCTGAGATCAAACTCATAAACCTGCGCAAGGCGTGAAAAGCGCGTGAGAACCTGCTTTATACACATTCACGCCTGAAGGCGAGAGAGTGTTGGCCTGTGTTGGCCTCCTGCACGCCCATCATGCGCGAAACACTTTGGAGCTGCTCTTGAAGTCTTGGGCTCTCCAGCAAGCAGAAGCCGTCGCTCGCTTCATCATGATCAACAAGCATGCTTTTGCATAGGCTCACATTGTATCTCTATATAGTACAAAGGCGAGCGGTTGTGGCAGAGGGGTATGGGCATGAGCTTGAGGTTTGCAATTTCACAAGCTTCCCGCCCTCAAGCATGCAGTTGCTGTTGAATTTCTGTGTTGCAGCAGGATTTTCTATTGGACATCAAAACGTTGAAGCGGCCACCAGCTTGGGAGTCGAAAGGGCAAGGTCAGGCCCTCATTGGTCAGCCCTTCAGCACAGGCACGTTTGCCCGGCTCACCCAGCATCAGTGCCAGCACATCCTGCGCAGCCAGGCGTTTGGGAAGCTGTACTCGGGGAGGGGAATGCCAACCAATTGCACCCACTGGATTTGCAAAAGGATCCACTACCATCTGATGAATCCCTTGGTGGGGGCCACTGCCCTGGTTCAAAACAGTTCTAAGGCTCATATTCGCCCACTGCATAAAATGTGCCTGTTCAAGACTCGGCCCCTTCAGCCTCAAGCGCCAACAGGAAAGCACACACGGCAGGGGCGCGCCGGCTGGCCCTACAGTGCATGGGTGCATTTCGTCCGTTGGGATGTCCATCAACCCGTACATGGAAAACTGGTTGGCGAATCGGCATGGACGCCGTCTCCTTGGAGAACCCTAACTTGCCATCCAACTTCTCGCCCTTCTCCACACCCATGAGCCGCTGCACCGCCAAGCGTGCCGCCTGCATCCCAGAGGTCTGCAGCTGAACCTCACCGAGACAGGCCCGCCCCGGACCTCCGGCCATTTCGGCTCATGAGTCATGAAGCTTTGTATTTGACTTTGGGACTCTGCTCTTTTTTTCTTTTTGCTTTTTTGTTTCTTTCTTTCTCTCTCTCTCTCTCTCTCTAGGCATGATAGCGTACGAAGTCGACTCCTTCTCCTGATTCTGCAGCCAATGCTGCTCACTACTATGGGATTTAGGACTAGAAAGACATTTTAGGAGTAGGGTTTAGGAATAGAAATAGGACTTAGGATTATAATTTAGGAATAGGATTAGGATTTAGGAGTAGGATTAGGATTTAGGAATACCTGTAAATCTTAGATGCAAACCGAGGGTTCCAACCTGTTTCGCACAGACTTTGAGACGAACCAGGAATGCTTACGAGGCGGCAGGCTGACAAACAACGACGGACCATGAAAGCCTTCCCTCGACAATGGACAATGCTCGTGTAGCCCCATCCCATTGAAAACGGAGTGCTTGTGATTCCCACCTGCACGTTACGCATGCTTACAGTGTGTGTGGTATCGCATAAGCCCTCCGAGGAACAAATGCCTGGCACACGCCAGAATCGGCACGTCACCTTGGCAAGTGTTTGTTTGTATGCCGTCCAAGCGGCCGTCAGCACGCCGAAAGAGAAGACGTCAAAGGAGTGGGCCGGGTAAGCAAAGTTTACAAAGTTCTCCCTGGCCTTGACCTCAACGATTGACACAACCACTGGAGTTGCAACGCCAGCCAACAGCTGCTCTCTTCTCTCTCCCATGGCTTGGCTGACCTTTCATATGTGCCAACAAAACGGGCCCTTGGCTTCTACAACGCGCAACGGTCATGTGATGCAAGATGGGACTCTTTCGTTAGAACCGGTCCCCTGAAATGAAGGAACATGCGTGGAGCAGTATGCCAACTACGTTGTAAACAGGCATGCATCGTGCCTTCTGTGTTTCGTGGTCTCTTGAGATCCCAACAAGCAACCTAAGCGCCCAACCTCCGGCGGGGCCCAGTCAAAGCGCTTCTTCTCCTCTTCCTTCCAATTGCACCGTACCACTGCGCTCTTGTTGCGGCACTGGTGGTTCTCCGCCAGGATGGTGTGACCCAAGTCGATCACGCGCACCCGGATGGTGGACCTCCGCTCCGAGACCATCAGGTTCGTGGTGCGGAAGTCCCGGTGGATCAGGCCGTTGTCCACCAAGTAAAGCAACGCCTCGGCGGCCTGGCTAACGATGGACTCCTTCTCCTCTTGGCTAAGATGCGCCTCGTCCTTCCTGAGCGGGATTCGCAAACTGTCTGCCAGAAAAAAGAAGGGGTGATTCAAACGAAAAACATGAGAAACTATGCGCAAGTTCAACCCCGCAATCCGAGATTCAATGGCTGGTCCCGCGACCAACCGAGTGCCGAATGCAACGTCCTCCCTGGCACATACTCCATGGCCACATAGGGATTCCTTGGTGAGAGCCATGCCAAGAAGCGGCAACAGATTGCACGCTTGGCGCGTGCAAACAAGCTATCACAGCCAAGGCAAGCTTGGACTAAACACCCTAAAAGTCGCTTATGGCAAACACCCTGGTGCGAAGCTCCATTCTTTGCGTACTTTTCTCATTGCCCACTCTGGGGCAATGCTGAACATGGCCTGGCGCCACGCGCAGCGCCTAGCGGCCTAGCTCTTCGCACCCGAGGCGCCAAGAGATCTCTACCGAGGCGCTGGGGCATGGGCTCGGAGGGCCGAAATTTGTCCCAGCGGAAGTCCGGGGCCTCGAAGGTGCCCCGCTCCAAGTCGAAGTCCAGGTCCCGGCTCCAGCGGCCCGTGTGGTCCTGCGGTGCGGAAAGGTGCGACCCTTGGCGATGTGACTCGTTCCATTTGCGACAAGTCCCAACCTGCCAGAAGTTCAAACGTGGGGGTGTGAGCTGGGGGGAGCAGAAGGACGTGCATGAGAAGTGGAATGTGAAGAAACAGCAGGGACTTGCCTTGCATCTTAACCACCTCAGCGCCACCAATTCCCCCAACAGCGGCTTCAAAACAGATCACGAGGAATCAAAGGACATGAATCCATTGGCTTGTCATGCAACCTGCTCCAAACAAATTAGTTTGCTGCCCTTCCAGCTGGTCGCACCTCCAAGTACCGGGCGAAGAGAGACGCCTTCTGCGGGGAATACTTCTTGTAGCTGCTATTGTGAAGCCTTTGGATCGACCACTGCGCTTCTCGGTGCAAGATGAAGGCGCTTCGAAGTTTGGCAGTGGGCTTGACGTCCTGACGCGTTGAGGGGCTCCATGGCACAGCTGTACTGGAAGTCTTGTGCGCGTGCTCCCCTTCGATGTGACTTAGCATGACCGGGGCTGTCTAGAAAACCACTGATACGTGCGGGGACCCTGTGGTTTAAGCGGTTTCAGCAGATCTTGCATGCTCAGATCGTGCGGCACCAAACCAGGCAGGGGTTGGAGCCTGCGAGACGTTGGCTGGGCATGAAGTCGATTTTCCATGATTTCATTCAATCAGGCCCCGCCCGCCATCCTCCAAAGTCTCAACTATCGCGGCGCATGCCCAAACTAGCGCCCATTCAAGATGTCTGAATCAGAACATTTGCCTGTACACAGCCATGTTGGAGCCTCCGAATGTTGCGACTATCACCTTGAAATGACCGCATTCGACATAATTACTGCTGGCCATTCACAGGAACCAAACGGACACCACCCTATTTGGATCGTCCAATTTGAGACCAACCCGCCCGGTCTGTTCGGTCCTTGGCCAGCTTACACACCTTGATGGCCACGTCCCCCTTGAGCTTTCCCGAGGCATCCGCGGCTCGGTACACCACCCCCAGGCCGCCCTCCCCGAGCTTCCCGCGGTACATCCACCGCCCGGTCTTCCGCTTGGAGTCGTAGGCGTCTGGCAACCCAGAGCCATGGGGATACACCGTGAGAACCACCTCAGCGCCGGCCAAGTAGCTGAGCAAGGTGAAGTTTGCTCGCTTCATGGGCTGAGATAACACATGGGCTGAGGGGCAGGTCACTGGAATCCGTTGTCACTTTGCCAGAAAGAAAGTGGACTGACAAATGAGCCTGATGTGAGATTCACCGCTCATCAGCGACAAAAACGTGTGTTTTGTTGTGAGAAAAACTCATTCGCATCATCACGTGTTCCAGCGTGAGTCCTAAAGCATTCGCGTGCGTCAAGAGGGCGCAGTAAGTCACAAAGACCAGACTGCGCAAGAGGATGAAGGAACAGCAGGCATAGCCCAAGCTTGGTGGGCGATCAGCGCAGGGCAAACAAGTACTGCATCCCAACTGCACTCTTTGCAGAACCCAGAGGAACTAGTGCTGTGAATGTTTGGCTTCCAGCCAGCTCTTGGTCATCCAGAATTGCATTTGCCTTGCGGACCTATTGGACTGGGTAGCTCAGGACAAAGAAGATGCAAACACCTCAGAAAGTCCTGGGTAGGGCATGCAAAGGTGGTCGGGCTTTGTGGGGGGCACTGGAATGCTTGGTGAAATGCATCACTCTTTGCGAATCTACCCCATCCCCATATACCATCAGTGGGAAGCTTGGCGCAAAACCTCCTTGCGGGTTGCATCAGAACAGCGTGCCAAGTCGCTGCCTCCTCCTGGGCTTTGCAGTTGAAAGGCAACACGATCTGCGAGACCCGCAGCAGCGCCTGGGGAATTGCTCCACGTTTTGGGGGCTCGGTGTAGGGCGGGCTATGGGGGGATTGACCCTCCCACTACGGATTGAGGTAGCTTCCATGAATCGAATTGGGTGTCGCCTGGCCTTCCCTGTGGTTTCCCTTTACAGCCTCCAAAACGGGTCGCCATTGCTGTGGGCAAGTACCTCATATCCTGACGTCTTGCCAGCCTTGCTCTCCTTCCGCACCGGAAGCCACTCGCTGCCAGCGGAGACCCCCGTGCCGTTGGTGGAAACGTCCTCGATAAACAGCTCCCAGGTGCCGTCCTCCTTTTTCCTCAAAAAAACTGAACATGGCTGCCCTTTTCACAAATCTGGTTTGCCCCCCCCCCCGCCAATATTTAGTAATAGGGGGGTCTGTGTTCAGTAGTAGGGGGAAGGGATTGATCGCTTCTGCAATGCCAAAGCAGGATTCCTATCCCCATAGCTACTTGCATTTTCCTAGGGATGAACTGGCCCTAAGCCCCCGATTTTCCACAACCATAGAAGTGAACAAGCCAGACTTTGGGGGATCCGGGCCAAAGCTGGGCAGCTGGGTCTACTGAAGACCGTCCTCAAACATGTGCGAGTAAAGCAGCCAGGATTTGTAGTCCATCTTGACCCTGACCCTACCCTCAAGCGATCCGCAAGGAAACATGATGCTTCAGCCTGTCCAAGAAGTGCCCATCCAAGTGACAAAGTGGTTTCTTCGACTTCTTCTTCAACGCATCGCTTGGGGCGGTTTTCTCGCGTTTTCAAGCCATCTTCCCGAGGAATCAGGTGGTTGGTTACCTTGGGGGAAAACCCAGGCACGGGTGGAAATCACTTCTACCAAGCCGCTGGTGTCGCAGCACGCAGTGGCGCCCGGACACGCCCCGGCTGGGCAGAACCACGTCGCAGTCTGCTGCGCGGCCCAAAACCACCGCACCGTTCGGGCCAAGGACAAACCTCGCAACTCTCAGCTCGCCGGCGCCGAGAAAAATGTTCTGCGTGGCTTCCCAATTCAATTGCGCGAAGCATGTGTTCTGACTGTACGCTGCTCCACCTACACAATTTCTTGCATGAGTTGATTAGGTTCCAAGGAGTCGGTCGGTCTTGGCAGCTCGTAAGCCCACAGCGAGTTAAGACTCAAGCTTTTGGTAGCGAAGGGGCATTCTACATGATATGCAACGGTGAGCCAACATTTGGGGAGCCCCCTGGTACGAATCGCCCAGATTGCCTTGGGGAACCACTTGCAGCACAAGGGCCTAGCTTGAGCCTAGCTCACGATGTTGCAAGCCGAGTTCCCACCACACGACACAAGCTGAGGCGCTGCCACTGTTCAACTCCTCTGGTGATGGCGACCACCTTTGCCACGGCCTTTCCATCGTCATTCATCCCATTCTCCCAGGGTCAAACAGGCCCTGGGGTGAATGCGGCGAGCACAAAGGATAAAAGCCCGCACTTTGGATATATTTGGATAGGTACGCTTGGCGCTGAGTGAGTTTTGCTTGGGTTGGTGTCATGCTCTGTCTAGCTGTTGAGGCATGCAGTGGCATTGGACTGCTACTTGCCTTGCTAACGAGATGGCTGACACCATGAGGCATTTTGCACATGGTTCCCGCGGCCCTCCCAGCAGGAACAAAAACCTGAGCCATAAGCGGCAAATGTCGGGCTTGTCCAAGGAGCGAAGCTGCTGCAGAGCGCTGAGCTACAAACTTGCCAATGAACTACTTTAATCTACTTTGTGTTGTGACGTTCCATGTCCAATGCGCTAAGCTTCCACTTTCATACCCCAAGAAAGCCCAGCTCAGTGCATCACAACTGCGGCCCATGTCCTGAGCCAACCAAGTGGCGTGAAAGCACGGGCCCCTACGCCAGACTCGCCAAAAACTCCCCAAAAAAGCTGCCTGGCGAAAACCGGCGAAAAAAACCCGGCAGTTAGGCCCCTTCCCCCCCTTCCCCCGGCTCCCCGTGCAGGATGAAGCCGCTCTGCTCCAGCTTCCCAGGCCTCGCCATTCGTGGCTTACGCACGGGTCCTTGTCAGACGGCACCAAAAAGAGCGACACGTGGCAACACAAGCCAGGAGATGAATGGAGCAGCAGCCGTGGGTTGTGAGTTTGCGCCGGTTAAAACGGCCAGTAGTACAATCAGACATCCCCTCATCAAGCAAAACAGTACACACATGATTAAAAGCACGTGCAGCAGTTGCTCGCCGTTTTGGTCCATCACTCCGCCGCTTTCTCTACTTCAAGCTTGCGACTCAGCAAGGAGGGCCAAAGTCGGGCCAAGCAGAAGACGGAGAGCATGGCTAGACCTGAAGGCATGACTGGGCGGAGCCACCGAAGTTGGCCATCTCTGTGCGGCTGCCGTGCATGAGTCATGGACAATGTGAGTCAAGCGCGCTGGTCTGCCGGCCCTGGTGTAAAAGCACCGCCGTACGCGCACACACACACACACAGAGAAAACCGGGCGAAGGCTTCCCGCTTCCCACACTATGATGCTTGCCTCGCAGGGCTCTAAAAGCAAACGCGCAGGAGTATGGAAAAAGCTGAGGCTTGGGCGGAAGTACATTGTGAGCATCCTCAGGGCGAGTGGGGACGTGTCAGCACGGTGAAGTTTCACTGAATTCAGCGCCTTCCGACCACTGACGTTCAAAGCCCATGCCCCGGAGGGTTTGGTCGGCCTAATGCAATGGCCCTTGAGGCTGGCTCAGGGCTGGAAACAACACCCGATGAAAGACGGAAAGGACGTTTCCAATGGGCCAGCCTATGGTTTGCGGTCCCAGCAGGCAGCCCATAAGAGTTGCAACAAACAGAAAAGTCATGCAGCCATGCAACGAATGTGCATCTCAGATGAAGCTAGTAACGTGGGGAAGGGGGCCGGACCTCGCCCTGTCAACAATGAGAGATGGTAAGAGCGCATGCCATGAGTGAACGACAGGCACAAAGTGCCGCACAAAATATTATTGTGTTGCTGACCTAGCCACCGATGCTGAAGTCTTGATGCGCAAGGCTAGGTTCACTGGCCACAAAACAGCTTGATGCCGCAATGACCCTTCACAACCTTGCAGGCGCCTCTTCACCACTTCATTTCTTCTTAAGGCCAAGTGGCAACCAAGACAACGCCCCAGGCTGGCCCTTGAGGTTGTGGGCGATAGCGTGCATAACCGGCAGCTGCACCATGACCCCAGCCACGTCCAGTGCTACCAGTGTCTTGAAGTTCTGGCCGCGCGAAGACGTGCCGGTGAGAGCGAGGTGCCAACGGCAATGCAGGGCTAAGTTGACAGAGTTGCAACGAAAAAACAAGAAAAATGGAGAGCTTACGTGGGTTTGATCCCCGGATGTGCCAAGCACTTGCGCATAATGAAAAGTTGACTTGATCAACTTGCAGCTTTGCGCTGAGCGCAAAAAGCGGATCATGCTTGAAACACCGCCATTTCTAGTTGTTGAACCTATATGCTTGCATTCCTTTGGGTATAACAGCAGGCCGCAGCTACCCTCATATGCCCTAATGCCTGACATGCACCCAGTCAGGTTCAGCCCGACCTTGGTTGCCAGCATCGCGCCATCCACCGGGTATTCAAAGACCTTGGGCTGGAACCACACGGCACGTGCTTGATGTGGCCTTTAGTCTGCAAGGCGACTTTAAAAAAATACAAGCCCCCAAAGCGGCTGGGCAACTTGCTGACTTTGCTGGCCTGCAAACCGTGGTCATGTGTTTCCCCTTTTCGTTTCGGCCCTGCAAGGGCCAGTGTGCATCGGACGCCAAAAGCGCGTAAGGCGTAAGAAGTTGACAACGGCAGCTCCAAAAACCAGCTGCACTTGGAAGTGTGTCGGTTGTGCTTTTCCTGCTGGTCGAAGCTAAGCCCCTGATGGGTCCAACAAGATGCGCAATCGCGAAAAGCACGATGTGAGGATTGAAGCTCAAGAGGTCGGTAAAGAAACAGCGCAACAAACTAAGACAACAATGCAAATCCATCTTCACCATCCAACTCCAATGCCCAAGCCCCAGCCCAAGCCTCCACCTTCACCCTGCGACCAAGGCACCAAGGCGGTGACGGTCAACAGCAACACCGGAGCCAAACTCTTCAGCATCTGAAGGACTTCAGGGTCGGCCTTGGACGCCAGCCGTCTTTATTTTGGTCGACCCCCTGGCTGGTTCGCGGCAAGGCATCAAATCTTCCTGACAGCAGTTCTGGGACTTGCTTCGATGACCCAACAATTGCGGGATGAAGCTCAAAATCGGAGACGCCAAGCTTCGCAAACACAAACTCATGGACTGCCGGGGCATTCGTGAAGAGCTTGTGGCCCAAGATGGATTTGGAATCTGTTATAGGCTCTAACAAAAGCACAGGGCTAGTATGGCCATTGGTCGAAGACACCTGGACCTTCTCAATGGCTTCAGGCTTGTTTTTGCAAAACCCCGCCGACTCTCAGTAGGTCCCAGGGCTTGGAAATCAAAAAAAGGGTTGCTCTGATTGTGCCGCCTTCGCCTTCGGCCGGGGGTTTGGGGGGGGTGGCTCTGGAAGCCCAACGGCCCAACCCCGAGGGCGGTGCGCCGAAGGGGCCGAGAAGAGGCCGCCGCTCAGCGCCCCCATGGCCGCCAGGCTGCCGGCGCCCAGGCCGAAGAGGAGGCCCAGCAGCAGCAAACTCCTTGGGCATCCCATCCGCAGGATCCGCGGGAAAAAAACGTTGGCATTCGAAAGTGACGTTGAGGCAGAAAGGGGAGGGGTGCAACCCACACTTGAATTCCGAAGGAGATGGAACTATGCGGGGTATGAGAGCCCAAAAGGCAAGGGCGCAACCCACACTTGAATTCCGAAGGAGATGGAACTATGCGGGGTATGAGAGCCCAAAAGGCAAGGGCGCAACCCACACTTGAATTCCGAAGGAGATGGAACTATGCGGGGTATGAGAGCCCAAAAGGCAAGGGCGCAACCCACACTTGAATTCCGAAGGAGATGGAACTATGCGGGGTATGAGAGCCCAAAAGGCAAGGGCGCAACCCACACTTGAATTCCGAAGGAGATGGAACTATGCGGGGTATGAGAGCCCAAAAGGCAAGGGCGCAACCCACACTTGAATTCCGAAGGAGATGGAACTATGCGGGGTATGAGAGCCCAAAAGGCAAGGGCGCAACCCACACTTGAATTCCGAAGGAGATGGAACTATGCGGGGTATGAGAGCCCAAAAGGCAAGGGCGCAACCCACACTTGAATTCCGAAGGAGATGGAACTATGCGGGGTATGAGAGCCCAAAAGGCAAGGGCGCAACCCACACTTGAATTCCGAAGGAGATGGAACTATGCGGGGTATGAGAGCCCAAAAGGCAAGGGTGCAACCCACACTTGAATTCCGAAGGAGATGGAACTATGCGGGGTATGAGAGCCCAAAAGGCAAGGGTGCAAGAATTCCGGGAGATGGAACTTTGCGGGGTATGTGAGCCCAAAAGGCAAGGGTGCAACCCACACTTTCTGAAGGAGATTCCTAGATGGAACTATGCGGGGAGCCCAAAAGGCAAGGGTGCAACCCACACTTGATTCGAAGGAGATGGAACTATGCCCCAAAAGGCAAGGGCAACCCACACTTGCATTCTGAAGGAGATGGAACTATGCGGGGTATGAGAGCCCAAAAGGCAAGGGTGCAACCCACACTTGAATTCCGAAGGAGATGGAACTATGCGGGGTATGAGAGCCCAAAAGGCAAGGGTGCAACCCACACTTGAATTCCGAAGGAGATGGAACTATGCGGGGTATGTGAGCCCAAAAGGCAAGGGTGCAACCCACACTTGAATTCCGAAGGAGATGGAACTATGCGGGGTATGTGAGCCCAAAAGGCAAGGGTGCAACCCACACTTGAATTCCGAAGGAGATGGAACTATGCGGGGTATGTGAGCCCAAAAGGCAAGGGCGCAACCCACACTTGAATTCCGAAGGAGACGTTGGAACTCCGAGGTTGGAATTCCAAGTTCTGTGAGCCCAAACACAAATTTGCAAAAGCAAGGGCCTGAGCTTTAACAGTAGCTCAAGAGGTACAGCTGAGAAAATCGGGGGACGGAAATTCCTGAGCTTCGCTAGTGTCACTTTCTAAAAAGAAGCATGCTGAAAAGTTCCCCCAGTTTGAGAAGGACCCGGGCCCACGAACACAGCAGAAAACAGCAGAGTAAGTTGTGAGGGAGGCCTGCTCGTTTCCAAAACGGGGCGGGGGGCCACTGGGTTGGATTTATGTCCCTTGCTGTTCGGCGTTGTTCCTGATGGCCATGGTTCCCTGCAAAAAAGGCCAAGCTGAGCGGTTGGTAAAAAACTAAGAACTAAGCGACAGGACACTTCCGTACTTTCAAAGGCTCTTGCCCAAAGCCTTGCCACGGGTCGTTTGCTTTCATGCATTGACCTGCTGAGTATACTGGCCAAAAAGCCCAAGGTTTGCGGACACGGCAAATAAATTGCCTTGCCCAGCTGACCATTGCCCAGTAACCTATAAAAGGGGCAAGCCGCAGGAATGCGAGTGGCCCCCAATCAACAGCACGTTGATTGGGGAAGGAGGACTAGTCTAGCCAGGTAGAATTCACTCGTCTCACATGAGTACATCCCATAAAAGTTCAGCTCTGGATTTCCTGAAACGCAGCAGCTATGTTGGGTGAGCCACCCCCGACCTTGCCAAGCTTCCGCATTGCTCGTCGTGCGCCCCTCACGTCCTGACCACAGGAGCGAAGAACTCCCCTCCGGTTCCACATCATCGAGGCCCGCGAAAGCGGGCACCAAAGCGACGCTGAGCGTCCATGAAACAAAAAGGGCTGGTTGGAACATCTTTCGCACGGCCAGAACATAAAGTTGGAACAAGGTTCTGCAGCTCAGTACAAAATGGGCAAGCTGCGAGCTTTCAAAATCAGGCTCAGTTGGCTCCACCAAAAGGCGGCCCCTTCATCGCTCAACGAATGAGCTCCCCAGTGACTTCCAGACCCGTTTTTTCCGCCTTCTTCTCCAGCAAAGGCGGCAGCATGGCTTGCGCCGCTTGGCTCAGAGGCTCTCCGAAAAGCCCGAAGAGCGTGTAGAGGTTGATGAGAACCTGCGGGCTTCCGCACCCGCCCTGGCCCAAGCGGGTGTCCCGTTTTTTGTGAGAGCACCCGCTTTTGGGCCCCCATGAAAGCTATGCTTTCTAGCGATGTTGGCGGTTGTTGCGCCCGGCAACCTTCGGCTTAACATGACTTAACATGTTGAACTGACAAACCTTGCACAGATCGGACGAGCAAAACAACTTCCTCTACCCATGGCCAAAGTTGGCCAACCCCGAGACATGACTAGCAAAAGTGGGTTGCGCATGGATTTGGGCGGGCGTCCAAAATCAGCCACCGCAGAAAAGTTGAACAGAGCCATTCCTTTTCTGGCTTCCGGACCCCTAAAATCGCCCAGAGGCACCCGTCCCAGCGCTTGGTCTTGAAAACCACACAAGGAGATCTCTTACGTTGAGAAACCCTATTTGGGCCCTTTGCTTCAGTGAAGCCGTCTCCTGATAGGCGGCCAGCGCCGTGGTGCCCAGGGAAGCCGCGTAGAGCGCCATTGCCGAAAGCGTGAGGAACCGGGAGAGGAGAACCAGCAGCAAAGGCCCTCGCGCGGATCCCGGGACGCTGGCAGAAACAGAATTGGAACCCCTTTGCGTTTTTGTCTGTTGCTTGCCCTCTCTCCAGCTCCGCACGGCTCCCCAAGCTCATTAGCTCATGTGGCCTATTCACATCAGGGAGCAGTTTGGGTTTCACTGAAGCGGTCAACCCGACCGGAAGAAAACAACGGAAAGAACGGAACCCCAACCGCCCACGTGGCACTTTAACCAGCTTTCAACACCAAACAAGGAACTTTGACCGTTGGGACGGCCTGCAACGAGCGCGTCCCGTGCCTGCATACTCCAAGAGCGGCGCCAAGTACGCGGCCTTGGCGCCACGCTGCAAACAGCTCTTGAAGCCAACAGCATTTGGCACTAGCAGCTCGCGCGTTCAAGCCTCATGGAATGACCAGCTTCGGAACTCGGGCCCAACGACCGTCCAGAGCAGCTCGACATGCAGTGAACCACTGTGATGCAGGCTGCCCGAAAGTCAGGGCCGTCAAGGCCACAAGGTACCCAACATAAAATGGCAGGGGTATGGGCTTTGTATCTACCTTGTTCTGAGCATGCCTTCGGCTAGCCCTGAATGCTCCCAGCTTGCTTCTTGGATTCAGAAGGACATGCACGAGGTGCTTGCATGTTTCCCCATGAAGATCCCCGAGGCAAATAACATTTCCAAGTGCAATCTATGACAGCCATGTCAGCGTGCACAAAATCCCAATGCATTCAATGTACAAGCCCGGAGCTTGCCAAATTTATCTCGCAGCACTCGGTTTGTCCACCTTAAGTTTCAGTTCATGCCGGCTGCCCCTGGTTATCAAGTACACCGACATGTCAGCAATGGCAGTCGCATAGTTGCTAGGCAAACGAGGTGAATACTCTGACGCCTGAACCTCAAGCATGGCAAGCCACAAGGAATGTATTGGGAATGTGTTGAATTTGACCATGGCTCGTACATTGGCTTGAAACAGCAAGCCAAGGGGTTGACCCTCGAAGCCGGTGGAATTTGCGAATGCCCTTCTGATCTTGTCCTCGAGCCTTGTGCCCGAGATCCCCTATTTGAGGCCCTCACCTGGAAATGGACTCCCTTCCATACAGTCTCCCCCTTTCAACAAAAAAAAAAAAAAACAATCATTGGGGGAAGGACACTTTAGCTGGGATGCTGGACTCCATGCCCCACCCCACCGTGCCATTGCATATCGTGCGGCGGACTCAGGAAGTCGAATCCATTTCTTGGGAAGCAGCTCCTGCATCCAGCTGCTTCGCTGGCAAGGTCAAGAAATGTGCTTGCTTGCCTGTCTCCCTGCCTGCCTGCGAAGCACCAAGTTTGACTGCTCCTGTGATGTAAGTCACCGCTTACTGCTTGAAGCCGTGACTTCATACGGCAACGGTGCAACTATGTTTTGCTCCGCCCAACACGTCTCCAGCACATTGGACAACACACACACACAAACACGCACACACGCACGCACACGCGCAGACACACACACACACACACACACACAAACACACACAAGCACACACACACAAGCACACAACACACACACACACACACACACACACACACACACACACACACACACACACACACACACACACACACACACACACACACACACACACACACACACACACACACACACACACAGACACACAGACACACACACACACACAGACACACAGACACACAGACACACAGACACACAGACACACAGACACACAGACACACAGACACACAGACACACAGACACACACACACACAGACACAGACACACAGACACACAGACACAGACACACAGAGACACAGAGACACAGAGACACAGAGACACAGAGACACAGAGACACAGAGACACAGAGACACAGAGACACAGAGAAGAGACACAGACACAGACACAGAGACACAGAGACACAGAGACACAGAGACAGAGACACAGAGACACAGAGACACAGAGACACAGACACACAGACACACAGAGACACAGACACACAGACACACAGACACAGACAGAGACACAGAGACAGAGACAGAGACGCAGAGACGCAGAGACGCAGAGACGCAGAGACGCAGAGACGCAGAGACGCAGAGACGCAGAGACGCAGAGACGCAGAGACGCAGAGACGCAGAGACGCAGAGACGCAGAGACGAGACACAGAGACACAGAGACACAGAGACACAGAGACACAGAGACACAGAGACACAGAGACACAGAGACACAGAGACACAGAGACACAGAGACACAGAGACACAGAGACACAGAGACACAGAGACACAGAGACACAGAGACACAGAGACACAGAGACACACAGACACACAGACACACAGACACACAAACACACAAACACAAGCACACACACACAAAAGAAACACACACACACACACAGACACGCCAACACACAAAAACACACACAGAAACACGCCAACACACAAAAACACAAACACAAAACACAAACACAAACCATAAACACAAACAGACAAACAGACAAACAGACAAACACACAAACACACAAAGACACAAAGACACAAACACACAAACACAAAACACAAACACAACCAAACAACCCAAACAGACAAATAGACAAACAGACAAACAGACAAACACACAAACACGCAAAAACACAAACACAAACACAAAACACAAACACAAACCAAAAACACAAACAGACAAACAGACAAAAAAACACACACAAACAAACAAAAACACAAACACAAACAGACACACACACACACAAACACAGCTGATGGCCCTTTCGCGTCCGTCTTGCGCAGCGCCCGCAGCATGAGCACGAAGCTGAGCCTCATGTTCGCGGGCAAGCCTGCAAGCCTACCGCTGTACATCACTTTTGCCTCACACGGAAGGGGATTGAACGGGCACCAGAAGACGTGTACTCTACAGGTTGAGTGCGGCTGGCAACATGGTTTGCCACAACTCGGGTAATTCTAGAACTTAGCCGTTGGCCTGGTGGACTGGGGGCAAAAACATGCCATTCCCTGACATCTCAGAAGGCAACCCACGTCCCTCGAGCTGTTCAAAGAGGCAAGCAAAGGGCTGCAGGCCCACAGAACCAACAAAAACAGGCACGAATTCCGCATCCAGCCACCATCCACCAAGGCAGCCGAACATAGCTGAAGATCCCAGGTTCCAATTTGGCCAGTCGCACCTTCAGCCAGGGCGCCATGTGGCGAAGGAGGTCGCCAGAGCGGCGCCGGCCACACCCAAGTGGCACGGCCAGGCGCATAGCAGGAAGTCGCCGCCTCGGTTCTCGAGGCGAAATTCGGGGCGCGGCCGCCCATTGGGGTCCAGTCCAGGCCAATCCAAACGGGATACTCACCGTGGATACTTTTGGCACGTAGTCCGTGATAGGTTGCCACACGGCACTGGAATCGTGTACCTTCTTTCAAGAGCTGTGTGGGGGGTCTGAAACAGTAGAAATAGCTGGCAAGCAACCACTCTGTGACAATTAGTCTGCGTTGAACCTTCAGCTTGTTTGAAGTGAGCCATCAGTCCGTCCATCCACACTGGATTCAGAGTAACGTTTCCTTCTCTAAGGCAGTTTGCCGAATGCATGCCTAACATGTATGAGAACGCTGAATAACCAATCACGGGGCCCACACAAATTGCAAGCAGTCATGCTGCTTTCCCCAGGTTCCACACATTGCAGTGGCCTCGCTGTTCCTCTCATGGCGCGCTCAAGCCAGTGGCTACCGAACGCAACCGGGCAACAGGGCGACCAGCGCATTGCCAAGGTGCAAATGTTTGCGAGGGCTTCAATGGCAACCACCTGCGCTGTGCATGGCTAGCTCCGAAATATGTGGGGAGAGGGTTTGGATGGCATGGCGGCAATTTGTGGCATGTGTCACGATTCCTTTTGCTCATGATCGTTTGACTTGCACCAGGCCCATGGCCAGCGGGGTTGCGTCGAAGTGTGTAAAGCTGGCTTCACTGACTCCATTCGAGGCACGCGTGGCTTCCACACAAACTCCAAACATCAGCCTCCAAGTGAGCCGCAAATGAGAAGACCCTCCCGTGACCTCGGGGCGACCTCATCTCACTGCTCACCGCTCGCCCGGTCGCCTTCAGCGGGGTCACCGAGTCTTTGTTCGCCAGCAGCGCCGAAAGGCACACGCTCTGGGCCAGCGTCGCCCAGGTCATGGCACCGCGACTCAGCGAGATAGAAGGCGCGCTCCAAAGGCTTCGTTTCCCGCGAAAGTTGGAAACCTTGGTCTCACCTGGGAACATCCTCTATCACAATTTGGTTCAAAAAAAGCAGCCTGGAAGGCCCTGGGAAAATACTCCAGGTGCGCATGCGTACAGGGGTGCGCATGGGGCTCACTGTTGGTTTGAGTTGCATGGAATGTGTCCACGGCCCCATTCGCATTGCAATTGGAAGCCAAGGCCTTCTCGGATAAGGTATCGAGCACCCGCCGGCTCTGAGGTTCCCTACAAGTAAGGCCTTTCCCCTGTAGCGATTTGACACTTTCAGCTCAGACGCATCCTCGCGTAGACAGCGGCATAGGGAAGCAGCTCTGGGGATACTCTCAGCAACCGCAGCAAGGGCTCCTGGCTCAGTGTCCCTTCGCCCCTTTCGCCCCTTTCGCCCCTTTCGACCCTTGCGCCCCTTTCGCCCCTTTCGCCCCTTTCGCCCCTTTCGCCCCTTTCGCCCCTCGGATCCATGGGCAAGGCCGGCAGGCTTTGTGGGGTGGCAGTTTCGGCATTTTGCATCAGCCATGGCGCCGTTGACAATTTGAGCTTGGGATGGTTCATTGAGTGCTTCTCAGGTCGTGGGCTCACCTCCACGCCCAAATTTAGCGAAGGTCCCCCCGAATTCCTTGCCAACGCCGGGGACCCAATGATCCCCGCAATCCGGGTGGCCCACACCCAAAGCTCCCAGATAAAAATGCCCTGTGCATGATCGGCAGTCCTTGATGCCCTTTGCAGCCCCCAAATACTTGTGCCAATGCTACAGTACTAATTGCTTTGATAGCTCCAAGGATTGCCTTTCCACATATTGACCACCATGTAAAAACATAACAACACATCGTAAAGGGAATCCTTGCTTCAAGGCCAAGCCCGCCCTCCCCCCAAATTCAGAATACAAAACCTCCTCGCACAAAGTCGTTTTGCTTTCCCGGTTTCTACAAATCCTATTGGACAAAGATAAGGGGGGAGCAAGGGGACCTGAGAGGACAAAGTCCAGCTTTCTACCAGCGCATTTAGCGACGAATCCATCCAAAAGGGGACATTCTGCCAACCCGTGCTTTCTGGAGGTGCGGCATCGGCATACCCGGGCGCCCCAGTCCGTGCAGGTGATGTACACCAAGGACAGTGCGACCCCCAGCGGCATCGCCACACTCAGAGCCCGGACCAGCTCGGCCTGAGCAGCCTGGCGAAGGCTCCCACACGCGGACCCGTCTCTGCCGATGGTTCCTGTCTTGCTTTTTGCCCGGATTTGCATTTGCTCGAGAGCACTTAGTAGGCCCTCGTGCAGACAAGAGCAGCTGACCCTAGGGCCCAGGATGTCTTGTAAGTGCAACCTGGCGTTTGACAAGGGTCGGCGTCGTTTGTCAATGGCCGATGAAATCCGCTACCCATGTTCCAACATTATGCCGGGTGCTGGTCTTGTTCTCCTAAGGCCTGCCATCGGCATCTGGCGCGCGCTGCCTCTGTTTAATCTTCTGCGGCCACGTGAGTCCGGAAATGTGGCAATTCTCGGAAAACACCATATTTTTGTTAAGTTTCTACAAGGCTACTATTTGACGTGTGCATCATGCACATCGTGTCGTCCAAACACCAAACAAGCGCGCACTCGGATGCATTGGTTGTGCTTTGCTGTTTAGTCCTGCCTAGTCTCAACAATGCAAGGGCAACAGTGCGGAACAAATTGACTGGATCTAATCATTGCACAAGTGCATGAAGTCTCGCCAGCTTCCCATCTCTGGATGGCATCATGAACCGCACGCGCAGGCCTGCTGCAGTCACCGCTGAAAAGATAAGATGTTGAACTATTTGGACATAGGGATTCAACTGCTTTCACTGGTGGGTGGGAGTCCTATCATGCTTGCAAGATCTTGCTGCAACCCTCAGGCCTATACCGTAATAAAAAATAAAAATAAAAAATCTGGAACGGCCATCTTCTGGAAGTCGGTCAGGCTCGGGACTATGCTTCTGACAAATGTTCTGCTTAAACGCGCCTTGACTGACAACCTGCGCTTGTCAAGTAGGGAACCCCCCAAGTGGTTTCCCGTTGCCTTCCTTCTGACAAGCCCAAAAAGGGCACCTTCAAAACACCACACACACACACACAGAGATTCTGGGATCCAAGACATGGACGTGCCGCCTGCGAGGCCTGTACCCCTGGCCTTTACGCTCTTCGCAGCCGCGCGGGAAACCAAGCCCACGGTGGCCCGAGGCAGAAACACCACCAAGTACCTGACATCCAACAAAGAGGTAGCAGTTGTGAAACCGGTCGTGGACAACAAACAAATGGCCAACAGGGGCTACGCCTCACAGAACTGCAAGTGGCAGTGAGGCCCTCACTGCTTCACGATACAGTTTGCGTACTGCGAGAATACGTGTACTACCTACCTACACGAATTATATGAACACGTGCATCCATCAATATATTCACGTACAGGAATCGATGCAGCTGCACATCGATATATGTGTGTGTGTGTGTTTGGTGTTTGTGACTGTATGTAAGCCAAGGTACTCACACACACACAGACAGAGACACAGAGACACAGAGACACAAAACACACACACACACACACCCACACAAGATCATACATATAGATTATGTTTTCAATTGCCTACGTATATGCACATAAGGATGCACGTGTGCGTGCACGGTACGTGCCTCCAGTTGCTCGCCACAAAACAACCAGCAAGCGGCGTGTCTCAAGGTCCCGGGCGCAAGATGTAGTCGGCCACCACGGAGCCCGGGCTGAGGGCTGCCAGCTGCGCGGGCCCACAGAGTCGGCCCACGAAGGCGTTGTCGATGTTGCCTGGGGCCACCCCGCGGCTGGCGGCCCGCGGCCGGCGGCCGGCGGCCGGCGGAGGTCCAAGGGCCAAAGAGAAAAATGTGGCCGAGGGCTTAGGGTTTAGGGTTTAGGTAAGAATAGACAGTGCCCGCAGTTTCCAGCGTCAGTGTCTTGCTGTTCCAGACATCCATGTCTTTTTCAATTGCTGAGTTGACTAGTACAAAACTTCATGCCCCTGGCAGCAGACAGTCACTTGGGCAGCAGGAACACAACGGGCTTGGTTTTAACGAAAGGGGCAAAGGCAAGGTCCTGATTCCTTGGAACACAGTTCTCCTTGGCGATTTCTTTCTGCCCGGACGGGGCGCTCAAAATGGGTCCGGCCAGACTGATGCCCAGGGCCGGCAGCGCGAAGCGCAGCAGCTCCTTGCGTGCGCTCCAAGAGCCGCGCAGACACGTCGGGTGCCGGCATCTGGGGACCACCCTTTGCTAAACTTTGCTATGCAGATTTGTCTTGTCCCACTTTGCAAAGCGACCGCCTTGCCGTGCCATGAGGTGTCACGTCATGCTTGCGGGCAGCAGCACGCTTCCACGGCCGTGCCGTACCGTCAACTGCAGCCGCTGCAAAGAGTCCCGACCGGGGCACATGTAAACGCGCACACACACACACACACAGACCCTACGCGAAAAGTTGCAAGCGGGGCCCGCGGGAACACCGGCAACACACACACACACAAAAAAAAGGATTCATGTTCAATCTTAGCAAGTGATCTTCTGTGAGCAGGTCCACGGCATGAAAGCTGCGTAAAGAAAGTCAGTAGTTTTGGCCCACCCAGTTCTCAGCGCACACGGCCATGTGAAAGAAGGCTAGCATTGACCATGTGGCCCTACAATCCCGGAATCGTCGGCTTCCTCTTGTGCATCCCTGAAGCAATGGCCAATGACACTTGCAGTTCTCAAGACACCCCATGCATGGGTTCAGCCAATGGGCTCAGCCAAGGCGCCGCCATCTTTGTGCGGGGCTTCTCCTCTGCTCGGCGCAACACCCGCAGCCGCCCTGGCAATGAGCCATCGAAGCAGGTTTTTGCGAGTGCGATTGGGCGCGCCAGACTCTGCCGAACCACAGGGTTTCCAAGGAAAGGTGTAGACCCCCCCGCGTTTTCAGGGAAGGAGGGGTGGGTGGGCTGAGCCGCTTTCACCTTTCTGGTGACATGTGAGGCATGAATGTCAACAGCCTCTGCCTCCTTGACGAGCAAGATACGGCTCAAGATCACAACTCTGAAATACAAGTGCATTTGAAGACCCCGTCCAATTGCTTTTCCGTCAAGGCTGCTGGCATGAAGCCACATGCATGAAGCGTGAAGTTCGTTCTTTGCGTCACGACTGCAAAGCAAATGTCTAACATAGTGAGGCTAGTGAGTCTAGCAAGTCCTGCCGCTGGCTTATCGACAAAATGCTCAACCTCAGTTGACCCCGTCAAAGCTTGGCCAATCGGCTTTTCATAGAAGTGAAGGTTCCCTGCAGGGAACCTGGACAGGAACCCCAACCAATTCTGCTGGCCTGGGGAACCTCGCATTGTGAAAAGTCTCGCATCCAACAAGCTGTGACATCAAAGAAGGTCTGGAATAGGCCGCGTCCATTCACGGGAGCATTGGAGCATTGGAGGCCGCGTGGGACCTCTGTACTTCAGAACCAGAACCTGCGAAAGCATCGAATTTTCGACGAGTTCCTCACTGATCGCCAGCTGGCAACGGATGTGCCCGGGACCATGCTTGCAGCATGCCCGGCTCAGGGAAGCCTTGCTCGGTTGCAAATGCTCTCTGTGCCCAATGTCCACCTGCGCTACGTTGACTCCGACCAGGGCTTGAAACGCTCGAAGGCGTGAGACAAATTTAGCCTCAGCTTTGTACATATCAACTCAATGCCGATCTCCAACAACATCACTCGCTTTGGCTTGCGATTCGCAAGTCCGAATAATTATTACATGAATTGGGAAGGCTGGAAGAGCACGTCAAGCAGGCCCATCCTGCCGCACGATCCAATTCAGGGGCTTCCAAATGGAGCAAGGTGCTTGAAGGCAGCCATGCCTCGATTAAATTCAACAAGACATTGCACTTGGATGGACAATGCTCCCCCGGCCAGACAAAGGCTGGCCACATCAGGTTCTGGTCAAGATGTTCTCGTAATACCTCGAGAAAACCCACAGTCCCCCATCCTTTCTCTGCTTCATCAATCCTCTCAATTGATCGTGGTTGTTGGGGTCGTCTGGTGGTTTTACCCCGCCTCTGACCTCAACAAACAAGCCGCAGCTGATGCCATAGTGGAAGCAACGGCTGCTTTCTGCATGCATGCTGGCATTCTTTCGTGCCGAGATGCCAGGGTATGTGCGGCTCCTTCTTCTTTTTCTCAAGCTCTTCCAGTCTGGAAGGTAGATCACGGTTCAATGCGCGTTCGATGAGCCTTGGACTCCGGCCCAAGTGTATCCCCACTTCACCCTGGGAATTCATTATCGCTCCTCAATCCCTGATTGCTCGGACATGGTGAGGAATTTTACACCGCTGCAGCTCCACATGCATTCCGCTCACGACATAATATCTCTGTTCTGGCTAGCTCGGCTACTCCAAAAGCAGGGCTCGTGCAAGAACATGCCCCGTGCCCCTTTGAGCCAGCCTGGTGCACCGAGTCCTTCCTTCCGATTCAAAATCAAGTGTCGCCTGCCGCTTCACCTTCTTCTTCTGGGCCTCCAAAAGCATGGAGCCGCCGACTTTGCGGATCAGCAGGTTCTTCATCTCGAACATCTGAAGCTCGCCTGATGGCGAGTGCAGGGAAGAGGTGGATTTGTTCTACTCCTTGACATTGTTGCAGGCGTGTTTGCCTGGCTGGAATGCAAACAAGCTACCTATGGTGCCGCTTGGTCCAACACAATTGTGTTCACCTACCACACATCACATACATCACAACAGCCAACAAAATCTGATGAACTTCCAGACTTGCAGGATAAGTCCAAAAAACCCGTTGTGCTGCCAGCTGAAGCTGGGGCTTGCACTTGAGGCAGTCGCGAAGTCTGCTACCTGCTTGAAGCCAGGGTCTCTTCTTCAAGGATGCGCGAACCCAATGTCGAACCCGTCCAGATCTGGACTGCTCACTTTTCACTGTGCAAACAAGCAGCAAGTGTTCACACGATCTAGGAGTTCTCAAACGGCAGTGCAGGCGTAACGTTAAATGGAATCAGCACACTTACGCAAACGGGCTCCGATAACAGGCGGACAAATTGGAATGATGCTGCTGCATTTATGCCGCATGAATGCCCACAGCAGGACAGCTTCACAACACAAAACCATTCTTTGGCGAACATGTAAGCAATAGCTTTGCGCTTTACACGGAAGCTGTGTGGCCTTGCTTTGCAAAAGCACTTCGCAGAATCCGGCAAAACTTCCCCACTGCGCAAGTACGTTGCAAAGCTACCTAGCATACTCTCCCTGCTCAGAAGCAAATTGAGTTCACAGAACCTGGTTGCTGGGAACGCAGCTGGTCGGTTCAGACTACCGGAAGTACATCTGCCCACGGCAACACAAGGCGGAGAACACAGAACAGATTGAACAGATTGCGGTTCTCATTCGCATAGCATGCATTGTCATCGTAACATCTGAAGGCTGTGGATCCGTACCGATTTGGCGACGTGTTGGGATCAACAGGTGCATTGAACCCAGAAAACCGTGACCTCCAGCGAAAGGTCTGGAGCTGAGCATGCGTGTGTACTGTACGTCACTTGCACCCAATCAAAATAGGATCTGCCCTCCAAAAATACCGAGCTGAAACCACTACCGTTGCGCAAAAAAAACACAAACAAGATGCCCCCGAAGTCGCAAGCGCCAGACATGCACAAGGGTTTGCCTCCGGCAAATCCAGACTGCACCTGCCGAGGTGCGAGCGGCGCTATCTTTGTCCTGCAGGGCAGGCTGCGGTGTCAGGAATCCATGTGCCTGCCAAGCCAAAGCCTGAATGGCTCGGATAGGCTCACGTTGCAACATCTGAAGGGGTTCATAGCCTTTCTGCACGCACCTGCAAAAGTCAGGACTATCACATGTATCCCAGTTTCCTAGTTACTGGCCAGACTTGTTTCCCCCGGTAAAACGACACTTCGAGGCCACCTTGTCAATACAAGAAGCAACACGATGGCATCAGTCGTGGTACGAGCGTATTATGACTACAATGCCAGCACCTCATACGGCACAACAGCAAAACAAACTCCTGAAAGCTGACAGGTATCACCGTTGAAAAGCACCTTATTTGGGTTTCATTCGTTTTCAGGACGATAGCTCCGAGCCGTACGAGGTCACATCCGAACACCCCTCCTTGGACCGACTGAAGTCCCCCTTCTTCCCTCCAGTGCGGCTCCCTCGGCGGCCTGTGAGCATGGAGTGGCTCCTGCCCACGGCCAAACAAAAACGAAGCTACGCTGAAGACATGCCACGCAGCCTCGGCCCTTCATTGCAACCACAGCCTTCTGATGGCCGTGGCTGCCTTCCAACACGCGAGTCTCACCGTGACCGATGGCACCCTCTCTCCTGACCAACAATGGCCCTGCGTCGAGCTTTCTTTTCAAAGCCTGCTTCTCCAGGATGCCTCGCTTCTCCAACTCCTGCAAGTGAGAGTGTGATAGTGGGAAAAAGCATCCTACCCCTGAATCCAGGTGTAAGTAACAGAGAATTCCCTGCTGAAAACGCTGAAAAGGCGACATGCCAAGGAATAGCAGCAGGAGTCCTAGGCCTCGGATGTTGCCAAATCAGAGTGTGCGACAACGCATCAGCTTTCCCTAATTTTGCTTATACCCCGCGGCTCCGAGACGGCATGGAGTAGCCGCATGTAGTCGAAGTAGTTCGAACCCGACCACCTGTCCGAACACCCCTTCTGTGATCCCCATGGAAGCTAGCAGCACATGCCCAAAGCTCGCTTTGCACAAAAACATCAAGTGCCAGCTTTATTTGCCTTCGCTCCTGTTGAGCCGCATGCTCTGGCATGAGCATCGTTTTCAACATCCCCCGCATGTCCGACCAACATCCCCAGCATCACCAACAAATCGTGGGTAACAGAATCAAAAAAGTAGCTGGCGGGTTGACGGGGTAAAACAAATGATGATTCCAATCCCTGTAAAATACAAAAAAGTAGCGGGGGGGTTGGGGGGGGGGGGGCGGCAGCCCCCCATGATGTTCGCAGAAGTGATGATTCGAATAGCTCTGCAAAAAGTCTAAAAAGTAGCGGGGGGGTTGGGGGGGGCGGCAACCCCCCCATGATGTTCAAAGAAGTGATGATTCAACTAGGGGTGCAATTAAATCTCTGCAGAAAATCTAAAACTTAGCGGGGGGTTGGGGGGGGCGGCAGCCCCCCCATGATGTTCGAAGAAGTGATGATTCAAGTAGGGGTGCAATGATTCAAGAACGGGTGCGATAGAATTTAAAAGGCAGCGGAGGGTTGGCGGGGGGTGGCTTCCCCTATGAAGTTCGAAGAAGTGCATACATACAGACATACATGGATTACGTAGATTACTTAAAAGTAGCGGGGGGGTTTGGGGGGGGGAGGCGGCAGCTCCCACCATGATGTTTGAAGAAGTGTTGATTCAAATAGGGGTGCAATTACTCTGCAAACAATCTAAAAAGCAGGTGGGTGGGGGGAGCCCCCCCCATGATGTTCGAAGAAGTGATGACTCAAATAGGGAGACAACTGGTGATGCTGATGATGCGGGAAGCCAAATCCAAAAAAACCAATGAAAGGGTGCAAAAGCAAAAACGCCCGGAGAGGAACTGGGAAAGCAGAGGATGCGAAAAGCCAAAGCCGCCAAAAGCCGAAAGCCAAAACGCCACCTGCCGAAGAGGAACTGGGAATGCAGAGGATGCAACAAGCCAAAGCCAAAAAGCCAAGAAGCCAAGAAGCCGAGAAGCCAAGAAGCCAAGAAGCCAAGAAGACAAGAAGCCGAAAAGCCAAGAAGCGAGAAAAAAAAACAACTAAAATAAATACCCCTCCATGCTAAAACCTCTTTATATATATATATACATATATGTGTGTCTGAATTGTTTTTCCCAGTTGTGAGTGGGACGAGGGGGAGAAGTATTTGTAATTAACACTGATTGCTGCCTTCAACATGCGCCTGGAAGCGACCGTGTCGCTTTGTAATTACCCAAACTCTGCGCCACAAAGCGGGCGTAGCAACGAATCCTGTTACATTTCTTGCCAGCCCACCCGCCGAATCCCTTTGAGTTAGGATGTTGGATGCAGCATGTTCCGAAGACAACGCCGGCGTGAGGCACACAGTGGAAAGTGCTGGCGTGAATGTATGTGTTCGCCATGACCTTGACTTGCAACCACCGAAACCACACACACACACACACGCATATCTTTATTGCTATGTTTTCGCCAATTCACCAGCTCGAGCAATTGCGTCCTGCAAGAACTGTTTCTGCTGCTTTTTACACCGACCTATCCTGTGAGGTCGCAATTGCAAAGCTTGTGCCAACATTGGCGGGCCCATCCTCATGCCAATGAAGCTCCGAAGAAACCAAACTAAAAAGAAACACATCGCTTGCCCTCGTAGAATAAACACCAAATGGACCCCCAAATCCAGGCACGCACACGGCAAGCCAAAATCAATAAACATAATTCTTGAAGAAATCCTACTTTGAGTTCAGAAAGCGTGGATCAATGGAGTCACCCTCCCAGCGATTCCCACACATTCGACGAAAAGCCTCGAGCAGGAGCTGGAAGCCAGGTCCTGGAGCGAGAAGTTGCTTGTGAAGACCGTGCTCATCTTCAGCACTGCGGCCTGCGCAGAAAGCTAACGAGATGGCAAACAGCAAACAATACACCCAAAGCAATACCAACTAGGGAACCGTTGAACATCACCAGCGCGGGTCTGCATTACTCTTGTTCTTTTTCCCTCGGCTTTCCCAAAGTTGCATTGCGATGTGCCGCTTGTGCCACCATTCCAGCACCCCGTGCACAAATGGCACGGCACCGGCATCTGATTGCCTCACTTTCAACAGTCCGTGGCCAACCAGCAAGAAACGCCCAGACTGGCCATTTGGCCAGTCCCCGCCTGCAGGGGGTCCAAAGACTCCAAGAGGCACATGGTCTCACCCACCATGGCCGTGTGGGACCTTTGGTGTGTGCCCTCTGAAGCTGAGAAAAAAACGAGAAAAAAAACACCTCTGATGCTATGAGAAACCTTGGATGCTAGGCTGAGACCTAAGCCTTCCCCATAAAACCCCCTCATTTCTGCTATTTCTGCTGGCGCCCCCCCCCCTCTGGGCTCGCGGGCCAATCGGAGATCTCCACCGTGTCCAAGTCCTGCGGTCGCGAGCCCAATGGCCATGTCAAGATCTGGTTGCTGTTTCCCCCCGGGTTCTCTACCCTTCTTGATAGGGTGTCCCTCCAAAAAGTGATGATAGGGACACTCCCCCCATTAAATGTGTCATACACTGGGGTTGAATAATATGGGCTTTGGCCAGGAAAAACAATGCTGGCACGTGCCATTCGGGCGGGCCGACATCGTCCATCATCACGCAGATTGATGTTGCTGGTTTATCAGACTGGGTTGACAACGTGTATCGCTCACCCTTGGCGTCATTGTGATATCCTTTGATGTTGCCAGATTCAAACGACTGCTCCTCTCACCGCCAGACTGGAAAAGCCATCAACTAATGCTCCAAGCTTTTTCCCACAAAAAAAAAACGTTTTGCAACTAAAAAAATAAGGAGTTGAGTTCCACCCACAAAGGCTCATGGGAAGTGAGGATGGACGGGCGAATTTTCGGACTCCTCCGTACTCTGCTCCACCACTGCCTCGGCGCCCGGCGGCCGCGCCACGTTGATGTGCCCATCTGCCAGCAGCTGGCCCAGCGCTTCCTCGGCCCCGCGGGCGTGGGCAATTTTGGTGGGAAGCCCCCTGGGCCGCGGCTTTCCACGTTCCAAGCCTGTACCAAGCCGTGGAAAACGCCTTCCCAGTGAGAGGCAAAGTGCCAAAGGTTGCATTGAAAGCATGCAATGACTGCAAGCTGAGCCGGGCAGCTCTGATGTAGAGCGGGTTGCCCAAGGAAATCTTGGACACAAAGCTCACCACGGTCTCCGGTACAGCGCCCAGAGGCACCTGGAGCAAACCGCCGGTACAGTGTCAACTTCCAGCCAGAAATCGACTTGCTGTTGGCAACAGGAGACCCCAAGCCAGGCATTTGATGACATAAGCTGCAGTTGTTTGAAGGATATTGACACATCCCCGAAGCCCACACAACCCAACGCTACCTCCTCATCCGCAAGGAAGTGGGACAAGCGGGGGAAGGCGGGAACCGTTCTGTGCGTGTTCAGTTCGATGCGGGCAGCCAGCTTGACAATCGGGAAACCGGGATGCCAGACTTAACCAGGTCTGCACGCCCGCCTCAAGATGTGAGGCCATGTACTCCTGGCAAATGTCCTGCAGGCCAGGTATGCTAGGTCATTTGTGGCTGACACGCGAAGCCAAACCTGCAAGTTTCCAGGGACAGGTGGCAAAGCAACATGACACATAATCAACACACCACTCAGCCGCAAACTAGATGGGGAGGTTGTTCCCGACTCTACTCCGAATCGGGCTCCAGTATTCAATCTAGCTTAATTGACACGCACTGCCAAACTGAAAAGCCGAGTTGAGGTAGCAAAGGGAAAAGCGCCGAACCAGTTGAGCGGCTTTGCCTCCCTAAACGCTGCTGGACATGCCCGTTGCAATTGATTGACAACATGCAAGCCAAGAAGAGTCCGCAATTCCGCATAATATTCGCTGCGAACGACACATGCTGATGGCATACCAGTGTTTCTTTGCAGGATACCTCCTCTTTTCCCAATCTCGGTTTCCTGCGCAAAGCATCAGGCACCAGCTAATCAGGGCTACAAGGCAAACTGACAAACCCACTGCGACAGCAAATCCAAATCTCTCTACACACACACACCCACCCACACCCACGGCCCCTCCTCGGAGAGCCCAGTGAGGTCCAACAGCCAGCCCTTTGACGCGGAGGCCTGCCGTGCGTCACTGGACGACAGGACCGGTTGCCAGTGAGGCCTATAGTCAGCTTTTGGGCGAGAAGCCCTCGGAGCGTGAAATGACAAAGTTGAGAATCACGCTAGCGACGCCCTCCATGTATTGTACCCCCGCCCTGCATTCAAACACACAGATTTCGATGTACGTTCTCAGCCCAGCCATCCCATTTGGAAAGGACGGCACCTGGGTGGCCACAAATCCGATTGAGGCATGGCCTGAGCCGTAGGCTACGGGAAGATTGAACCTTGCACCTTGGACATGCAAAAAGCGACGGTGTCAGCATGTCGCGTGGTTCAAACCTGCGACAAACGAGGCCTTAACGAACTCGAGGCTGGGATCTGGGGTTTTGCAAAGGGTCATCAGGGTGACGGGGTGGCTGCCCTTGTCCTCCGCGATTCGCATGAACCTTGGAATGAGCCCAAAAGTCCACTCTCATTGGGTTGTAGGCTACATGCCCTGAGACAGCCAACTTTGCAGGCAAGGCGTGTCGCCGGCAAACATAGCCCTACCAGGGCGCCTGCTGCAAAAGGTTCAAACACAAACCACAAAGCAACGCGGCCCGGAACGCGGCTCTGCATGCGGGTGACTTGCCGATGATCTCGTAAAAGCAATTGAAGTACTGCAACGTCTTCGGGAAAAGCGTTGTGCCAAACTCGAGCTGGCAAACCTCCAGCCGACGCCGCGATGGAACGTGCTCGAAAGGGTGACATGATTGCTCAAGCCATGCTACACGCCTCATGGCTGATAATCATGCGAAAGATACGGCCATGCAAGCGCAAAGTTGTCAGACCGGCCCCGTATGGATGTCAACATCTGTCATTGGGTGCGACATTCAAACATACCGTACCTCTCAAAACATTTGTTTTCAAGATTCCTGCAGGGCCAATGCATTGATATACACATGTTTGATCGAGCTTGTGTGGCAAATAACAAGTGCGCAATCCAAACACATGCAAACACACAGGTTGCCGGGCAGAGCTTTGGCTTTGCACAGTGTTTGGAATTCTGAGTGGCGGGTTCGTTTACTCTCGAGCACTTCACAAAAGCAGCTAGGCAGCCTCAAAATGTGCGTTAATTGGATTTGGAAAGAAAAAGCGCTCGAATGCCAAAAAATGGGGAGCACTTTTTTGTGCATCAAAGGGTCCTCCAGGTCCTCAGCCATTTGCACACATTGCCACACTTCTTCAATTTATTCTCGTTTGCACAGCCTTCTCTATCCCAGCTTTCGGCCCCCTAACATGTCTTTGTTCGATTCCGGGCCATTTATCGCAAACCTTCCAGCTGCGACATGGCCATGGGTCAAAATCCCGTACCCCCCAGTGAACATCCCAATCCCCACTAAAATAGACTAAAATGGGTGGTGCACCTACCCCAAAATGGTACCATTGGTCTTGACCCACAGCCACAAGGTCCAAACAAGCCCCCCGGCTCGCCAGTCGAGCCATCGACTGGGCTTGGCCCAGGCACCACGATGACGGCCACATGGGCCCGGAGCTTCTCGATGAGTCCCACCGCCACATCCACCAGCTCCTGCAGGACCGTCATGCCTGAGATCCACGGCGCGGGGAAAGGCTGTGGCACCGTGGCACCGGCACCGGTTTTTCTGAAACTTCAGCTCAGGGGGGGGACTCTGTTTTAGCACCATGTGGGACCTTCGGGAGGGTAGCACCAGCAAATAAAAATCCAAGTGCGGGATAAAATAACAAACAGGTGCACAAGCAAAACGGAATGCGAGGAATACGGATCATCAAAGTTTCGGATCCAAAAATCAGGCAAGCATGACACAACAAAAGTGACAGTCAAGCGGACACGGCTGGAAACAATGATGTCAAGTCAAATGGTTGTCACATGTCGACTTTGGTAATTTGCTGGTCCACGTGTGCTTCTCGTGGTCTGCCCATCACACCAACAGTACCCGTGCCGATGGGATGCCGCTGCGGCGCAATTTGCACTTGCCACGCATCGTGCCAATCAACTCTTAGGACCTGGTTCCTCAAAGCTGGCCAAAAACCAAGGTTGTTGATGTGAAGACCCAGTGAGGCAGTGCAAACAAGCTCCGGAAACTAACATAGGGTTTGACTTCAAAACGGAATTCTGTCTGCACACATTCAGAGACAGAGTGAGAGAGAGAGAGAGATTGCATGAACCTGCAAGCATACATAGCTACATATGCTTCGCCTGACATTTCATTCACAAGGTTTGAGGGCGATACAAATGGCAAATTGAAACTCTAGCATGCGCCTAGACCTCATGACGCACAGCAGTCTCGAGCCTGGATAACCACTGTGCCAAATAAACACCACTCCAAAGGTCCTGTCTTGCACCTGGCATCTGGCCATATGCCAGGGTGCGCACATCTTCGTGTACTGAACCATTCTGGACGTCCAGCAGATGCTTGGCAATCACATCTGAGTTGCTCAGGTTGGGCAGCAAATGACCTCAAGCTATGACACCCCTCGACAAGCTGCGCTACAAAGCCCTTGTCTTCTACCGCTCGCGCCCACTGATGAAGGCATGATGGAATTGCCAAGCGAACTGTGGCCCAATTTTGGTGCTGCATGCGAACGTCACCCCCAATCGCCAGCAACCAGTTGGCAGCAATGCAACGGCTTTGGCATTGGGTCCCCGGCACTTTAACTCTAGTTCTTCAAGTTGTGGTCTGAATTGAGGGCGAACACATAGAATTGTACTCATCAACCCTTCTGAAGGTCCAAGGGGTACGCAGTCAGATTCTTGATTACGCCCACAATTGCCCAATCAAAGCGGCAATGGAAATGGAGCCCTCTACTTGGACTGTCCCTTGGCCGTACGATGCAGCTAAACAGAAGCCCAGGTAAGTGGAGGTCGGGCAGGATATTTAAACAGCAAGTAGCGGCCGGTACCTTTCTGACTTCTGCATGGTCGTCCTGGGGACTCCCTTGACATCAAGCTTTCGTCGGGACTAAACGGGATCCTTTGAAAGCTAGCCACCTTCTTCAGGATACAAGATCCCTCTCGGATTTCATGGGTGAACTGCTTGTGTCAAGTAAGCATGAACAAATACCCGTCCCCTTTTGGCTTCCTTCCGGGGGCGGGCTATTGGCAAGCAGCCATTGCATCCCACTCGTGGACCTTATGTTTTCACATTGACATGTTTTGGGCCCCTGAGGGAAATCAACAAAGCCGCGTGCTTCGACTAAGAAACAAGGCTGAAACTTGGCTGGAATCAACCGATCGTGGTTGAAACTAGCTTGAACGATGGAATGAAACGACCAACACGGCATCCTCCCAACTAACATGCAAATACAATTGGCCCTTTCCAAGAGGAAAGTAGTCTTTCTACAGGCCTGTGCAATCGGTGGGAGGGTAACGCTCGCTTTCGGATCCACAAACATCCGAGGCGCTCAGCGCCAAAGCGTCCTCCTCCGGCAGCGTAGGCTCCACGGAGTGGCGGTATGCGCCCAGGCAGCTCCGCACCAACTCGTGCCCCATCCGCGCCAGGTCCTTCAAAGCTTACGCGCCGAGGCCAAGGCACGGTTTTGGATTGGTGCTCCTGGGTAAGGATGGAAGAAATGCGTAGCTTCCTTGCTTTGGTTGGGTTGGTTGGGCTTGGTGCATGCTCTTGTTTCGTGGCAACTACATTGGCCGCTGCAGTAAGCGGCAAAGCCAACCCATGGGATGTCCTGCTGGCGGCCTCATTCCTAGATACGGCCATGGCCTCCTCACCCCTCCTGCGTACGCGGTCCCATGGTGCCCATAACCGGCATAGTGCCTCTCTTCTGCGCAGCATAGACCACCTTGGGTGGCCAACTGCCAATGGCTACAGGAGCAACAAACAGTTCAAATTCAAAACTACCATTGTCAAAGCTAGCCCCCAGGTCAACGTCATCTTGCAACACTTTATGAAACTGCAAAAGTGTAGGTGCAGCACATCACGACCCACAATAAGTGGCATCTTTGACAGCATGCTTGAAATGTATCAGTGGTGTGTGTTTGTGTGGTATCTCATGTTTGGGCATCTTTATTATCGGCCACTGCTGAATATTGGCTTTGCCTACACTGGCACATCAAGCAATGATCTTGCGCCCGCACGGAACATGGATGCGGCCAAGAAGCTATGTGCTGGGCCAGCTCAATCTTCCCCAGGCCTGCTGGGCCCTGCGCAAGTGAGTGATGGAAGGGCAATCCCACCGGCCTGGAAGGCAATATATACTTGGTTTGGCTCACGGCTCCCATTCGGCTAAGTTCTAAGCAAACCACCGGACAGCTGACATATTCAGTTCTTGCGACACGCCATCTGCCCACCTCTGTGGGCAAATCAGCCACCAGGTCTTGGCCGCCTTTCTCAGTTGCCATGAAGCAAACAAAACGGGGCCCAGGGCCAGATTTGAACAGGACACCTGTGTTTCCGGCATCCCCCGCGTTTGCGCCTGCAGCACCACGGAGCCCCCAGAGCCGAAGGGCGACGCGCTGGGGAGCGGATCCACCCGGCCGCTGGTTTTGGTGGCCACCGGGGGCCCATCGTGCAAGTCCTCGTAGGGCCCCCCGAGCCATCTCTGGACTTTGCCTCAGCTGAAGTGTGATTCAGGTACTGCTACTTGGTGCCTCAAGAGTTGCTCTTCGACTTCAATGTGCTTTGCTCTGTTTGCGACACTGTCGCCTTGATGGTTGTGACAAGGCTGCAAGTGAGAGCAGCTCTAAGCGTGGGCCAAGGTGCAAACAGCCGGCCAGTCGGGCAGGGCGCAAAGCTTCTGCACGTTGGACTGCAAGGCATGGGCAACAGCCCGCAAATGGAGGGCGGCTCGAAAATGCGTGCCCGGCAAACTGCCAACCACTACCTTGTTGCACCCTCAAAAAGCCAAGCAAAAATTCACACAAACACTACGAATTACCAATAGCTGTTGCCAATACTTTTGCCAAGGCATGTCAATACTTTCAAGGTCTCAAGGGTTGCAATTCCAGCACAGCGATCCGGAAACAGCAAATTTCTTACTACGAAGCATTCTGAAAATCAAGGTTTGAGAAGCTCAGAAAGGGTACTTCATTTCAAGGCATCCCAGAAAATATATAACTCCGCCTAACCCCGAAAATGATGACCGCAATGTCCTTTCACTTTCCTATGCCAGTCCTATTAGCCAAATATCCTGCAAAATCCGGCTTTCCAGAATCTTGTTGACCCTGGGGGGGTATGTTTCAAACGTTAAAATTGTGATGTGTTGTGATCTTTGTTGCTTTTTGTTGTGTCTCAAATCTCTCTCAGGAAGCAATGGCAGCCCTCCAGGCAAACTTGCCGCCTGCAAGACCTCTGCCAGCGCCGACTTGTCGCCAGCGAGATCACCGGCCGTCAGGCTGCGGTCGTACCAGGGAAATAGGATCTGCCCGCCGGGACCCACGCCTGCCATGCATTGCTTTGCAGGGTGGCGCGGTTGCTTCCGACCATGATCTGTCCCAACAGGCCGTTAGAAGTTAGCCTGCGCAGGAGCAACGTGAAACATGTGAAACACGGGATTCTGAGAGGTCGCCCTAGAATTCAGAACGCGGGCTTGCGATTGAGGAGTTCAAGGATGGCGAGACTGCCAATCTTTAAGAATGTCATGCAAGAAGCAAACACCTCTAGAGCCAAGACATGCTGACAAAACACACGTGGCTGTGTTGCTGAGTTGCTGCATGTCCTCTCCCCCATGGCCCCGCCTACGTGGGGATTGCACTCGGCCAGCTGAGGACGGAATATCTTCACTGACTGCTCCTTGCCTCAGATCCCAGCACGGCAAGGCCTTTCGGGGGCAATGGTGCATTGCAGCAGTCCGTCGGGGATTGGCGGCTAGTGTCATTTGGCGTGCCGTCCCAATCGCGCCCTTATTTTTGAAAGCAGTGCTCCAAATTACTCATGTCAGCTTCCATGTATGGTGTGCTCCAAATTACTCATGTCAGCTTCCATGTGTGGTGTGCTCCAAATTACTCATGTCAGCTTCCATGTGTGGTGTCAGCCAGCTCCTCATTGCATCTTTGACTAGATCATCAACTAAACTCGCAGGAAGTTCCATTCCTAAGTGCTAGAGAGTGCCCAACTCGCTGGAACGATAAGCTGTAGCCAACCCTTGAGTGCTTTCCCCGATGTTTTGGGTTTGTCCGGTGCATTCTGGTGGTGCATGGTGTTCTGCACTGACACGAAGCGGCAGTGGAGAGTCTGTCTTGCCCTTCGGCTCCCCTCAAGTAGGTGATGTTCATACTGTGGTTTCGAGCAATTTTCAGTGCAAGGTCCACCCTCAGTGCATGTTGCTTTGCAGAAATGGATGCAGCACCAAACAGCCTGGACATCAGCCCTCTGCCAAGCCTACGTAAATCAACCAAACAAACCTAAGACCCGCCCTCATTAAGATCTCAGGCAGCCAGTGATGCTGGGGACGGAGCCAGCCAGCCAACCAGCCAGCAATCCAACCAGGGTAAAGTCCTAGCCGGGGCAAGTGACAAGAACGACAACTCCAGCTCCACATCCCCTTTGGCAAAGAAAACCGCATCCTGCACACAGCTCCGGGCTTTTTGAGACGTTTCCCTCCGGCAGGGCTGTCGCATGGGCCGTCAGCACCGACAGCTCCTGGCGGGGCTCCAGGCCCTCGATGTGTATCACGCTGCCACGGGGCAAGAGGATCTCCTCCTCTTTGGGCAGGCCACCGCAGCAAGCAGCGCAAATGACCCTGGCGCCCTTGGGCACTTGGATCCGCAGGAGCACCGCGTCTTCCAAGTCTTCAGGAATCAATGCATGGCGCCGCGCGTAGAAGTTGCCTACAGATTTGGAAAGGGAGCAGGACATGAACGCCTTATCCCTGATGTTCACCTCTGAACTCTTGTTCCAGCCCTGCAAGTACTGTACATAGGACAGACTCGAGAAGCCGCGCCACAGCGTCAAGGGCTCCTCCAGGGCGGGAGTTGCTGCCGCCAGCTCGTCTAACAAAGCTGTCTGCTTTTGGCACACCTTGTCCACTGGGCTCCCATACTTACCATGCCGCAAGAAGTGGTTCAGCGTCTTGTAGTTGGAAGCCGCAGCATCCACCTAACTTGTTTTAAGGACTGCTACGAAGAAGGCGTGGCTACAACTGACTGAAGGGGAAAAAAGCAAAAGCCACAGCCCCAGTCTGCCAACTTAAAGGCAAGCTGCGTACCACCGCACAGCCTCCACATAGGGAGAGTCGGGCCCCAGCTCCTCGCAGGGAGGAAGCCACAAACCGATGTCAATGGTTCTAACCAACATTTGTGACACCATACGTGCATCAGCTTTTTTGAGTCAACAACGTTGAGACTACTACATCTTGCGCAAGCGCAGAGGGGGGCAAGGAGTTCCAAGCATCCTAAAGAGGGAAGTTTCTCTTTTTGAGGCGAGCCGACAATCTCTGCTCAATCATTACTGGCCCAGCCCGGCGTTATTCTGTGCACGGGCAGCCAGTAATATATTCGATTCACTGGCCGACCACTTTCACACAGTGCCTGATGTGTGAACACACAGAAACATTCTGCACATTCAAAGCTGCTTGGCATGCCAAAAGCTTGGTCGCCTCACCCACGCCTCTTGCAGAAATCCAGCAGCGCAAAACAACGGTGGTCCAGCTAATTAGGGCCTGTTTGTTTCTAAGAACGCCAATCGACCAGGCACACAATCATGAAGCAACATGAATTCCAGCAAAACAGTCCAGTGAGCCCAAGTTGAATCGGGAGCAGGGCTGCGGGAAATGACAATTTCTGTGATACAACAGAAAGGGCTTCCCAAAGACTACCCCCCCAACATAAAAAGGGAGATTCCCTTGCATCACAGTCCCCATCCCACAACTTGCTGGCGTTTAGGATATGAGAGCTTTAGTTTTTAGGGAAGCCCAAAACGGTTCATTCACTGGTTCAGCTTCCCTTCCAGCATCCCAAACTGTTCGTTCCATGTCTCATGCCCTACCTACTGTGGATGGACGAAATCCTGCGCCACTTGGAAAAAAGTGGTACCGTTTCTCCTGGGTATTTACAGGAAATCATTAGTGCTTCTTAGGCGGTGCGCAATGGATTTTGTCCATGCACAGTATCTCTCTCTCTCTCTCTCTCTCTCTCCCTCTGCCGCATCAGTGGGTTAGGCCTTCACTATCGCACCAGCAATTGAATACAGGGGTTGCCTTTTCCACTAAAATGACCAGCCTCCCCGGAAAAGGTTTTCGACACTATAGGGGGCGAAAGCTTGTTGATCAACCACAAGCAGTGGAAAAGGCAAACCATGCCATCAAACCTGCTGCGGCTGGACGAGATCCATTTCGCACCACCTAGCAAACCCTGAAAGGATGATTAAGGATGATTCCGCCTGTAACTGCCAACCACGGTTTCCCATGGATTCCAAGTGGTGCGAAATGGATTTCCCATGGATTCCCACATCGCAGCAATCCAAGGCGACTCCTTGTAGAAGGCCAGCGTGGGCCACAGCGCCCGAGGCACCTCCGTGAGGATCTCCACGCTGGGGCAGGCAGATGCCACCAAGCCCAAGCGCCGCAGGGCGAGGCTTATGGCCATGGCATGCAGGCCATAAACAAAGCCTGCCCCAGAAATGCATAGTACAAAATATACACGTGACTTTATGCATGGATATATATATAATATGCATGTATATTATGCATATATATATATATATATGCGTGCAGTCAATAGGTGTTACTATGCTGTAGGTAATGTCATAAAACTCCGGGAGAAGGCGGGCTAAAATATTGGACGTGAGGAGAGCAGGCTGGCCATAGATGCGCATGCAGTTGTGATAGTGAATGCCATGAGCTGCCTGCCAAAAACATGTCCAACATTCATCGGACTTAAGCCAACATGATGCTGGCGTATCGGGCAATCATGGCTAGGCTCTTCTGTGTGTTGTTTTGCAGCATTCCTGGCTGCAGCAGTCACTTCTAGCTGCTAGCTTGGGCCACAGTGGCAGCAAAGCTTCGATCTTTGACAGGAAATTAAGTTTTGCATTGGGCACAACAGGGCAAACAAACACAAGCCCGGTGTCAGCCGGTCGCACACGATCCAACGGAGAAAGATCAGAGTCGGATGGCCACATCTTCGTCAAAAGGTAGCACCCATACACCCCAACACAATAAACTGCGTGCGACGCTTCGTGCTGCAATGACCGCCACGCCATGCAGACGTTTCCCGTTCCATTGGACAAAACAAGCGTCCCCAAGGATTCCCCAAGGCAAGCTGCCCTTGACCTTGATGGGCTTCAGGTCGTGGCACACCAGCTCCACCGTGCACCGCATCCTGCGAGCCACTTTCGGCCCCAATGCACGAGAAAAGCGGCACGGCCTAGATATATAGGTCGACTGAAAGGGACCCAAAAAGTAGCCTTCAAGCAAAAAGAAATGTGATTTATGCCTCGGAGGACGGCTGCCATATGCTGCCGTGCCAAACCGATCAGTGCCAAAGCTGGGGATAGCCAGGGTACGGAGCATGACACGTTCACATGGCATGCACCCAAGTCATACATTTGAGGGGCACCAATCAGCCACCTGCGTTCTTCACGGCGCACTGTCTCCAAGTGGCCTGGTGCTCTCGTCGATGAGGATCCCGTTTGCTGGCGCATTTGCCATCAGCCGCGCGGCCAAGTTGACGGCATCTCCAAGCACTGTGTATTCCATGCCTTGCGTTGAAGAAATAAATGCAAAAACTTCAAAGGCGAAGCGCGTCTGTGTGTGTGTGCGCGCATGTACAGGTTTTCTGTGCAAGCTCTTTGAATTATTGATTTATCAATTGTGTGACTGATTGATTGATTGATTGATTGATTGATCGATCGATCGATCGATCGATTGAGTGATTGAGTGATTGATTGACTGACTGACTGATTGATTGGTCGGTTGGTTGCTTGCTTGGTTGCTTGCTTGGTTGCTTGGTTGATTGGTGGATTGTCGGTTGTTTGGTTGGTTGGTTGGCTTGTTGATTGATTGATTGATGGATAGATGGATAGATGGATAGATGGATAGATGGATAGATGGATAGATGGATAGATGGATAGATGGATAGATGGATAGATGGATAGATGGATAGATGGATAGATGGATAGATGGATGGATGGATGGATGGATGGATGGATGGATGGATGGATGGATGGATGGATGGATGGATGGATGGATGGATGGATGGATGGATGGATGGATGGATGGATGGATGGATGGATGGATGGATTGCTGCTCAAGATCAACAATTGAGCAGTGCCTAAGCTTTGTGCCGGTCATTTGGTAGAGCAAAGTGAAGGCTATCACAACCTTCACAACAACTCACATGAAGTCCTGCTCAGCTAGCGAACTGCTGGGAGGGGCGGTGGAGTGCGCTCCGCCAACACTGTGGATGCAAATGGGTTGCACGATGAAGCCTGTCCCTTAAGTTGTGCTCCAGCACAAGCCCCTGCCCCGAATGAGTATTTCTCTACGTGGGGAAGGTCGGCAACGGGTCCCGTTGTCGACCTTTTTCTACTGAGAACCAGTCTTACCATAGGCGCCCTTTTAGGGGAAATAGATAACCCTGGTAGATTCAACCCCCAGGTAAACCGGGGCCATCTATTTTTCGACTGAAAACAACCAAAAAGGACACCTATGAGTTCAACACAAAGGCCCAGGCCGCACCGAGAGCCACCAGCCAGGCCGCGCTCCGCGCTGCCGCACACCCCGCAGTAGGCCCGGCCCGTGGAGACCCCGCAGCGGGCGATGAGGCCCAGCTTCTCAAAGGCCTGGACCTGAAACCCACGGCTGGCGGCCAGGATCCAAACAAACAGTAGGTGGGGGGGGGGAGGGAGGGGGGGGGGAAGGGAGCCGGGGGGGAAGGGAGGGGGGGGAAGGGAGGGGATGTGAGCAAAAGATTTGAAGGGTGGATGCCGCTGCAGAAGACACGGCAGGCTATAAAGCCTGACCAGAATTCGCTGGGCAATGGGGAATTACCTGAATCTTCCGTGTGATTGGACAAAAGCTGTCAATTCAGTTTAGATGTCGGCAAGTCAGAATGAGGCTGCAGTGCTCCAATGCATGCCTACTCAGCTTGACAGGGGGAACAAATGTGCTGAAAGAGCAACACGTTCAAGTCAGGGCCGACGCCGCTTGCGCCAAGCGGCGATGTCGAAGCAAGATAGCACCGCCCTGGTGGCATCATCTGTGTGCACCAATGGCGGCAGACCGTAGGCAAGAAGAAAAAGCATCCCCTGAGGGCAAAAGCCAAGGGCAAAGGCTCATGGCATCGGTTGATTTTCGCATAAGGCACTCCAACTGTAGCTGCAAAACAAAGTCAATGTCTGTAAACCATGCGGATTAACAGGCAAAAATGCATGGTCTCAATACGCACACGGCACTCGCAGAGTTGCACCCCTGAAGCCACCCGCCTTGTCATCGATCAGGAACTTGTTCAAGGTGCCCTCCTTGGCTGCGTGCTGCTGACCCCGAACAAACTCCCCCATTACCCAGAACTTAGCTACTTGGTGCATGCGGGCGGCGTTGGCGTAGCAAATTCGCTGTACTGCAGCCATAAGCTCTTGGGCGATGTTGGCACCGTCATCCCGGCTGACGTCCACGCCGGAGCAAGAGATGAAGAGCGTGGAGATGTTGCCTCAATTTACAACCCAGGACCGCCTGCCATATGCGCCATGCATGTATTAGTCCATGCAGGAAACAGCACAGCGTGCATACCTGCAATGACACGCGCACACACACACACACATACACCGATGAATGTATGTATGACGCATGTGCTCCTGCATGATTGCATCTGTCTCTGAACGCGTGTGCGCCCTCTAATTGTGAAAGAAAACAACAACAAATAACATGTTGCACTGTCTCCCAAGATTGCCCGCCACATGCTGATCAACATGTGACTGGAGAAAGCAATAGATTCAAAGCCAGCTTCCGGGCCAAACACCACAACCTGCCCCCATGTACTTGCGCTCGCAATGTCACGGAATGTGTGCCAACCCTCCCCCCCCCCCCCGGCCCGCCCAAAAAAGAATGGGATCCAACGACCCCTGCACATCCCTCCACATGTCCAGCAAGTCACGCATCTCATTGACATAGGTCAGAGTTCCATCCTCGATCTGCTTGAAGACCGCCGAGGGAACAAACTTCCGGATGATGTCCAGCTCTGTGATGGTGAACTGCTGACCCTGTGAGGCCAGGCAAAGACACGCTGGCAGTGAGAGAAAACAGCACGGCGCAGCGATGCCCTTAATTGCAGCGATGCCCAAACAAGCTGCATTCAAGCGGCACCAAAAAAACGGCCTTGTTCTGTACCAGGCTTCGTCCAACGTCGTTACCGCCACAAAGGGACCCAAGTTTGAGAAGCTGCGGTCATAAGGCCAACAAGTCCCCAATGTTTGCGAATACAAAGCTGGAAGCAGTTTCTGCTTGCGCCGTGTCATGCAAAGTACGCCCAACAAACAAGCACGGAACTGACCGGGGAATCCCTTGCGAGGCGACGGACCCCAAGCTCACCCCCTGAGGCCCTCCGCGCCTTGCGTGTGTCCCTCTCTTGGGCCGAAGCCTTGACGGTAGGGAAGGTGAACTTTGACTCGTCCAGCTTCAGCAGGAGGTGGAACAAAGGGTTGTCCTCATGTGAACCCCCCGGGCCAAGACATTTGCAGCGAGCCCAAAAAAAAGAGTTTTATGCTTTCCCCTCGCGGAAGGCCTTGCAGAAGCACCAATATACTCAAAGGATGGGAGAGCCTCGCACTCGTCAATTTAGAGCTTCAGGAAAGGATGTCTCCTCTGGGTTTCGTAGTGTATTTACACATATGCACACACGCAATGCGGCTAACTTTCTCAGAATCCCACAGTTGCTGAGCAGTCTGCTGTGATTGTCATGGGCACTTGCAACGCTGATCCTGCCAAGATTCTAGCTCTCTGCTCTTGTCCGGCAAAACATACTCCTGAACCTTGCCCAGGCGAACACGCGACTGAAGCGTCAATGTGTTGCTGGGATGACGGATGGGGTGTTCTAAATTAAAGTGCTTTCTTCGCATAGAGGCCAAGTGCAATGTCAGTTCTGACAGGGCAAACAAACAAAGCGAGTCATCAGTCTGAGGAACACAGAGTATGGTCTAAGCACAAAACCTCTCACAGCAATCCCTTATTGTGGTCATCAAATCAAGCTCTCGCTGGCCAAACCCAACAATGTTTTTGTTGAATCGTGCTTGGCCAAATTGGTCACACCACGTTGGGCATCTTGCGACAAACGGCCAACGATCCTCCCTGATTCGTTACCCTCATAGGCCACTCTGAATCATGGAGAATGCACCTGGCAAACATAAGCATACCCTGAATTATGCAACCGGAACATCTACGAATCATTGTCCCAAAAACCTGAAGCACATCCACATCTGGGCCCATGGTTCAATGAATCAGCTGGACCTTGAGGTGGCCAGGTGGCCAGGAGATCTCTGAGGCTCTCAAGCTGCAAGCGAGGAGCGTGCTCCCAGGCTTGTGGGCTCAGGCAGGTCTCCCCGTTCTTGGCCAAGGGCTCCGCGATGGAGATCTGCTCCAGGGGAGCACCTGCCGCTTCAGCGCGTCACAGACTCAGACTGAGTTCCGGGGGCCGATCTGTTCATAAGTCACAGCGAAAGTGGCTCATGTCTCAAAGCAAATGCCTCGACCAAACTCTGTTCGACGCAGTGCAAGTGCTTCGCACAAACGTCCTCATCCTCAATTTGAAAACGCACATGTCGCAGGGACTAAGCTACCCTACCACCTTTACAAAAAGGCCACCACCTCGAAAGGCACTGCCCACGTCGCCTGCGATGATATACTCGGACCGGGGGATGTGCGTCTCCGGCGGCTCCACGCCGCCGACTTGGAGGATCGCAATCTGCGCGGCACGGTCAGCACATGGCGGGAAGAGATGGCTGTGGGTCAAAAATAGGTACCCAAAATGGAACCCTGGTAAAAGGAACATGGACTAAAACCTGCGGTCGCCTGGTGGTTTAATTTTGACTCTCAATGGCCGTGGGCCGGTGAAATGCTGCTGGCGCTGTTGCTGTTGGCTCGGTCCCACTGCACAAACTGAACAAACAGGTAGGACCTCTCCATTGTCAATCTGATCACTGTGGGGGATGCTATGCATCAGGCGGCGGCAGGGATTATATAACATTATTTGGACAGGTCCCACCTGCTCCGACAGAAACGTACGCAGGCCCTGTTGCGCCTCGCCGCATCCCAAGCCGATGTGCAGGCAAAGGCGCACCCCGTCCACCCCGGTGTCGAACATGTGCAGCCGCTTCTGGATCCTGTGGCAGGAAGAACTGCCAGGGGTCTGCTGTGCTCACCGGGGTAGTGAGAACTAAGCGGCTTGGATCGAGAGATATCTTGTAGATCAAGCGGGGGCCGCTTTGGTTCGTATCCACCAATCTTTGCCCGACGAAGATGCGAGCCCAGGAGACAAAGCAGTTCCGTGCTGCTATGATTGAGGGGTGATAATCACCACTGCATAAAAGCAGCCCTTCCAAAGCCCAGATGCAAGGGAAGCTGGCCCTATGCAAGCCGTGTGACCCACCATAACACCGCAAGGAGTCCAGGCATCAGGGTGAGCGTTGGGGTGCCCTGCCAAGGCGCTCGATGCAGCAAGCGCACGCTCGCAGAACTGCTGTGGCCATAGGGCCGATGTCCTCAATCGCCAAGAGCATAGAATCCTCTTTAAGTCCTTTGAATCCTGCTCAGAAAGCGACGGTGCAAAACGGAAAAAAACACATAGCAACTTGGCTGCCAAGTTGACTTGGCAAGCCCTCTGCGCAGGAATGACCTACTGACATGCCAACCAGAACTACATTGCTGAGTGCGGCATTCGAATACATCGCGGTGGAAACTGTTGTCCTCTTAAATTGTTCTTGGGCCCAAATGCTGTCGTCGACATACAAACCTGACAGCACCCAGGAGCTGGTTGCCCTGAGGCCAAAAGCACCCGGTCAGGTCTCCACTTAAACTTTCAGCACCGAGCAGCGGGTTGGTGGTAGGAGCCATGGGGCGGCACCTTGAACTTGGACTGATCACCCACGAGGGTGTCGTCCACCGCGGGGAAATAAATCATTAAGGCGTCCCCGCTGAACTTGATGACATCGCCCCGGTAGGCGTTGATGAGCCTAGCCGACGGACGACTCCCGGAGACCACAGATTTGTGCGCATGGTGCGAGAAAGCTCCCGATTTGCCTGCAGAGTCCCAACCAGATCCCAACCAGAACCCCAAGCTCCACCTCAGCCTGAAGCAAGCCAAGCATCTGAATGAGGGGCGTGAAGAAGGAGGTCAAACACTGCGACAGCAGCTCAGCTCCGTTGGTTTTCTTGGCCAGTCGCTCCGTGAGAGCTGTAAAGCCTTGGCTCATTGGCTGGGCAAGACGTGCCGGAACGGGGGGGTTCAAGCCCATTTAATGCCGGTGGCTGAAAAACAAGCTAAATTTACATGTGGCTACCCGTTCGCGTGGCTTGACAGGAAAATACGCATGTGTGACAAACACATCATGGTTGGGTTGCGGTTACCTGTGGGGAGGGTGGCGGTGGCGGTGCCAGTGGTGGTGGATTAACACCAGATGTTGTTCTCTGCTGACACCGGCCCAAATGCCCTGACGACCGACTGGCGTCCATGGGGAACAACTGACAGGTGCACTTCCACGGAACTTTGCAACTCCCTTGGGATGTTGGCGACCGATCCCCGATTCCCGCTTCCCATCCGGCATTGCCCAGCCCCTTTTACGGTTTGAGGCCCCTCCCAGCCAAGTGTCCGCTGGCGTCAGAGAAGACTACCGCACCAGAGCCACGGTGGAGGACGATGTTGCCCTCGGAGACGTCGCCCTGGAGGTAGGCCTGCAGGCTTGATGCACACAGACTCCGTCCGGTTGGCACTAGCATGGTGCTAGCACAAAGCAACCTCGATACTGCAACTTTAGCTTGCGACATGCCTGCCGGAAACCACGGTGTGTTGCTTTTAACAGGTTCCCTTCACATGTCACAAGCATCAGAACCTGGAAGCTGTTGGCTTCGCCTAAACAAATGCAGATGTCCAAGAGCAGCTAGAGAACAGTTTGGCCCGATCAAGTCATAATCATGATACACGTTCAAACAAATCAAGCAAACCCATGCCAGACTTGCTGTCAAAAACATCAAAACACATTGAAGCGAAAGTGGTGTGGCTGGACTGCGCAATTGCAACATACTACAAAAAAAGAGAATCCTTAGGTAGGACCTCCAAGGCAGAACTCACAACTTCCAGGAAACATGGCCGATGCTCTCCTTCAGGGTTATGGCACTCCCTGCTGGGAAACCCCAACACTCAGACATCTGTCTACACAGTAACCGCGTCCTTATTGTTAAATCCACCCCTATTAAATAAATATTACTTTTCAGGCCACATCTAAAAAACAAAGACTTCCCCCTGTTACTTTCAATTGACCTACTACTGAACTTCTGACGGCCATTATTCGGGGCATTTTCAGCACCTTCCGTAATTGTGAAATCAAATTGTAAATTGTAATTGTAAGTTAGCCATGTTCGCCTTCGAAATTTGAATTGACAAATCCCAACAAGTTCCTTGAGTAATACATAGATATATACATATATGCCTTTCTCGCCGGATTGCGATTTTGACGGCTTTTGTGCGCGGCGAAGGGGGGGACTCCTTTTGGACGAGGACTGTACTGGAAATTCCTGGGACCTGGGATCGTATGTTGCCAAATATGTCTTCAGGTAAAGTTTTTCTTACTAGCTGTAGCAAGGGGAACCGGGACCCGGACCCGATCGGGGCTATGGCGCTATGCGCTTATGAACTGCACGAGCCAGAAGGATAACATGGGGCAGCCCATCAGAACCATTTCAAATGGCAAAATTTACACGTGGCTTGTAGCTCAGGGGCCCCAAAGCCAGAGCCTGCTGCACGATCCAGGGGACGAAGGCCAGGGATCCAGAGAGGGCTTCACCGTTGCGGTTCCTGAGGCGACGTGAGCTGGAAACGCGTTGCGCCCTGCGAGGATTTTCTGAGGATTGACATGTGTTCACCCATCACCACTGGGTATGGTCTGCCTCCAGGCTCCCCCCGGTCTGAGAGGCCTGCAACCCACAATGTTGAGAACTAAATCTACAACAGGACAGTCGCAGTCGGACAGGCAGGCTTTGGTCAAGAAACGCAGATTGACACCGAACAAATGCGTCTCTGTGTGTGTGTGTCTGATGATGCACTCTAACTATTTTTGTCTCCAGGAGTGTGTGTGTGTGTGCCATGCGCCTGTGTCTGTGTCTAAGCACGTCTGTGCGTGGGCCTGTGTGTGTGTGTGCGAGCATCTATCTGTGTGTATATACCCAACTCTCTCTCTCTCTCTCTCCCTCTCTCTCTCTCTCTCTCTCTCTCTCTCTCTCTCTCTCTCTCTCTCTCTCTCTCTCTCTCTGTCCACGCGTGTACGTGTGCAGCGAGCAGGTGTGTGTGTGTGTGGATGTGGGTGCGTGTGCGTGTCTGCACATCTAAGCCTACCAGTACGGCTGCCAGTCTTCAATTTATCTCCAAATGCAGATGTATCTGTGAGTCTAAATGTATATATCATGTGTGTTTGTGTGTATCTGTGTGTGTCTGTGTGTGTGTGTGTGTCTGCGTGTGTGTGTGTCTGTGTGTGTGAACCTGTGTGTGTGTGTGTCTGTGTGTGTGTCTGTGTGTGTGTCTGTGTGTGTGTCTGTGTGTGTGTGTGTGTCTGTGTGTGTGTGTGTGTCTGTGTGTGTGTGTTTGTGTCTGTGTGTGTGTGTCTGTGTGTGTGTGCGGAGTGACAGAATGCCCTGTCACCACCTTTTCCGATTTTCAGCAGGGGGGTCACCCGCAGTCACGACCGGTGACCCAACGAAGAGGGTCGTGACCTGCGCTGATAACTGACCTGATCAGTCAGACGTACCTGCCGAGATGGTTGTGTTGTTCTGAATGTCCTTTTGGTCCCCCCCTGAACCGCCGTTGCTTCTGTGTGTCCCTGTTGAAGTAACTACAGGGAAGCCAAGTGACCAGCAAGCCGATGGGGTTTGTCCCCAGTTGTACTCGAGACTCATCAGTTGTACTCGAGACTCATCAGTTGTACTCGAAAGATTAGCACTCTCCATTTGGAGTTTAAGTGTGTACACCCCATTCGTGGGGAATCCTCGGGTGTACCCATTGTGTGACCCCGGGCCGGCTCTGTCGGAAAATTTGACCTCAGCGTGCTGATCATAGAACGGCGGAATTTCACATTTAACCAGGAACGAGGTCTCACTAAAGGAAAGACAGCGGTCAGATCATAGCGACGTCTCACCCTACGTCCCCCCTTTTCCTCGCCTTCTTCATCCGCGTGCCCGTCTTCTGGTCCTTCGCCCGCTTAGGGATGGCTTCTCCTTCCTCCCGTTCTCTTTTCGCTGCCTTTCGTGACCCGCGCGTTCGTCCCGTTCCTGTTCGCCCGCTTAGGGATGGCCTGGTTGTCCTCGCGTTGTTCACCTTTTTCCTCGTCTTCGTCTTCGCGTCTGTCTTCCTGTTCCTACTCCTCTTCTTCCTCACGTAGTTTGGCTTGACGTCTTCTTCCCCTTCCGTTGCTACTTCGGGTCCGTCCTCTTGGCCCCTGTGTGGGATTCGACGTCTTTCTCCGCGAGCCTTGGTCTTCATCCTCTGTTCCTATCTGGGCGGGATGCGTCGCCCTAAAAACGCATACTACTACTTCCCTCTTCCTCTTCCTTCTTCCTTCTTTTCTCCTTTTTGTTTCCCTGCCTTTTGCTTCTTGTTCCTTCTTCCCGGGCGGGATGCGGCGCCCTAAATACGCACCCTGCTCCCTTTTTTTTTCCCCCGGGCGGTTGCGACGCCCTAAATACGCTTCTGTCTCTCTCTCTCTTTCTCTCTCTCTTTCTGTGTCTGTCTCTCTCTCTCTCTCTCTCTTTCTCTCTTTCGCCCCTTTCTTTCTTCCCTTTCCTTTTCTTTCCCTCTCTGGCTATTTCTTGTACTTCCTGTTCGCCCGGTTAGGGATGGCCTGCTCCTCTTCTGCCTCTTTGCCTTCGCGGCCCCTTTCGTCTACAAGGTCTAGGTCGTTGTTGTTTTTTTTTTTGCGCTGGTTGGGGTTGTTGCCCTCGGAGACCCGAAACCTGGCTTCCCCGTTGTTCTTGTTTCTTGTTTGGGGTTTTGCCCGCGGAGACCCAACTTGGGGCCTTTCTGTTTCTTTTGGGCTCCCTTGCTCCGTTTGTTTTCTGTTGGGGTCTTCGCCCGGTTTTGGGGCGCGTGGTTTTTTCTCCCCCCGAAAAAGTGGTTCTCGCCCCTCATTGAGGGGCGTGTGTGTGCGGAGTGACAGAATGCCCTGTCACCACCTTTTCCGATTTTCAGCAGGGGGGTCACCCGCAGTCACGACCGGTGACCCAACGAAGAGGGTCGTGACCTGCGCTGATATCTGACCTGATCAGTCAGACGTACCTGCCGAGATGGTTGTGTTGTTCTGAATGTCCTTTTGGTCCCCCCTGAACCGCCGTTGCTTCTGTGTGTCCCTGTTGAAGTAACTACAGGGAAGCCAAGTGACCAGCAAGCCGATGGGGTTTGTCCCCAGTTGTACTCGAGACTCATCAGTTGTACTCGAGACTCATCAGTTGTACTCGAAAGATTAGCACTCTCCATTTGGAGTTTAAGTGTGTGTGTCTGTGTGTGTGTGTGTCTGTGTGTGTGTGTGTGTGTGTGTGTCTGTGTGTGTGTGTGTGTGTGTGTGTGTGTGTGTGTCTGTGTGTGTGTGTCTGTGTGTGTGTGTGTGTCTGTGTGTGTGTGTGTGTGTGTCTGTGTGTGTGTGTCTGTGTGTGTGTCTGTGTGTCTGTGTGTCTGTGTGTCTGTGTGTCTGTGTGTCTGTGTGTCTGTCTGTGTGTGTGTGTCTGTGTGTGTCTGTGTGTGTGTGTGTGTGTGTGTGTGTGTCTGTGTGTGTGTGTGTCTGTGTGTCTGTGTGTCTGTGTGTCTGTGTGTCTGTGTGTCTGTGTGTCTGTGTGTCTGTGTGTCTGTGTGTCTGTGTGTCTGTGTGTCTGTGTGTCTGTGTGTCTGTGTGTCTGTGTGTCTGTGTGTCTGTGTGTCTGTGTGTCTGTGTGTCTGTCTGTCTGTCTGTCTGTCTGTCTGTCTGTGTGTCTGTGTGTCTGTCTGTGTGTCTGTGTGTCTGTGTGTCTGTGTGTCTGTGTGTCTGTGTGTCTGCGTGTCTGTCCAGCGTCTGTGTCTGTGTATTTGTCTGTGTTTTCGCGTGTCTCTGTGTCTATGCCCCTCCGCGCTTGCTGTCTGATGCTGTCTGTGTGCGGTGCGTGACGGATCTGTGCCTAGCAATGGCATGTGCTCGACATTGCGCGTACCATGTTGCTAGAAAGCACGCAAACTTTACAAGCTCTCCGGAAACCGAGTGGTTGCCCAGCGGCTTAAACCACCTCATCGCCTCTGGCGGAAGAGGTTTCCGGTTGCCTGGCACGTCCTCGATGTCATAGCCTCAGAGCTGCCAGGTTGAGCTGCTTAGCTCTGGCCACTCTCCAAGCGGAGGGACTAAAGGCCCCAGAGCCCAACTATTGAAGTCCGCGTTGACCCTCACAAGCCAGCCGAACACCGCGCCACACCATTCCATGGGCCGGGGGTCAGTCTGTTACCCTTGATGCGCCGATCATGGGATGGCATTCCTGGGGCATGTGTCAGAGCGAACAATGACAATCTTGCCCGTCTGCAAGCCCGTACGAGGAAGCTTGGAAAGAGCATCACCAACAAGCATCCAACATATTCTCGAGACAAATCCATTTAAGAGCCGAAAGGGCGCCGCGCCAAAAGATTGCTAGCAAATCAGCTACCTAAACGGAGGGCTCAAACCACTTCATGTTGCAACCAAGAAAGCAGGGAACAATATACGGGGTGCTGCTGCTTCCTCCTGTTCCGCCTTTCCTCTCAGCCATCTTGTCCACTCCAAGCACCCCCATTTTCTTGGGTGAGCTATGCATATTCGGTGACCTGAGATGCAAACAAAAGCCGCGCAAGAGGGAATATTCATCAGAGGTCAAACAGTAAGAAACAAAATCCTCTTGCGAGGCTGTGATTTCGTGTGATCAAATGTGTAATATCTCAAACCCTCCACAACATGGGGAAATCCGAACACTCGACAAATCAGCATATCCCATTGGGATTCGTGGGCCCTGCCCCCCCAAAAGCCGCAGGAGGCCACCGACCGCGGAGCGCGACGGATGGATCGCCAAGGGGCCAGTCTCCGTGGACCGCACCAACTGCCGGGGCTCCTCGGGCTCCAGGCCCCGCTTGGTGCGGCTGGTGAGGCCTTTGGACACCTCGAAACCTCGCTGGCTGCGGTTGGCGACATTTAAGCGCCAGGGCCGGGGAATGGGACCGACCCTTCGCATCTGCGAATGAAAAACTCTGAAACATGGCTGGCGAGCTCGCATGAGTACGCACACACCCTGCATTTTAATCATGTTGGGGGGCGGAATCTTGCTTGAATGTTTTCAAGGGTGGTTTTCTGTGTATCCTATATATTTACACACACACACACACACACACGCTGCACCGAAACGGGCCCGTGCGATGAGCGATCTTTTGTAAAATATGCTGTTGAGATCTCCGCGCACGCGCTTTGATTTATTCATGGCGGAACAGCTGCCAACATCTGCATGCTTGGGGTTAATGAAATGCAGTTTCCTTAAGTACTCACAGCAGCCAGCAAACAACCGCGTCTTCCAGACCATGTGCGACAAGGCCAGGTGTACCAGAATAAGGCCAGGTGCTGATTTCGCAACCCTTAGGGCGAACACCAGGTTGGCCAAATTGCGTCCTCCTAATGCAAAATCTGCAGCCAAGATACCATCGAACATCGACTTCCGTGGGGAGTCCTCCTCCGGCCTTGGCCTGAGCTGCACAAAACACCTCTGAGCCATGCCGGGCGCAAGGAACATTTGTCCCTCGCGGTCTCACCTTGCTGTATGGAGTACTCGGGCTTATTCAAATGTCAAAGGATGTTGGTTCGAGCTTTTCCTCACTTATGAACTTGAGCCGCCTACGAGGAAGCTCCATTGATACCCTTCTTGTTGCTACAGAACATTTTGCTGGTATCGTGGGGTTCTGGAAAAAGTCGAATCCCACCGCTAGTAACCTGAGTGCAAATTGACTCTGACGCTAATTCGTTACATCTGCTGGATTGGCGCTCACATCTTTGCTCGCATAACCAACAAGCGCTTGAACTTGGGAGACCAACATGTCGATACTGCAAGGTTCCACAAGCTGGGCTGTCCTCAAATCCCCTAAAAGTTTAACTTTTAGTGGGTTTTCAATGGAGACCCCACACTAAAACAACTAAAAAGCTAATAAAAGAAACAAGGAACCCAGGCATCCCTACATAAACTACGGCAGCTATTTGCTACATGGTTGAATGTTCGGGGTTTCCCACCTCGTCCTCCAACTCTGCACCCCGTTGTACTCACTCTGGTTGCTGTTCCTTCGAGCCGAGTGGCATGGCCTGGACATGGCTCTTGGAGCCGTTGCCGCCCATGGCTATACCAGCCGCGCCGCATATCGAGCCGAGACTCAATCCAATGAAACGCGGCTTCCCGCCCTTGGGGTTCAACAGGGCTGCAAACAATTTCAGTCCCAAAACCATCAATCCAAATCATTTGTATCAATTAGTTGCTTCAATTATGAAACCCCGAATCCAAGCAACTGCTGCTGGCCTGGGTGAGGTCGTTCTCAAAGATCGAGCAAGTGTCACCCTAGGCCCTTGTTCCGTGAGCAATGGTGCTCGGTAAACGAATGACAGCTGGGTATTCTGTAGAGCCACTTGCAGTCTGTGGTTGGCCGCAAGGAGAGCTGATTCAAAAAACATGTTGTCACATCAACGACTGAAAGCTATGGTGGAGATGTCTCTACAAACATAACGCTGATGAGCATGTGAGTGTCAAGCAAATGCCCTCAAAGTATGGGGAAATTGCTGCTGCTAGTTCTTGCGACCCCTCCTCCAGCATAACTCATGTGCCCTGAACTCAGCCCAGCTCAGTTCCTCTCCTTGCCGCAGCCGTTGCGGAGGCCGCAGCACTGGTGGGGCAACAGCCCGGGGCAGCGCGAGCATGGCTGCTGGCTCGTGGGGGATGGCCAAGTTTGGGTAGCCGTAATTAGGCACCAAGGGTCAAAGCTCTTTTTTTTTGGGAGGTACAATAGGTGCCACTGGCAGAAAACGAACTGAAGAGCCGTACTGCACATGTTCCACATACTGCGTGGCCGGTGCCCAGAAACAAGCCTCGCCGACATGCCAAACGCCCTTGAGCCAAAGTCGATGGTGCTCTGGACAGTGTTTGCCTGCAAACCATCGCACGAGGAAGCCAGGCGTCAACACTCAAGAAATTAATCAAGTTCAGTGGCAATTGGCCAAAGCTGCTGCTTTGACAATGCTTTCACCAGGCGTCAAACGTACCTGCAACACGAACTGTCACACATGCACACGCGCGCAAGAGAAATACCATGCCGAATTACACGAGGTTGTGCCCGCCTGTAAGTCCTTTCACCAAGCGTGCATCCACAGCCGGAAAACCATGACTCGGTCTGAGAATGAGCAGGCACTTGCCGGCGCTCTGACAAACTCTGACATGCACCTCTGGACAAGGGACATCAGACTCTTTCCTGCGGGATCACTGAAAGTCTGTTCAATGATTTTGCCAGGGCTCTTGCCAAGGCCCCGCCGCCCCCAGCACAAAGCGTGTTTCATACCATCAAGGGGATTTAGTTGTTTAGGATCTCGGATGCCTGGTGTTTTGAACCAAACCCAAGCAAAACCACCCCCTCTGGTCTGCCCCCTAAATCCCCCCTCCCCGTGCAGCGCCTTCCTTTTCCCGCAGTTCCATCCTCCTCTTCGCCGAAGAGCCGTGCGGCGTCCGAGTGGCGCAGCTGGCGCCTCGCCTCCTCGATCTTCACGAAGAGGTCGTCCACGTCCTAAGCAAACCCGTTGGAACGTGAGTGGATGTGAGGGATGAGACCAGGATGAAACCAGGATGAAACAATGGGGAGCCCCCAAGGTAATACTGGATTTCCTCAAGTCTTGCACCCAGGTCATTCAAACTGAGCTGCTCGGAAGTATCTGCATGACGCCTCGAGTATATACTCGTCCAGTTGATCACGTCTTATGAGGCAATTCGAAGCTGTTTTTCAGCTCAATGCTGAGAAACCGCGCGCGGTCGTAGGAATTGTGGAACAAGGCCTTCCCGAAAATGCGGGGGCAATGAGGAATCAGTTGATAGCAAAGGTGTTCAGCAGCCATTTGCAGCCCCAAAAGGAAAACCAATCTCGCCGCCCGAGCCATTAAGCTGAGCCAAAGATTCGATGCACACCTCCGAATCTGCCGAGCCCACTTCAGCGTTCAGGCACACCAGCTCAAAGCATCGCAAGGCCTGGCGATCCAGCCGAAAGGAATGAACCCAAGCAACGGCCAGTTAGGGCTACCCAATGAGCACCCGCCACTCCTCCAAAACCCAATCGACTTGGAACCTGACAGGAAACGTTGTGGAGGGGGGGTTTGGCAACTCATGTGGCTTCATTCGAGCGTGGGGATTCGAGGGTGTCGGGGCTGACTCACACCAATAGGATCCTCGAACCTGTGCCGAGGAAATTGTCGAAAGCGCAAGGCGCGTGTTGCTTGCCTCAAAAGTCTAACATGCAGTGCAAATTCTCACGTTGAAGGTAGGCTGCTCATCGCTCTTCGCCGCCACCAGCATTTCATCTAGACCGCTTCGCTCTGAAAAAACTCGGTCAGTCCCCGCCGCATTAGCGCACGTTAGCACACTCGGGTAACTATGCAAGCCTCCTCAAAGTCGTCCAGGTCCGCATACACGTCACCCAGTGCTAGCAAGCACTGGGAGCCCTCCTCGCGGCGTGCACTGCGTGGAGCCAGCCCCTCTCAAGCCTCTCAAGCATGCAGCCTTGGCAGGTTCGTCTGGGCTGGGTCATGCCACACAATTGCACAATGCACAGCACAAACAGTGAATCGTGGATGCTCAAGCCACAGTGGTTGTTTGCATCACTGTTGTGAAGGCCTCTCCCGCCCATCGTGCCTCCGTGCCCATACGCCCGCGCCACTCAAGGATGGTCCTGCCAAACGGGATGCAGGGACCCGCTCTTCCGGTCCCTTGCCAGAACTCCATGTGGCTGAGATCCTTGTTGTCTGCTGGCTATTGAAGGAACAGTTTGCTTTCTTGTCTTCGGTTGCTCATGTTGAACAGGAAAACACACGAGGATGATTCAGGCACAAAATGAGGGTGAGCGCGCGGGCTGGTGTGTATGTGTGTGTGTGTGCGTGCGCCATCTTTGCTTTCGCGTCAGCTTGGTGTCTGAATTCCTTCATGGTTTTGGGGTAAATCAACAACTGTGTGTGAAAACCTTTGGGGCGTTGGGGACCCTTCAGGGAGGCCAACGCTAAACCTTTTCATTTAGAAGGCTGATTCCTAACACATTTCGCTGTAGCGCTCTGCCCCCCAAATGGCATCCATTCGCAAAATGTATAGCTGCAAAACACACGGCCATGGCGTCCACTTCTGCAAAACCAGATACTCATAGGTGACCCTTTGGACAAACTAGAATGGCCCTGACAAATGGAATCAAACCGAACCAGCAAAAAACACAGGCATGGCGTCCCCTTCTGCAAAACCAGGTACTCACAGGTGAGCCATTGGACAAATGGCCCTGGTAAATGACATCAAACGCATCTAAACCAGCAGAACACACAGCCATGGCGTCCCCTTCTGCAAAACCAGGTACTCATAGGTGACCCTTTGGACAAACTAGAATGGCCCTGGTAAATGGAATCAAACCCATCTAAACCAGCAAAAAACACAGCCATGGCGTCCCCTTCTGCAAAACCAGGTACTCATAGGTGACCCATTGGACAAATGGCCCTGGTAAATGACATCAAACGCATCTAAACCAGCAAAACACACAGCCATGGCGTCCCCTTCTGCAAAACCAGGTACTCATAGGTGACCCTTTGGACAAACTAGAATGGCCCTGGTAAATGGAATCAAACCCATCTAAACCAGCAAAACACACAGCCATGGCGTCCCCTTCTGCAAAACCAGGTACTCATAGGTGACCCTTTGGACAAACTAGAATGGCCCTGGCGAATGGAATCAAACCCATCTAAACCACAGCCATGGCGTCCCCTTCTGCAAAACCAGGTACTCATAGGTGACCCTTTGGACAAACTAGAATGGCCCTGGTAAATGGAATCAAACCCATCTAAACCAGCAAAACACACAGCCATGGCGTCCCCTTCTGCAAAACCAGGTACTCATAGGTGACCCTTTGGACAAACTAGAATGGCCCTGGCAAATGGAATCAAACCCATCTAAACCAGCAAAACACACAGCCATGGCGTCCCCTTCTGCAAAACCAGGTACTCATAGGTGACCCTTTGGACAAACTAGAATGGCCCTGGCGAATGGAATCAAACCCATCTAAACCACAGCCATGGCGTCCCCTTCTGCAAAACCAGATACTCATAGGTGACCCTTTGGACAAACTAGAATGGCCCTGGCGAATGGAATCAAACCCATCTAAACCAGCAAAACACACAGCCATGGCGTCCCCTTCTGCAAAACCAGGTACTCATAGGTGACCCTTTGGACAAACTAGAATGGCCCTGGCGAATGGAATCAAACCCATCTAAACCAGCAAAACACACAGCCATGGCGTCCCCTTCTGCAAAACCAGGTACTCATAGGTGACCCTTTGGACAAACTAGAATGGCCCTGGCGAATGGAATCAAGCCCATGTATGTTTAACCACACGACACTAACCGACCAAAAGGACGACCCATCTGCGCTAAGAGCGCAGACTCCGCGCGCCTCGCCGCCTGCAGTGGGTCCAGGGCCGCCGCCGCGTCCCCGGCGCCGCTGAGCGCAAGGCCGAGGCCCCGCAGCAGCTGGGCCGCCAGCGGCGTCTCCAAGGCCTCCGCCTCCTACGCCAAGCTCCGCGCGCGCCGGACGTGGCCGCGAGGTCGGGGGAGAAACGAAACGCCTGGAAATGAAACCATGCTGCCAGGGGCCAAAGATCTTGAATCAAGGGAGGGCACCATCCAACACTAAGCAAAAAGATCAATTTCAGGAACATGGCGTTAGCATGAGGCATGAAGATCAGGTGGCAACAACTTGACGACTCGTACTCCCTCAAAAACGCCTCCTTGCAGATTTGTAAAGACGTAAGCCTTTAAAGGGAGCAATCCGGAAGGCCCCAAAGAAAACCTCAAGGAAACCCACGCATCGCTCGTTGTCCGAGAGTTGTCCGGACCCGCAACAAGGCCCTTGGCGCATCCATCCCCCCACCTCCAGCTCTGGCAGGGCCTCCTCGAAAGCGTCCCGCGCGCGCAGGAAGTCCTCCGCCGCCAGGTAGGCCATGCCTGGGGTTCTGATGGTCTATGGCCAGGAGTGGCTCAAAAGGTGGCGATGTGGCTTTAAAGGTATATACCCAAGCTGGGAATCGTACAAGGGTTCCTCCCAACACGGAAAACATGTTGTGCCTGGTCCGGGTCCAGGAATCAAACACGTGCACAAACGTGCTTGAACAGATTGATGCACTGCATGCGCCTGAGCATGCACAAATGCCTCGGCTTTCGAAAAGGCGAGTCCATCCTCTTCCGCTCTTGGTGCTGTGCCAAGAGGAAAAAAAAAAACAAGTCTTGATGGACAACTTACGACACTGACACACACACACACACAGCTTGCAAACCTAAAAAGGAGCACTGCGACACAAGAAGACGCTGAAAGCAAACAAATGAGGGCAGGAACAGCTTCGCCAAGCCAACATTATGGACACATCAAAACAACCAGCATGAACACACCGTAGCGCATCGGCAAAGAAAAACACAACACCATGATGACTATCGGACAGCATCAGCAAGAGCAAGCAACCAACATACTTCGTGTCTTGCAGGCCAAGACAAGCTTGAGGGAACGTCATCAACCATAGGTTTGATACGCAAGGCATAACAAAAATCCACAGCACTGCAAGCAATGCGCCCCTGGCCTCGCAAAGGCAGTGGCCCCCGACCCCGCGGGCCCGCCCGGGCCTAGGCTCACCAGGGCCAGTGGCTCCTTTGGCAGCGCTTGGAGCTCCAGCAAAGCCTCCTGGGACCGCCCCAACCTGCGGTCGTTTCGAGTTCCGAGCGGGCCTTGCGTGCCCGGGCGCTCGCTCGGTCGCTTTGCTCTAGCTCGACCCACGGATGGAGAACTCTGTGGCTTCTTGATGTGCTGTAGCTCACGTGGGGTAAGAACTCAGATGTGGCTGCCACGTACTCTTGGTTGTTTCTTGGTGATTCAAACCCTGGAGGATCTTCCACAGAAAAAAGGCAGCCCCGCCCGGCACCATCGCGCCTCACAAGCAAATCCCCGAGGACCCGCCGCACAAAGAGGCCCACTTCGGAGTCAAGCTCTCCTTCGGCTTCAAATGGGTGCAACATGGCAAATTGCCAAAATGGAGAGCGATATTCATTGGAGGTTCGGAAAACCCTACCAAAAAAACGCTGACTAGGAACAACCTGATAGTGGACAAATGGCAGACCTCGGCCTTGGGGGTCTAGGAACAGGCAGCTGGCCGACCTAAGAACTCTCCACCTGAAAAGGCAAAGAAAAGGTCCGCAAGCCCGCTTATGACATGCCGGCAGCGACGATTATCATCCGCCTCTACATCTGTCTGCTCTTAGCCCGCCAGCCCTGCCACCGCAAGCACCATAGAAAGGTAGCGCTGGACAATCCACATCAAGCTGAAACAATGATGGCTCCACCTGCTCCGCGCAGCAGGTTCATGGCGGCCTCGCATTGGTCCAGGCCCGACTGCAAGGTGGGCCCTGCGGCGCAACATATATGGAGGGGATGTCCCGCCCCGCACCTTCATGCTCAATCGGAATGCCATCCGTAAGCCTGTCTTGGCTCATGGTCCATGGTGTTCCGAAGAAATGCGGTCTGAACAATGAACAGAACATGGAATATAACATGTATTCCTTGCGAGGGGGCTTCCCCCTGTTTTGCAATGAGTCTAGCCAGTCCAATTGCCCCTGCCGTCCTGCTTGCAAACTTGTGGCAGGGGCTATGTTCAATGGATTGCAACATGACTACATCCAGCAGTTACTTCGTGTCCTGCCTTTATTCAGCATGTTCACTCCAAGAATTAGATCACGTGGGTGAATATCATTGTGGACTCTTTGGTGCACCTTGTTTACAATGTGGCTTGGCCATTGTCCCTTGCGCAGGACCCAGCTGCCTGGAGCTTGTCAACAAATGTTGGTCGTTTCAACAGGAACCCATTCGGAAAAAGTGGAAAGGAGCGCCACTAGAGGGTCATTTTGAAACCCCCCCGCGTGAGCCTTGCCATGCAGTAATGATGGCAAGCTCCAGCCTCTGGCAGCCAGCGCTCGGCGCGCCATAAGCGCTGCACGTTGCGGCACCGCCAACCTTCGTATGTTAATGTTGCTTGACAGCTTTGTCAGGTGTAGATGGCTGACGCTGCAATCTTGAAACCAGGGGTCCCGTTCAAACGGCGAGAAACAAATTAAGACAAAGCAGGCCCCTCACAGCATTCCACCCCAGCACAATTTGAGGCCTTCCTATAGGCCAACAACAGTCCTGCAACGATTCGTGATTGCTCTGCACCACGTGGACGAAGCTTTCGAAATTGCTCTGCACCACGTGTGTGCGCGTCCCCAAACACAAACCAGAAACTTGCTTTCGGTGGCTGATGCTTAGAGTCGGGAATCTAGAGGAATCACCAGTAAACATGCTTCAAACCTTTTTGGTCGATTCGCAAGAAAGCGCCCAGTGAAGAAAGCTCCCCATGGGTGAATCTATGACTCAGCCCCTTGTGAGTTCGCATGGCTTTGATGTAGAGCATTGCACCATGAGGCTTCCCTCCAGCCATGTAAATCACTCCCAAACTGTCGTTGGTGCATTTGGACAAGCAGGCAGCGTCGAACATACCCATGCCAGGGGCAACTGGCACGCCGGTACTCGGCGAGCAAGCCCTCTCACGCGGCGAGTTCTTTGAATGAGGCGAGCCACGCCTGAAAAAGCTACGAAGAAACTTGCTGGCGCTCAGCAGGAAATGAGGAATGACCTCTACAAAACATCCCCTAAGAGAATCCCCTGGTTCATTCCCTCCTTCCCTGCTGAGAAGGGGTTTTGGTCTCAGCCAAGCGACTTGAGGTCTTCGTCCATCTCCCCCTGCGCCTTCTCGAACCACTCCTGCATGAAGCAAAACCCTCAACCCCGAATCCAGCCTGCGACTCGGCGGCCACAATTACAGATTCACTCCAAGCCTTGCATCTTGTGGACCAACCTGCCTTTCTATCCAGCAACAAGCAACGATTGCAAATATCCAGCAACAGAACTTGCCACTTCAAATCTGCATAAGTATTCTGTTTGGAGGTGGTCGGCCCTCTGGCATGCGCGTGAATCAACTAATTAGCTGAGATGCCAGAGCGGTCTCTGTCAAGGCATCTTCCAAGTAGGTGTCCCCGATCCTGCGAGGAATCGTGGTCACTAGCGACCTTGCCCACAGCCAACAGGACCTTAAGAGCCACAGAAACTGCCCCAACTCAATAAAACAGATATGCAACGTAGTGAGTCTATACTTCTCATTCGGTGCTAGCTAGGGAACCTGCGGTTGGTGCACACCCTTGAAAGTCATGTGCAGCCATAAGACTCGGGTTGACCGTCCTTCCGTATGATATAGTGCTACATATAGTTGAATATATGAGTGCATATGTATGTATATATGTATATGATATGAATGTGTGTGTGTGTATGAACGGCCATACACAAAGCTTTGAGCCATCCAAGGCGCCGCATGAGCAGCTCGAGGCGCTGCGGGCCTTCTGCCAGGCCTGGCATCCACCGCAAGGCCGGGCGCCGGGTGCGGAAATGTGAAAGGAGCTATGCCGTCGCATCGTGTGGAAAGTCGGGGCAGCTTTGAATAGCTCATTGGGTGCTCTTGGAACCGGGTTTTGGCTTTGGGGCTAGTGGCCTTGAATGAAGAATTTATCTGGCTTGTATCGACCAATCCAAACCACCAAGACGGAGCCACCCTAGTAGCTTAAATGACAAGTCCCTCGTTCACCTCCAAATGGCCCGCATGATGTTCAAACCATGGTCCACATGCGTCCAACCTCAGCAAGCCAGAACCGGGAAGTCCTAGTGCTTTAGTAGGTTGACTCAACATGTCCATTGGAGAACCGAATGTTAAATGGGAATTCAAACAGCCCGGAATCCACTGAGCCACCCTGCTTTTGTTTTTCTTTTATTTTTTTATATAAAGAAAACAAAAACAACATATCAAAAATCATATCAACCAGCCCAGGCGGCTGGAGGCCACGAAAGGGGCCGTTGGGCCCAGCCACACCCTCAGCCCGCGCCTAGCGCCGCCTCGAAGATCTCCCGGGCCAAGCGGGGCTCTCGGCACTGCCGACCCGCCGCCAACAGCTCTGCAGCCTCGAAACCGAGATCCCTTCAAAGCGCCAAAGGGCTGGGGGTGCAATGGGTGGGGCGCGTGGGTTTGGGTGTGGGGGGCTGGGGGGGGTTGCACTCCCAAGAAAGGTTACTAGAATAGTCCTCTTCTTTCTGCAGCAGTTTCAGCAGTGCGAGGGAGGAGCCTGATGAAAGCGTTGAGACCTTAGCTGGCATTTCTGCTTCAGACGCAATAGCCACACAAACCAGGATGCATGTTCAGCCTGAGGACAAAGCATATAGCTGCCTTATACTGTTTGGGGAAGAAATATCGATATCCAGCATTCTGACGTGATGCGAAGCTGGCCATTACCGGGCAGAAGCTGTTGCTGTGTGTTTGAAGAGTCTTTAGCAGGCATTTGTTGCATACCAAAGCCCATCATTGCAGCCCATGAAAAGAACCACACACACACACACACCTAGCTCGACAATCATGGCCTTGCCCAACTAGACTAGTTCCCTTCCATCCAGTGGGGGGGGGGATCGACTGCGGCCGGTGGGCAGCTTCAAGCGCGCCGCAACATTTCCCCCAGCCGATTGAATACAAGCCATCGCCGGTTGCAGAGTTGCTGAAGGCAATCCGCAACGTTGCCCACAAGCCCTGCCCTGCATGCCCACATCCGGGCTGCCCTAGCTGCTTTTGAAGCAAAGCCTGCTTTTCGGCTTCCATTGTCAATCTCCATGGCACAGTTTGGGGGTTAGCTGCGCACGGAAGAAGAAGCCCTGCTTCAAAGCCATGGCAATCTTGCTGCCACCGACTCGCAAGTGACGCTCGTGTTTACGCGAGTCTTGCACTGTAATCAAGATACCCAGCTGTTCGAGCAGTAAAGTAAAGCAAGAAGGCCGCTTAGCAGTGGTTGAACCAAAACATCAAACACGTGCTTCGCTTGCCGCTCATTCTTTAAGAAAGCTGACCTATGCTCACTTGCCAGGCCCGAAGACCGGCTCCAAGGTGTATGTCTCCACCTCGATCTTAGTGATGCCCTCGATGGCATGCCAGTGCCGGATCACATCCTGATGACCACTCGCAAGTGGGGAGCCAAAGGGTTCTGTGTGGAATCCCTCGGTCAATGGCCGCTTAGCTTGCAGTTGTCCAAGATGTTGTTTTCTCAATCGTACCACGCATATCTTGAGCAACTATCACCTTAGTCTGTTTCCTTTTCCTGGCTTGTTAGCCGGCGCTTGCAACAGTCGAGGAAAACAAAGTCCTCCTCGGGATGGAACTGCATCCCGGACCAATCCTCAAAGGCGTCCAAAGCCATTTTGCCTCGGCGTGGACAAGGTGCAACCCTCAAAGCCTAGTGGGCAATGTCTGCACCACCCCACTGGCAGCCAATAAACATAAACAAATAATCGGAACAAAATACCAACAACATATGACTTGAGCCTACTCCAAAATGCAAAGCTCCCCAGACTCATATGTTCTTCCCACAAACGCGTTGGTAGCACTTATGACTTTATTCCAGGGGCCCCTACAATAGTCTTGTTGCCTGCCTCCCCGTCAACATCTCGAAAAGAAGCTCCGGCAATACTAAGCCAAATGGAACCTCAAATCCAAATCAACGACTAAGCCAAATGGAAATTCAAGCTCACCACAGATGGAAGCGCAAACCCAAATTCAAAAGGGGAAGCTCCATCAATACTAAACCTCAAGTTGAGTATCCTTTGTTGACCCGGAGAAGGGTGGACCCCTGTACAAATCCCATTTAACCATTGCCTAAAAAGAACCACCTGAGGAGAGGAGTGCGAAAGCCAGCGCAACGCAAACAAGACATGTAAGCAAAAGCGGCCATTTTGTTCATGAGCGCCTGCGCGCGAAAAGCTTTCGCGCAGCGTAGTTGCGCGATTTCGGGCAACAATGTGTTCTTGTTTCCTTCGGCCTAACGCTGGACTAGCATTTTGACCTTCCTGCTGCGGGAGACCTCTGCGAGATTCTGCGAGACTTCCGCAAGACCTCCGCGAACCTTTGCGAGACCTCCGCGGGAACGAGGTGGAATATGTTGCGCACAGTTCTCGCGGAGGTCTCGCAGAGGTCTTGTCTCGCAGAGGTCTCGCCTGCAGGCTTGATATCGGGCAGATCTTTCTTCTTGCTTCTGCCAGCCCGACGCTAGACTAGCATTGTGTCCTTCCCACTGCGAGACCTTCGCGAGACCTTCGCGAGACCTTCGCGAGACCTTCGCGAGACCTTCGCGAGACCTCTGCGAAACTGCAAGACCTCCACGAGGCCAATGCGCAGCCTCCACACCGCCCAAGTAAAGTCCAAAAAGGAAGGAAAAAAACACCGTGAGAGTCGAGCCCTTGACCAGCCCAAACGGCAGGGATTCGAGCCCTCCAGCTCCGCAAAACCCCCAAAACCATGCGTCTGCCACGTCCAATCTCAATTAACATCTGCTCCGAATTTGGCACTTTGTTCGCATAATAAAACTCAGCTGACGCCTTTCATGATATGCAAAGAGGTGTTCAACGGCCTACAAGAATATGTACATGAGACTTACTCAATGCAGGAAACACGCGGGGTTGAGCCTTCCACAAACACCAACGGCATAGTGGCGGCGGTGTCTTCATGAAAGCCTCGATCAAAATCAGCGATGGCAAACATGTGACTCTTTTACCATATTTTTGCCCTCTTCCCCAGCAAAGAGGCAAATTAGCTTGAACTCCTTGTTGCAGCCGCACACCACTCGCTGTAGTGACAGGACACCTGGCACTCTCCGCAGCGCCGGTACCACGATCTCCTGAAGCTCAACGACGCGCATCTGAGTCGCTGGCACCTTCTGGGTAAGCCAGGCCCGGTCATTGCCAGGACCAGCCATGCCGGGTGGCACACAAACACTTCTTAAATAACGTTGGCTTTCCGATGCACAAATTTGGGCTAGTGCGGGCAACCTAACCCACACCCCTCCCCGCTCACCAATAGATGTGCTCTCGTAATCAGCCCGGGCCACCCCCAAACCCCCCAAATTGGCAAGGGGGCAAGACAAAAGAAGCTCCAGCCCCTAGGCTGCAGCTGCCATGTTGCTTGCTCATGCTACTGCATCCTGTCAATTGAAATCCTGATCCCTGAAATTTCAAACAGCGTGGCTTTCTGAAACTGCACAGGGCCTTCATCTCCAGCAATACTAAATTACATGGAAGCGCGAGACTGATCATGTGAAACAAAAGAGCTCCAATGTACTTTACCCAACCACATGAAAACTCAACTTCAAGTCTCAAAAGTCAGCTCCAGCAACACAAAGTTCAATGGACACTCAAATCCAACGATTAAACAGTAAAACTTTATATTGAACAAATATGCCCAATGCACATTCCCGTGCATCCCTTGTGTAGAATGTGACGCTTATGGATAATGTAGCACCCCAACTGGCGACTACAAGTGTGTTCACACCTTTGCCGAACTGACTGCACAAACGAAATCATGTGCGCTAGGAGAACACTTGCCAGTTCCGTTGAAACTCCATTAAGTTCCCCGCATTGAACGGACTATCCCCAATCGCTTGGCCGATAAGCTGGCTCGACCTGACCTTGCCCTTACACGGGTATTGGGTCAAAATTAAACCACCAGGGGACAGCAAGTTTTGGTCCATGTTTCCACTTACCAGGGTTCCATCAGGAGTACCTATTTTTGACCCACAGCCACACGGCATGATGGCGACATTACCACCCTCCAGCACTGCCAAGCACAGCCCGCACGAACCTGCCATTCCCTCCCGGTCCTCGAGGACCCTTTGGAGCTGCCTAAGGGACCTCTTGTCCTCGTCCTCGCTCCACACACAACGCCACTCTCGGGCAAATGTGTTGTAGTGGATCTCCTTGATCAAGTAGGCCGAGTTCCTGCCAAGAGTTCCAGAGCCACACCAGGCTTCCAGTCAATCGTGCGAGCATCCAGCAGGAGCCTTCTTCATTAGGAATCATGTGCACGCCCAAGCAAGAAATATGCGCACAGTGTCCCAAAAAACAACATGCCAGTCAAAGTTGTTCATGCATGCCACGCCTTGCTTTCAACTAAGCCAGGACATCGGCTGTCCATCCCCCCCACCAAACCATGCGACCGCCAACCACATGTCCGACACCGCGCGAAATCGCCCAAAGAGCCCAACGCGTCCTGCAGGACTTTTTCCACATCTCGGACTCGTAGAGTCGGAGCTGGTCTATCTGCCCCGAGGAAAGGGAGGAAGGGTCCTCCACCATGGGCTTGTCCTGAGTGATTGTTGCCTCACCCTCTAATCCCTACAAGGCAGACAACTGGAAACAGCTGACAAAGCAAGAAACCGCCATCTTGATTGCGAATGCAAGCATAGATGTACCCACGCAGTCAGAGAAAACTTGGTGAAGAATTGGGCCCTCCCTCCAACTGCAACTAGCAATAAAGCCGGACATTGTGGCGCTCGGCTGCTGTCTACATGACGCATTTCAATTGCAGTTTCCATGCCTTTAGGCAGCCCGTCCTCGGACTTGACGATCGCCATGGTGCTAAGTTTCCCGGCACTTCCGCTTGAGCCAGGAATGTGCTTCGTGGGCGGTGCATCTGGGTGAAATATGAGATTTGCCAACTGAGATTCGATCAAAACAGGGACACAGCAACACCTAGCGGCTCTGACTGGCAAAGCCAGAGTTGTGCACATCATCAAGTAACTGGCGCAAGGACTTCTGATCGCACTATCCTTGACCTTTCCTTTTGGGAGGCTGTCAGCTCACGATAGCTGCGTTCGCCCCAACCCTTCAAACTGCGGTGCGTGTCCTCCCACCTGACCCGACAAGCGAACAAATCAGCAAGCAGGCAAAGAAGAAACATGAAGAAAGGAAGCGACATGCAGCAACGCAAAGCAAAGAAAACAACCAATAATGCAACGCAAGCAATGAAGCCAAGCAAAGACCAAGTAGCAACACTAGTAAGCACAACAATGCGACCGTATCACAACCAACACCGAAGACACACACACACACAACTGCTTTTTGTTTCTTTGCAAAATGAAGCAATGCCATAACACAACTATACTTCCCGGGTACATTACGGTGGTTTCATCCATTCGCCATCCTGAATTGGGTTTTCCCCGGCCGATACCACTTGCCCATACAGCTGCACATGCACCAAAAACACGCACCACAGCCAGCTATCAAGTCACTGCATGCTGGGGCTGGCGCGTCGCTGAAGCAGCGTCGGCAGGTGCTGCGGCGGGGTGCCTGACTGCCAATCAGCCCGGCTCCCCAAAGCCAAACAACACAAGACGGAATCAGAATGCTCTGAGTGGGATTCACTAGGAAAATTGGTGGTTTGGGGGGTTGGGGCCAGGTGCTTGTCTGGGCTGGAAAAATGACGTGGGTGGACCCTCCTACTGGCAACGGCTTAATGATTGTAACTCTGCAAGATGCTCTGGAGGCAACCCTTCCCTTCGAAGTATTAGCTGTCATGTGATTGTTTCCGAGGCAAACAAAAGAAGAGCAAGGCAACACTTGAGGGGCAACATGCCGTCATGGCTGACCATGAGGCAGCTGCAGTCCCAACCACGGTGCAATATGTGCACAGCTCCTACCTTTGCAATCCCAGATAGATATCATAAGCTTTCGAGACCACCACAACAGCCACGTTGGGACAGGACAAGCCAACTTCGTATCGGGAGCAGTGCCAGGCAAGTTCGTCCCTTGATGCAGTGATGACCCGCCTGCAGCCAGCTGCGAGGAAAAGCAGCAGAGAATGCCTTGGCTTCGCAGCTGCAAATGCGTGCATCAGCCAAAATTGCCAGCAGCCAAAATTGCCATCGCGACGTATTGGGAGATCAGCAGGTCAAGTAATCAAACAAAGGCAAAGCCACAAGCCGGCTGAATTCTGACATCTCAAGCAAAGCAAGCGCCACGGAAGGCTCGTGGCCACTTGGAGCATCCTATACCTGTTGCCCCTCTTGTCTTTGGCAGGCAACGCCTGCATATGTTTTTTTAAACATTTCACACACTGACCCACGAACACAATTATCATGTGACTGATGCCTCCTCAAGTCAATGAAGTAATGGTTGCAGCGAACATGGCGCGCGGTCTTGCTTGCACATGCATTCAACTCATGTCACTTTGTAAGTTAGCAAGAAACGTGTGCTTCTCGCTGGTTGTCGGTTGCTTCCTGCCATCATTCCTGCCAGCAACACGAAGCCTCGAGGGTGACCCAAGGCCCAGGTGCGAATATCAGCAGCCAGCGCGCCATGAGCCATCCAGGTTGAAGGCTTGGTCTGCCCAGTTTCTGTGAGCTAGGGGGCCCGCAAGGACTGATGCCCCTCGGGCACCTGATGGCAACAAACATCTCGTGGAAGGGGCGGCTGTTTGGAGGCCAGCGGAAAGGCTACAGAGGGCCACTTAGGTTCCAAGCTAGCGAGTGGCGGGTGCAGTGCCTACGGGCCGAATGAGACCAGCCATGTTAGAACACTAAATTTGTGTATCCAGCTTAGGGCATTGAGAATATATATATATATATATATATCAGGGCTTAAAGCGGAAGGCTGAGCACGGACGGCGACAAAGTCAGCGTCATGAAAATGCCGAGCGGGGAAATGGTAGGCACGCTAAAAGATGACGCATGCGCCTGCAAGCTTCTTTCTTCGCCTGACAGTCAGAAGGTTTAAGGATTAGTTGTGCGTATGTGGGTTCTTCAAGTTGCATTTAGATACTGACCTAGGTGATCACAAAAAGCTGGCTAGATCTTCCCCTCTCGATTTCGGCGACATTGCATCTGTCCAGTCCGCACCAACTTATGTGAAGGCATTGGAAGTATAGCACGTATACACAGGATGATTGGAAGCAAATTGTGGCTGGACTGTGGTCCCTTCTGGACCTATACCATTCGCTACGAGAAACCACCTGGATGCCGGACAACTGTCAAAGGCAACAACCGTTCCGTCTGCGGCAGGCACGTCCATCGTCCATGTTATATCACCTATTTAGATTCATGCAGCAGTCGAACGCCAATCATCTCGTTAGTGTGCCTCATGAATTAGCCGGCCCCCCGTCTGCACAGCCTGACAGATTGACTTTGACATGGAGCTCAGACTGATGCCAAGATAATCTCCATACTATGCCTGTGCCACACCATTGGCTTCAGACGGCCCCCGTCCAGCCCGCGCTGTGCCCCCCGCTTTTGTGGGGGCGGCTGCCACCTAGGCAACTGGGAGTCGGCATCCCAGCAAAGCAGCAAATGTGAATGAAAGGAAACAAATGGATAAGCGCCCTCCAAAAATACTGCTGCAATATCCTCAACTAGCACCTGCGGGACACAATGTCGAATTTAACTCGTCTCGCAGTCTTGCCTGCCTGAAGTCTCCAGCACCCGCAGACAAGCAGGACTGCAACACATCCAGGAGATGAAACGATGATTCACTGTTCGCGGTGATAGACACCACTTGTCAAAACAAAATCCACCCGTTTCAAGAATCCGACACCCCAGGACATCGCTCGGGGTCGAGCGTGGCAGGAGGGCTCTTCGCATCAGCCAGTGGGGCAGGTGGCTCCTGAAAATCCACCTCGGGCCGGGTAGGGCCTGGGCGCGAAGCCTCACTAACTTAGAGATTTGCTGTGAGCATGCTCATATATGTTTGCTCAACCTTCTGAATGGTTCTACATGTATAAATGAAAGAGCACGACACAAATGACAAATGTTTTACACACATATGCATATAGCTATGCATAAACAAGCACATGGTATGGCATACATATCCATATGCAAGCGTATATACGCTGCGCATGTGCCTGTCAAGTATGCGCAGCTTCACCCATGCATACACGGGCCAGCCAGCCAGCCAGCCAGCCAGCCAGCCAGCCAGCCAGCCAGCCAGCCAGCCAGGCGCAACATCAAAGGATATGACGATCCCTTTGTGAAGGAGCTAAAAGGCTCTGGAACGCCTACGCCCTTGCGGGTCGCAATGGCCAAGAAGGACCTCAAACCACTCTACGGTTGTCATTGTCCTGTTGCCCTGAAGTCCACAGGGCCCTGGCATGCTTGGACGCATTGCCTCACCAAGCCCTTTGGCTGTCCATGTGCAACCAGGAGTCGATAGATGCAGAAAAGAGCGTCAAATTTGTTTCAAAGCACTGCGTTTCACGTCCTCAGGCGCCCGACTGTAAGCTCTCGCCCGTTGAGGATCTCTTCAGCTGCCCACAGGACCACCTGGGAACCAGAGGTTTTGAAAGGCAATGGCGCAATGTTCGCTGGCGCTGGCCCACGATTGATCGAACTGTTTGTTGAGGCCACCTCTTAGACCCATGGGATAGCGCAATGTCTTCGCTGGCACGGCATGTTGACACATTGGGCTGGCTATGGGCCCAAAAGCAAAGATTGCGGTTTTAAAGCGGAATGGTGCGTGAAAAACTGAGTGCTCGCATCCTCTGGCCACTTTCAGCAAGCTACTTCCTTGAAGGGTGCCGCAGCGCGCTTTTGGACCACAATGGGGAAATCCAAAGACTGGGGAAATCCAAAACAAAACGTCGTGCCCCACCAGTGTCGCCTGGCATAAACAAGAACCCACAATCCGCAACAATTTAGCTGGCTGGCGCCTAAGCAGCCTGACAGTGTGCTCGCTGCAACAAGGCTAACAGCCGCCAATTTTCCAAGCCTCGTCGTCGCCACGGTAGCTCCAACGCCTCAGGCTGACGCGATCTCGACAGCCCATTGAATCCGACTAAGCTGGGCTTTCAGTGAACCAAGAAAACGACCCATAGGTGTGGGTGTGGGTGTGCGTGTGTGTGGGTGTCTGGGTGTGGGTGTGCGTGGGTGTGCGTGGGTGTGCGTGTGGGTGTGTGTGGGTGTGTGTGTGTGTGTGTTTGGGTGTGACGTGTTTGTGTGTGTGTATGTGTGTCTGTTACTTTGGTGTTTGAGCTTGCGGTTGGGTTTGTGCTTGTGTTTACGTTTGCGTTTGGGCTTGTGTTTGTGTTTGTGTGTGTGTGCTTGCGGCTTGTGCTTGCGGTTTTGTTTATGCTTGTGCTTGGGCTTGTGTCTGTGTGTGTTTGTGTTTGTGTGTTTGTGTGTTTGTGTGCTTGTGTTGTTCTGTGTTGTTCTGTGTTGTTCTGTGTTGTTCTGTGTTGTTCTGTGTTGTTCTGTGTTGCTCCGTGTTGGTTTGTGTTGGTCTGTGTTGTTCTGTGTTGTTCTGTGTTGGTTTGTGTTGGTTTGTGTTGGTTTGTGTTGGTTTGTGCTATTTTGTGTTGGTTTGTGTTGGTTTGTGTTGGTTGTGTGTGTGTGTGCGTGTTTGTGTGTATGTGTGTATGTGTGTATGTGCGTATGTGTGTATGTGTGTATGTGTGTGTGTATGTGTGTATGTGTGTATGTGTCTGGGCGTGCGTGTGCGTGTGCGTGTGCGTGTGCGTGTGCGTGCGCGTGTGCGCGCGCGCGCGCGTGCGTGCGTGTGCGTGCTTGTGCGTGTGTGCGTGCGTGCGCGTGTTGCGTGCGCGTGCGGGCGGTGTGCGCGGTGTGTGTGTGTGTGTGTGTGTGTGTGTGTGTGCGTGTGCGCGTGCGCGTGTGCGCGTGGGCGTGGCGTGGGCGTGCGCGTGCGCCTGCGCGTGCGCGTGCGCGTGCGCGTGTGCGCGCGTGCGCGCGTGCGTGCGTGCGTGCGTGCGTGCGTGCGTGCGTGTGTGTGTGTGGGTGTGTGTGTGTGTGTGTGTGTGTGTGTGTGTGTGTGTGTGTGTGTGTGTGTGTGTGTGTGTGTGTGTGTGTGTGTGTGTGTGTCTGTGTCTGTGTGTGTGTCTCTGCGTCTGTGCGTCTGTGTGTGTGTGTGCGCGTGCGAGTGCGCGTGCGCGTGCGTGTGCGTGTTTGTGTGTCTGCGTGTGTGTGTCTGTGTCTGTGTCTGTGTCTGGGTCTGCGTCTGTGTCTGTGTCTGTATCTGTGTGTGTGTGTGTCTGTGTGTGTGTGTGTCTGTGTGTGTGTGTGTCTGTGTGTGTGTCTCTGCGTCTGTGCGTCTGTGTGTTTGTGTGCGCGTGCGAGTGCGCGTGCGTGTGCGTGTTTGCGTTTGTGTTTGTGTGTCTGTGTGTGTGTGTGTGTGTCTGTGTCTGTGTCTGCGTCTGTGTCTGTGTCTGTGTGTTTTGTTTGTGTGGTTGTGTGACGGTTGTGTGTGTGTGTGGATGTGTTTGTACCCATGTCGTCAGCAAGGCTAGGGCCGCTGCAGATTCGGTGTCTGTAAGGCAGTGTAAACCTGGCCAGGCTTCTGCAGGACAGCCCAAGCGTTGCGTGGTGTACCCACAGAAGCACCAGGCAGCACAGGCGCATCAAACACTCCCGGTAAGCCCGATCAAAATGATCAAATCTAATGTTGTATATGATGGAAAATCGAACCGTGCCCTTTAATCAAAAAGGCTTGAGTCTCAAGCAGTTCCTAACATTGCTGCAGCGTGAAGCATTGGCTGACAAGCCCAGCACCTTGACAGGAGGATGTCGCCGCGAGACTGGCTCCTCCCTCGTGTGCAAGCCCCCCCCCATGCGCAAGGCCCCTCCCGCACTTTCTGAGCACGCATGGCGCGCCAGGTCGCTATCGAAGCCTATGTTTTGACTTCGTCCGGAGCGGCATCGCGTGCTTCAGCCTTCTTCAGCCTCCTGCAGGAGGGACGGCATGCTAGGCCCATCAACTCGCGATCTAAATATTGCCTGACTGATCCATGGTGTTAGCAGGGCTTGTTTCTTACTTCTAGGGGCCAATCAATGCAACGGCCCCATCTCACCAAGCGTGCATATTCCGTTTAGTAGTAAATTGATGTAAATTGGGTAGTTGGGTCGATAGAGCCTTTAAAATGGGCAATCGTTAAGACTGGGTAATCGTCAAAATGTCATTTCTCGGCATGTCTTTCAACAGCCTATGCAACAAATGCAAGGTTTGTCTCAAACCTACAAGCCCAAAGCACCCTCCTCGCCCGCTCCTTTTGGAGGCTCTCCAAGGAGTCAGGCTGCGCTGGATAAGTAGGCAGCCCGGGCCACCACAAGCTGTTGCCATCGTAGGGGTTGTGATAGAACCAGCCTCAGTAGCGATCCCTGGACATGTTCAGCCTATCGCGGCACAGCAATGGTTCCGGGCCACCAAATGGTTGCATTCAGGCACCTAGGACAAGCCCCCTAAACCCTCACCCTTCACCCTCACCTTGAACCAACCCTAAATCAACCCTAAACCAACCTAAGCCAACCCTAAACCCATCCTAAACCTACCCTAAGCCAACCCTCAACCAACCCTAAACCAACCCTAAGCCAACCCTAAGCCAACCCGAAACACCTAACCCGCCCTAAACCCACCCTACCCCTACACCCACCCCAACCCCACCCCAAAAACCAACTCTTCCAGGCCATCCCGGTCCTGGTGGCCTCACGGGTCTTCACTCAAATGTTGCCAAGAGGGAATGAGGCCATGAGGCCTCTTTGCGTGGCATTGCTTTTAAGTTGCGAGGCCACAGCTCATCTTGGGTGAGCTCATTCCATGGCCCCCTCGGCTGTTGCCCCGATCCGGTGGGTTCCCACCAATCCTGACCCGGATTCCCTGTCATCCCCTCGCCCGTTTCAATGGCGTGCTTGCCCCTGGGCAATGTGGTGAGTGTCTGCAGCACTTGGCCCAATTGGCCCGCAGAAAGGCAATCAAGCAAGTCAAGCTCTGGTGGTGCATATCAAAGCGCTCTAGGCGCAATCTTCCTTGGCCCTAGTCAATGCGAGTTCCTGGGTATGTGCAAAATACGGATTCGGACCTCGAAGATGGATCTTGGTCCTCCTTTTAGCTTCTCTTTTAGGAAACCACAGTGCTCCGGAGGCTCGAAATCCATCGCGCCTCCGTCCTCCGCCTGGAAGAGCCGCCAGCCTGCGCAAACCGCCGCATCCTGGGTGGGCAGCTCCCACTGGGTGGAGCCTCCAGCGGTGAGAGTGGCTGCAACGGGCTTCGACTTTTGGTGAAACCGGGAAATGGGAACACAAGGGAAACAAGGCGCTGGGCGGAAAAACGGCTGCTCCAACCATCGAGCCCCATCCGAGCTTCGAATAGCAACAGCTAGCAGGGCGCTGAATTCTGGGGTGGAAAAGTGGCACGTGGGCGCATGAGCGTGCTGCCAAACGCACCGCGCTACTTGCGCGCGTCAGTGAAGCAAGAGTTCCACGCCGGCCACGGAAGTTTTCCTCTAGAGGCAGTGCAGGGCAGGCGGCCCCACAACAAACGTGCCAACAACCCGGGCCTGCCACTAGGTTGTGGTAGTACACTTCGCCATCATCCTCTGTGACAAGGGCCTGTCGGGGCTTCTGTGAGATGCAGCGGCAGCTGACAAATAGAGGCTTGCCTTGCTTGCCCTCAAACTCAAGCTGGCCCACCACCAAGCAACCCGGTGCTTGGTACAGTTCTTTCCTACAAAGGATGGATTGATCATGTTTGGTCATCCTTGTCCCGTGCCAGAAGAAGCGGTATGTCTGTCTGTCGATACCAGTATACCTAGTTGCCTGCCCCTGGCATGACAAGTTCCCTCCAGTCTTGTCTCCAGCTTATCCTTTCGCCACGCAAGTACCCTACCCCCCCCACCCCCGAGCCTCCCAGCCATGAGGCAAACCCGAGTCGTGCACTTCAGGAGCCTGGCCGTCCTGACGATGTTGTCCCCCCAAAGCATTGCCCCCCGACGTTGAAGTTCCGGCTGTTGCGAGTCCAGAGGTAAGGCATGAGAAGTGTGAGCCAAAACCCTGTGCAAAGCCTCTTGGTGCCCATTAATATTCCTGACCCTTGGCTTGCAAACGACGCGCAAATCACAGTGCTCACCAAGAGTCCGGTTTGGGCCTTCAATCAAGGGATCAGCTTTTCTTTCTGGCTTTCATTGTGACTCTTTATGGCAGCCATCTGGGGCCCGCCTCACTCATCGCCAACTCGTAGAGAGCAGGGTCCACACTCAGCTCCTCCACAACGCGCGCCAGCCGCTCGCGTGCTGCCTGCGTGCCGTTGTGTGCCCCATGACTCGTTCCAGGGCCTGAAAGGTACTCTTTCCTTTATCAAGGCTGGGTAGCCCGTCTGCTGAATTGCCACAGATTGCCACCAAGTTCATGCCAAATCGTTCATGCCAAACAGCCTCGCAAGCAGGTTGGCCTCCCAAAGGCACCGATTAGAACCTTGCGGTGGCCGCTATTCATTGGGTATGCTTCCTCAGCCACCCCCTATCGACCCACAAGGTGAGCGCCAGGCCTCCAGCTGTGGCAGCACCGCGGAAGCAAACTCCTGGCACGGCAGCTAGGACACCTGCGATATACCACAGCGGACCAAATACGCCAGGGGCATGAAGGGCTGTGTGCTGTGCAATATATATATATATATATGTGTGTGTGTGTGTGTTTAAAACAAATTGCAGAAAAACACATAGGGATATATACATGAATATAGTAAATGCATATATGCTACTATATGCTTGTATGTATGCGCACCTACAACCATTATTTACCAATGGGACTGGGGTACCAATTCCCGTTCTATCCGTCCAGCATGACAGTCAATGACTTGAGCTTTCATTCTCAGCATCTGTCTAGATCAGCCTGATTCCTATCACGCCCAAAATTAGACCTTGCCTAAAGTGCTCCACAGGGGATCGGCAGCGTGAAAGTTGACCTTGCGGCTGCAATCGCTGACTGATGGTTGGTCCTAGGCACGCTGAAATCCAAGAAGGCACGGCGGTGAACTTGGCTTCAAGGGATTGCGAAGGCTCAGGCTCCGATCCAAAGTGCGACGGGTGCTTATGCCCACTAAGATGTCAAATGACGTGTGCATCATCATCCAGGCACTGACAGTGCTGAGCATATGCTCCAAAGGCAAGGCCGGTTACGCAAAAGGCAACATTGAGCAACACATACTAGTGGGACTGAAGGGCGACTTGGGCTGTCCCATCTCCTTCGGCAAATGATTGGTTGTTCCTTTGGCCGGGTTCGGCTTTGGTAAAGCCAGCACGTTGGCAGGTCGCGCAGACTTGCTCGCTGTAAGGTTACCGACGGGGCGATCATTCGGGAATCTTGGCTGCCCACAAAAAACAACTTGCGATGCTGATGGAATCATTCCTCGTCTCCTTGGCTAAGCTTTGCCTTCCATGTTCGTCAAAATCGCAACTGAACATAGCCAATCACAAAAGTTTAAAAGCCTACAAGGTTGACGGACCTCTTTCACGCTTCCCCTTTCAGCATCGCCGAACAAACACCACTGCATATCGAAGACATGTTGAACGCTGCCCGCCTTCACCTTCGCTGTGTCTTGGCTCCAAAAGGCGGTTGCCTGCAAACTGGACATGTCATGGCATTCGTGGGAAAGGTGCTTGTGAGCCGTTCACCTCAATTCCTGATAGTGCCATTAACACCGACCAGCAAGGCACCTCAAGATCCTACTGCATCTTTTGATCTGCACGGCGGCAAACTCCAGATTGTTTAGGCACAGGCTGGCCACGTGCATCAGGAATCAGCCCCTGGTATTGTTTATTTGGGAGGGGTGGCCAAGCGCAACTTGCTGAAGTTCGCCTTGCTGCTTGCAGACTCAGAAGCCAACCAGGCACACGCCCCTGAGTGAAAACGAAAAGAAACCATGACTAACATACTAGCTGCAGGAGAATTCGCGCACTCTACATCTAAAGCTCTTCAAGCTCCCGGTCCAAGGCCAAACGAAGAAGAGACACCAGTCAACCTTGGTGTACTCAGTGTACTCCTCAGGCTTTCAGGATAGTTACCGCTACCGATGCTGCCTTTAGTAGCCAATACCGGGCACACAACTGGGCACGAACCCTCAGTGTGCTTCTCCCTCTCAGCCTCATGCTGCCACTTCAAGATGACACGGTTGGACAACACCAGCAAAGCTTAGCAAATGCCATGCCCGCACGCCTCATTCCAAGCGCACTCCGCAGACGAGAGAGCAGCCCGGAGCTCTCGCATGTCCTGCCTCCTGCTGTGCTGTGTGCTGGCAAGGAAGCTAAGCACGGCAAGCGTTGATCACAAGGTCCTTTACATGGGATGACCATTGGGAAAACCACTGAAATGATGATACTTCCCACTGAGTGGGAAAAGTTACCCCATGGTCACGCATGTCAGAGTCGATTCCGGTGCGATATATAAGAGTGAAAGTCACGGTGATATCGTTGCATGGGGCCCAAACCAGGAGAAAGTACAAGGAAGTCAAACTCTGTCGACTTGCTTTCGAAGTGTCCTCAAGAGGAACGGGAGCTGCCTTGGTCGGTTTCCCTTATGTTCTTCCTGCGGCCATTAACGACCGGGAATACAGTTTTACATCAAAGGGACACCGGCTAGCGGCTAAACTACCAATCATCCTATGATCCACCCCGAGAACGCTTTGCTCTGAACACAATCACCTTATGTATCGGTGCAGCATTAATACACCCCTAGGTGATTCATAGAAGATCATACAAGGCTTTCTGTTTAACAGGGGGGGTCCTTCCCACTTAGCGGGACCACCTCTTTTTCTGATCCGCCAGGTTCTACTCACATTCAGGACCACTAGACCCAGCAAGGAGATCCCGGTACGAGGTGGCAGGTCTCCTGCGAGCTCCAGGCGTCAATTTTCCCGCCTTTCCCGTTTTTTTCCAGGGGAAGTCTGGCCAGCCTGGGCATCGCTGCCACGGAGTAGAGCTGCTCCAGCTCCGGGGACAGGCCGCGTGCCACCAGGTCTGCGCGGGCCCGCGCCACGTCCAATAGGCTCCTTAGCGCGTTGTGGGCAGAAGGTGAACCGCTTTTTTGTATGAAGCCCTACTATGAGAGCGTGTTTCGGTGATTGCTTGGCATGAAAGGGGGGATGGGCCGCTCTACGCATGGCCAGCTGAGTTGCTACCTCGACTTGTGTCTGCCCAAGCTAATGTTTATTGCGCAGTCTATGCAATCAAAGTTCCAACCTGTTGTGCACTTTTCGCCAAGTCTGACTGTTTTCCAAAACTGCGCTGTCCGGCTCACATGCCGTCACACCCATATTCAGCAGAGCCTCGTTTCTTCGGAAGCCAGTCAAACTCTCACCGGATCAAACCCATATGACCCATGTCCCCACCTGTCCCCAGAGCCACCCATCAGAAAAGCGTCGCCACGCAGCGCCGCGCTGTCTGGGCTGCCGCATCCAGGTGCCCCAGCTCTATCTGGGCGTGGTACTGCAGGGCCTCCCGCGCCTGAAGGCTTGAACTGCAAAAACGCGAGGTGAACCCATGGCCCCATGGCAAGGGGCCAAACCTGTCAGCAAGAGAAATGCAAAACAAACCGGTGGGGGGCAACGACCAACATGAGTAGTTGCCCGCTTCAGCTCCTGAAAGGATTCCACAAAGATTCGTTTTTCACCGAGCGCCCCATGGAAGGAGTAAGCAAACATGCATTCCTTTGCCTCAGAGTGAAAGTGCAATTGCGCCATGCACTTTCGCAGTGCACCCTAGGAACAACATGTGGACCAAATCCTGCACCTTGGATGGATGAAACCCATTGAAACCCTACACATGGGATAAACTAGTTACTGGTACTGTGGATGGACAAAATCCCCCAGATGGGATGGCAACACCCTACACATAATTACTGGGATAAACTACCTGCAGGAATTTATCCATCCACCCTGCTTAGCTTGCTGGTGCTAAGAGGGATTGCTCTTCCAGGTTTTGGGAATGAACCGGAAGAGGTTCCCCGAAAAGGAAACAAAATCGGGGATGGTTAGAAACTCGAGTTCGGGGACATTCCACCTGCTGGTGCTCAGCAGGGAATGAAGGAATGAACCCAGGAAAGGAAACCACCAGTTGGATGGTTTCTAGGGATCATTCTATTTCTCATTCCCTATCGCACCAGCAAGCCCTGCCGATCGAACCGGCGAGCCGAGGCGGCGCCTGCTGCTCCACTCCCTGGCGTTGGCGTTGCAACTCCAAGCGCTGCGCGTTGTGGTGCTCCAACCCCGCCTGAGAACCCCCAAAACGCATGGGGAGGGCCAAAAAACGCCAGGTGTGACTTCAAAGAAGTGGAGGTCTTTTTGGAGAGAGGTGAGAAGCATGCTGGATTTCAATCACCCAGTTGAGGTCTGTTCGGAAAAGGTGGAGTCCAACTGGCAAATATGGGAAGCAACCTGAAACCAGCTAAAACCAAACTGATCTTGCGAAGCTTGGATTCTGCCCGGGATTTCCTAGAACATCTGCAAGTTGAGAAACTTGAGAGGTGCGGGGGAAAGAGAAAGGTTCAGCTGTGCACATTGGGTTTCAGGCTGTTTGACCCGGCTCGGCTCACCAGAGCCCCCGATACCATGATGCGGAAATGTGCTGTGGAGTCCGGGGCCTGATGATGGTTAGCATGCCATAATTGCATATCTTCCTACACCACATCTTAGTAGGCCATGGTTGTCATCCTGGCTGAGCCATGGCTAATTTGCTAATGTCTACATAGTCTTAGTTGGGAGTCACAGGCGTAAGAGTTGATTTCAAGCTGCCCAGCCACTGTGGAATGCTACGAGAATGGAACGCGGGTACTGTGGGCTGTTTCAGTGGCCGCGCGCTTGCAACTCATGCAATATAAATTCAATCAGGCTGAGTGCACCACAATTCACAGGGTCATGCTGATTCGTTTATGCCCCATCTTTTCGGAGGATCCAATGCTTGAACAGGTGTCAAACCAAACCCTTAGGAGAACCACCCTTTCGAGACCCGGCTGAAGCCTCTGAGGGGGTTCTTCCTTAACTGGCCCGAAGTTGCTAGTGCCTTGAGCACATCCCCCGCCGAGCAGCCGCTTGGAAGCGCTGCGCCGTGCTGCGCAGGCGCTCGGTGCAACGTTTCAGCGCGGTCAGGATCTCTCCTGACAAAGCTTTAAAGCTGATAAAGTAGCATCCCCCAAAATCATGCATTGGTTGTGGCAAAGCAGACTAAACATGCGTTCCGCTGCCCGAATCTTGCGTGATCGTTACTAACCTGTACTGACATGCGGAACCTTTGTGGCCCCCACTGCTAGATTCCTTATGTGTTCAAGGTTGATATCTGGTCCAACTAACTATCACCATGTGCACGTGTGTAAACTATACATGATCAACTGTTGCCATAAATAATGTAGAACTTAGACACTGCTGCAAGTGTTCTAAACAAATCGCTGCCCGCCTTCTGTCATGCTGGCCGCCCGTGCTGCCAGCACCTCGTGGCGGCTGTGCAGCTCAGGCCCCGACGAGGGGAACGTGGAACTGGGGGTTGTCAAACATCGGACGCCTCTTTGGACTCCTGCGACCCACAACACACCTTGCTCTGGGAATGGCGATAAGTCCACCTTGCGTGCCCTGTCTCAGTTTGACTGGTGCCTTGTAGAACTTGGCGGGCCTCAGCTCCTGCAAGCCGGCATATGACCAACCGAAGGGGCGCAAGCCAAGAACGCAACTGCCCTGACAGTCTGTCATACTTCTTCGTCGACGCCTTGGCATTCAGTGACCCGCCCATTTGGCGGCGAATGAATGCACGCTAAACTGCCAATGCCAAATCCCAGTGCTTTTTCCAGCTGGGTAGGTCTCCCTTTTCTCATTTTGTTTAAATAGGTCTACTGCTGCACGGGCAATGGAATGTTATGTGTCAGCATTTTGCAAACCCTTATGCCTTCAACTTGCTTGCGTGGATCGCATGGCTGGGCCTTCCTGCGCAGAATCCTCTTAGAAACTGAATCGCAACTCTGCTGATGGTGGCGTGTGCATCTGGGGGCTTTGGATGCAAGCTACTTCAGCCTGAAAAGTACCAACTGAATGCCAAGAGAGTGCCAATGTCGAGCAGTGACTAAAACAACTCCTAACAACAAACTGTGGGACAAAAGCCCAACCAAGCAACCTAAGGCCCTCCTCAGTCCTCCAAGCGGGACTCGCCCCTCTTCTGGGCTTTAACCACCAGAAATCAAGGACAGGGTGTTGGAATGTGTACTGGCTGTGTAGTGGGTCAGTACATACTTGTTGGAATTGGGTCAGTCTTGTTTTGGACCTGTTTATGTCTGTTTCCTTTCCACAAGAAGAACTCTGTAGTCCTTGCCCCTTTGCGGTGGGGGAATACTGATGCAAGTATATCTGTAACCCCTGCTTGCTAATTTGCAACCTGGCATTTACAAAGGGGAGCAACGGGTGGAGTCTACAGTTGGTCACCAGGGGCTCCTCCACCCTGCACCCCAACAAGACTCAACTGCATTGTGACGGTCCGTTATACGCATTGTCCTCTGAGCCTGGGTATCCCCTGAGCCCCGCTTGTTTGGGGTACAACCACTTTTCCCGCGGCTGGCCAGCTGACCTGACCCAAAGGGGCGACTGCATCCGTCTCCTGCAGCTCCCGCTCCAGCTGCTCGCTCTTGGCGCGGCAAGTGCTGGTGTGGGCCTCCCGCTGCGACAGCAGCTGCAGGCGCTGCTGGCGCTCCTGGCCACAAACGGTGGCTCACTAGAAGGAGAACAACCCCGTGGCATTGTCCTGAATATTCCAAAGTTATACAAGTATATGCCCCGATCATCTCCTTTGCTGGTCACACAGTCGTGGCTAAGGAAGTCACGCAATGGTTGGACACACAGCTGTATGCCATATGGCCATGGCATACAGCTTACCTCGCATTCAACCTCGATTGCCTTTTTGTTTCAATGCTGGGCCATGTTGGGCACTTGACTTTCACTTTGAGAATCGACTGGGTCTCTGAGGGCCAAGGTTTCCTATGAAGGCACAAGCCCAGAAAGCTAAGTGGCGCTAGATGGTCTTCTTGAGGGCAATGATATACGCATGGAAATCGGGCAAGCTCTTTGGGACTCCCGCAGACAAGCGATTGAACGAGCCGCAACGATCCTGGCAGCCAGGCACCGTTGCCCAAAGGAAAGATCAGCTTGTCCCAGTTGCAACGTTCAGGGCTTCAGCACAAAGCCTCTTGTCCAAGGGATTTTTCAATTCTGTAGTTATATTACCAGCATGGCCAGGAAGGGTCGTTTCGCTATGAGCAATTTCGACCGAAAATGGGTCAACATTGGGAATCTGCGAGGAACCGAAAGGGACCCCCAACGAAACCCAAAGGACAGCAAACTGAAGCCCCCAAAAAGGGAAACAACCATTTGCATCACTGAGCTCCCCATTACCCTCTAATAGTAAAGGCACGCAACCCAGCATTCAAGCTGTGTGAAGTGTGAGAGACGGCTTCCAAAATGACACAGCCTCTCTGGAACAGGACCAACATCCAAGATGTTCTCCGCTACGCTGCCCGGGGTTTAATTGAATGCACATATGCCGCAGAAAACAACCACAAGCAACTACATCAAAGGGTGTTTTCCCCTGGTATGGGGGTCATGTTGACGGGTACATCAACCCCTCCCAAACCATGGGGGGTGGCCTTTCCAAAAGTGAGGTTTCCCCACTGAAAGGGATCATGGCACCAGGGATTTTGGATGCGGCGTTACCATTGGACACCTGCGACCAAAACGTCCTGGCCCAGTTGCCGGGAGGCCACCTCCAGCTCCTGCAGCAGCTGCCGCCGCTGCTCCTGCGCGGAGCGGATCGGGACGGCGGCAAAGGACCCCTGGCCGTGGGTGCTGTGTTGACACATTAAAGTGGCGCAAATGGTACTATGGATGGTTGCGAAATCCATGTTGCACCACTTTGAAACCATGGGAAACTATGGGTTGTGGGAGTTTTCGGGGGATTCATCATTCCAGGGATTCTTAGGTCTTAGATGGTACAGGATTTCGTCCATCTACTTTATGTAAGTAGGTAATATGCTTTCATGCCTGTTTTTATGCGATTGAGGGACTAGTGTCTTTGACATTCTGTTCTTCATTTGCGGCGATAGGCTGCATTTGGCCGATCTTATCATCTTCTTGCTAACCATGGTATGAGGACGTACACCAAGGATTGCCTGTCATACATCTGGTACCCAATGCCTGACGCCCCAATCTAACCACGGCCAACCTCTGATTCGGCTATGGCCGCAGGTCCATTTGAGATGCAGTTGTTGCATTGCTCAAAGAAAGTAGCTTGCCTGCCAGCGCAATGTGCATGCATATGTACAAAATCAGTGTATACAATAATAGTAATAATAATAATAATAGTAATAATAATGATAATAATAATAGTAATAATAATAACAATAACAATGATAATAATAATAATAGTAATAATAATGATAATAATAATAATAGTAATAACAATGATAACAATAATAATGGCAGTAATAATAATAGTAATAATAATAGTAATAAAAATGATGATATAAAAGTAATCATAATAATTATAATAGTAATTATTATTATTATGTTTTTAATTATAAATAGTATGCCTTGTAATTTGCAATCCACCCAACCCCTTCGCAAGGCAGTGCGGGCTGAAAACCACCGGGAAAAACCAGCGCTTCAAGAAACGACCGCGTGCCTCGAGCTGGCGGATCTGCTCCTCAGACTCCACCTGGCCGGAAGCCAGGCATCGAAGCTCCGGGATCCCATCCCTCAGAGAGATTCGGGCGTGGACCGCAGGTTTTAGTCCATGTGTCCATGTACTAAGGCTCCATCTTGGGTACCTATTTTTGACCCACAGCCATTCCTGTCCAATGAGACTGGGCCCCAGGTCACGATCCGCTTGTGACGGGGTAACTTTGCCCAGGCATGGCAAGTTTAAGCGGAGCGTGCCAGAAGCCAGACTCTGGAGAGATCTTTGTCGTTTTCGGACCTGGCGCCCCAGCAACCTGTGCCCCAGCCTGCTTGGGATCCTTCTCAAACTCCTCCAGCGCCTTCTTCGGTGCCTGCGGGCACAATGCAAAGCTTCACAATTGACATGGCTCCCGTCTGGGCTGATTGTTTTTTTTTTTTTTTTTTTTTTCAGGAAAAGCAACACCGAATGCGCAGCTGCATTCTGAACCCAGTGCCTCCAGGGCGGCAGCTCGATCGTTCAAGATGGCCTCCGGCTGCAAAGTTTGCCGTGAACAAATATGACGCAAATACGCTTGCAAAGGAGCATCTCAGACATGCAATGATTTGTTGGATGGGAGTTCTGTGCAATATAATTAGGCGTCATGTGGCTTTGGCAAAGCCAAATGCCATGAGGTTTGCTCACGCAAGACCGCCTGATGGTGTCAGGGGGAACACCTCTTGCTCTGGCCAACTCAGTTGACTGAAAGTTGCGCTCGACAACCATCTTGAAGTGGGATCTCTTCGAAGCGTTGGGCGACGTAGGTTCGCCGAGTCACAGGAATTAAAGACCCCCCTTCATCCCCAAACAATGCACAACAAGCAAAACGCTTGAGCCAAGGCAAACTTCAAGGAAGCCTAGTCTCATCCACGATAACGGACGAGGCCCCGAGAAGAACAACTCCAACTTATTCATTCATGTTTTTGGAATCATACCTGACCCGACCCCAACTCCACGCCTGTTGGGACAAACTCAACTTCTCCAAATCTAACCATGGCGCGAAGATTCCTGCATGCACCTGCCTCGCTGACATACGCCGGGCTCCCTACATATTGCAACTCAAGCACTGCAAACCTTGTGAACCGTGGCAACTTGAAATGTGTTCCTTTTGCCCTTGTTAGATGTTGGGAGCTTTCGCCTGCAACTACGCCTGGCATGCTTGATTTGTCGTCCATCAAATGAGGTCCCCACATCAACCAAAGTCAATGTGGCGAGGTGTGAACACCTGGGATCCCTTGAAAAGAACAGTTTCTTGGTTTCCCATTAAAAAAAAAAACATTCCCTATGCATTGCCTATCAGGGAGCCATGGGTACCTTGTTCCGACGTTCTCCCTGCCTCTCGCTGCGCCTCCGCCGCGCCGGCGCGCTCCCGGGCGGCTCGGGCCATGGCCTCGAGGCTCTGCTGCGCCTGGTGCCAGACTGACCGAAATGGGAGACGGGCCAAGGGGTCTGCCGCTTGCCCGGGGGCCGAAATGGGCCATCCGAAAAGGGGCATTGAACTTGGCAAGGTGAGGCCCACCAGCCGATTTGCACATGTTTAGAAGAATTCGATAACCTGACTAGTCCGGGATTCCAAGATCCCCAAGAAAAGGGCCTGCATAGTAGTGAGCTCGTTCCGCCATGGTGTTTGTCACGGTGGAGTTGAAAAGTAAGCCTGCATTTCGGGGTCAACGGGGATCGTGGAAGCAAGATATTGATTGAATGTGTAGATGACAACATACCGTTAGATCTGAACAAGGTTGGATTGCATCCCAACTCAACAATCCGGTGTGTGAATCAGGGATCTGGGAAATTCAACATTTCCACCCCCACCAACAGACAAGGTACCATAGAAATGGCTTGGGATTTTGGACTTGAGGTTTGGACTTCGGTCCTCCTGCATCTTCTGGCGCCGCTCCTCCGCAAGTCGCTGCAGGCGCGCGCTGGCCTATCCGGAGCCGACGGAGGAGCGGTGGGTGGCTGGAGGATATCCATATCTTGAGTAGTTCATAAGTGAATAGATCAAGGTCTACTGCAATAGAGGCCAATAGATGAATCGATCTTGTTGCCTGATGTTGGTGTTTTACTTTCTTGTTTGTTCGGTTGATTCTCATCGGTTGGTCTTGCGACTTCCTACGAAGTTTAGCAACCATTTGCGCGGGGGGGGCACTACTGGATTGCTCATCTTACCTTTGTCACCCCAACCACTCGAAAGCAACCTCGCGCTGGACACAGGACTCTCCAAGCCCAACCCATGAGCGCCGCCCAAGCGCGTGCTTCCACCCTCAGCCTCGTCCAGCCCAACGCGGAAGCCCAAGTAGTGCCGCACCGCATCTGCGGATGCCCGGCAGTGATCCTAAGACCATGGAGATTGGCCCCTAGCAGTCATGTGTTTGATGGCTTCCTGGCCGACGCAAACATTGTTGGGAGAAATACGCTGGTGAGGCAAAGGGGGAAGCATGAGGGCAAGGAAAGTGTTCCACACCTCCTGCAGGTTGCAACGGGGCACAAGCTTGCATTCAGCTACAGTGCGCTGGCCCTCAGACTGCAAACATTTATCCAAGCTCCTCATGTTGCTTCTATCGACACGTCGGGGCTGTCCTCTGCAGCTGCCGGAGATGTTGCAGCTGGCATGAGGGCAGAGCAGGCGCTATACACACATATATGTATATGTATATATATACACAATCACTGTGCAGAATGCCCCGCAGCCTTACCCAAGCATACTTTGCAATTGGATACGACACCAGAGCTGAGACACAGGAGCCCGAGAATTACTGCATGCTGTTGTGCAAAGCTGTGCCAAAGTGTTCAGGACCGTCTTATAAATTGACCAATACAGGCTAGAAGCATACTGGCCGGAAAAATCAGACCTGCGTAGCTTCTGGTCATTCATCAAGGGCAGCAAAACTTAAAAATTACGCCCCGGAAGGAAACATCAGAACAGATCACGGACAACACCTGGAAGACGGGTTGTGTTCCTATCCCAACAGAAAATTAAAAACCTTGCGTCCCTTGATAAAAGCGCTTGCGCAAACAATGCACAACACCTGCTCTCCACGATCAAGTGGGGCCCCAACACAGGTTGGCCACAAAAGGCTTGCGATTTACAAGAATGAATGCCAGCTTGTTGAATGCTTCGTTCTGCGCTGCTTCCTGGCATGGGAAGGCCACACCATGGACCAAACGATAATTTATGACAAACAGCCCACAACATAAAGAAGGGCGCCCCAAAAATACAGATTTGCCACAGGCGACCACGGGCCACAAGAAACCTACCTATCAGGCTCCAAGAGCCTGCGAGAGTGCAAGAAGACTTCAAAAGCAATCTAATATTCTCAAGAACCAATCCCACAACACCCACTTGCAGGCAACTAGGGGTCCCATTAATTATTCAACCAACCAACCACCCACCCAATCAACCAACCAACCAACACCAACCCAAACACACTTAAGTTTTAAACACCCATTTCCGCTTCCCAGGTAATTTACATACAATGCATTTGAGCACCAAGACTCGTTGCCCCGTCGCCTGGCTGGTCCCGAAGCTGCGCCCGCAGTTGCTCGGCGCGCTGGGCGGCCAGGCCCCGCTGGCTCCGGAGGTGCTCGCTCTGGGCGTCCGCCTCCCGAACACCGCATCCACAGGGGTGGGTTACCCGATAGTCTACAGGAAAACAGCTTATTTGCGGAGTTGTTTGGGGATTTCCTGCAGATTTTCCTGGAACCAAATGAAGATCATGTCCTGAAGATCATGTCCTTTTTTAGAGGGACCCCCCGTCAGGCTCCATGTTCTCGGTGCAAGGGAAATCAACCCCGCGGTGTTCACCTCCAAAAGTGACGATTCCCCACTATATAAACCCAGAACTGGACACCCCCAGAACCATGTAAAGAATGAAAAAGACGGCTGCACCTATTTATTGTTGAGATTTTCCCTTGCTACCCTCCTGCGGAATAAAGCAATGTCAGCATGGTAAAGGAACTAATTACCCATCCCCTGTATAGCACCCAGAGTCAAGGGGTCCCCTTTTGGGATGGTTACGAGGAAGTAGAGGGACAACTGAAGGTGTCCCTAATTTGAAGAAACACCCATGTGAGCCAGAATCAGAACATGCTGCCCATGAAAGGGACATAGGAACATATGCGAGTCCCCTCATATGTTTGTGGAAACCTATATGGGTCAATCTTTGTGCGCAAGCCAACACCATGTCCGGATCCTTCATCTGAGGACCAAAGGGAACAGCATACACTGTGCATTAATACTCCTTTGGTTGATTTTGATTGGGCATCCCATTTTAGAGAGGATGCTCCACGTTTCGGGAAAACTAGCTGGAGCAAGCAAGCAAAGCATTGAAAAAAAGGGAAAAGGACATCCGCGCCCCTTTCGGATTCCAGGTTTCCCATCTAGATACAGGTTCGTGTTTCTTCTTGACAGGAGCTCAAGCTGGGGCAGGCTCAAGCACAACCCCCCCGGAAACGAGACAGGCCGAAATGCCAGTGTAATCCAGTGTTTACTTTTACCAGCGAGAATCGCAGCTCCTGCCGGTCAATTCAGGTTTGGACCACGTGCCGGGCTGGCTTAAGACAAACAAAGGCTGACGCGTGCTAACACGAAAGCGTGCGCTGGGCTTAAGGCTTAAGCTCAGCCTAAGGCTTCACCCCAATCCCGCCAAGCAAACTAAAGTCAACAAACGTATCCGGCAAGCAAGCCCCTTCTACTGGGCTGAGGTGACAGCTACTCCTCCTACCTTCATTCCCCAGGTTTTAGTATTGCACCAACTGCAATCCGTCACCAACCGGCAATCGGAGATATTGAAGACTTGTGGGGCGCCGTCTGGGTGCGTTCCGAAAAAGGCCCCAAAAACACGCCAACCCAACCATCTGCCAGGCCCAAACCACTCAATTATATCTACAATGCTGCTACTAGTTTGGGGGTATCCAAGGAGGAACGTTCGTCCCCATGGCTCAGCTTCAGGTTACCCAACCTTTTGCCCAACCACCTTCAACGAGGAGTCCGCGCCTTTAGCGCCAGCGCAACCTCCCCGGCCCAGCGCCCTGCCTCGTAGGCCCTCGCAGGTGGTCCCCCCCTCCCCGCGTTGGTCCCCCGTGGTCCTACTTTGCTCCGCCTCGAAGGAGCAGACCGCTTCACTGGGGGGATATCTTGATTCAGTTCAAGTGACTCCCTTGCGAACCAATACTTGAGGAACCGCCCAAGCAATTGTTCCATGGACATGTTTGTTCTGGGAGATGTCCCTTAAAAATGCTTGCGACCAGGCTTCAAGACACGGAGCAACATTGCCCGAAGCTCAAGGCGACCAGGGATCCCCACGCCACCCAGCGAGCGAATTCTGGGAGGCGGGCATTACGTTGGCAGCAAGCCAGCAGCTGAAAGAGAAAAAGAAAGCGCATCATTGATAAGCCTTGCCACCTATGTTGCACCTGTTGAAACAACAGAGCACTCAGTTTGAAGATACATATATGTAACATCATATGTACATATACTATAGGTATACATATACAATGTGCGTGTGTACATGTACCTATACGGGAACTTGTCTTTTTACACAACTGGATAGTTTGTGCATATGTATATATACATATACATAGGAGTACACATACATGTGCACGCACACACAAACACATGTATAGGTAAACCTGAATGCATGCCATTAATAATGCATAACTATATATACATATATATTATATTCATTGCATCCCCCCCCCCCGGCCATGCATGGGTAGTTCAATGGAAGACGTAAGCACAAGTACTCACATATCCACATGCACAGTGTGATCATGTCATCTGCAAAGTTTTACTATAATTCCACAAGCTGAGTTAAGGGAGCTCCCGAGGACCTTTGTCATGGTGAGCTCGTGATACCCCAGGTGAGCTTGCAAAAAATAGGCCGATCATGCTGATAGAAACCTATCAAACAGAAGGCTATTGCGCATGACTCACACTTCAACACATCCCACCTGCTCTCTGCGAGCAGGGCCGGCAGCTGCAACAGTAAGCCATCGCAGCCCGGCAACGTGGACGCCTCCGTAGCCGTAAGCATCTAAACTTGCCCTCAACCACTGGCACGGGGCAACTCATATTTATACAGCGGCTGATGGCTATACTTTTAAATAAATGTCTGGGGTAGTGGCCCGTACACCCACGTGGCCATACAAGGGCAGGGGGGGGGGGGCTGCACTCGTGGCTGTACATCCGAGGGCACCATGGAACATGATCAAGCTATGGTGGGGATACCTCACCAATCGACTATGGTCATAGCTGTACCCAGGGTCATGCCGCAGCATCAGTAAATCAGCTTCACGAGCACGCACCTTCACTGGCTGGGGGCCATGCTTTCGGCTCAAGCATGGCTTTCCCTATAACCCCCCACACAGCCCGGGACCTGCCTTGGCAAAGCCTTGCCAAGCACCGCACTGTGCCAACGTGGGCTTGCTGGCGCAACTGCGACCGCTAGCCAGTCCTGTTTGTCCACAAGTCAGGATGTGTCGAAATCGTCCCACCCGCACCCCTGACATGGATGCCCTTTCAAAATGGCCAGGTCTTAGGCCCAGCCTTGGAGCAGGTTGGAACAAAGCGAGGCAGTTCTTGCCCCACAAAGCCCGCAGTTTGTTCTGGGTCAAGCATTGCATTTTGTTGTCTCCCTTACCGTCTGCACATCTCACTTTATGAAAAGGCCATGTTGCATGAACACAAAGGAACAACAGGTCGTCACCAACTAGTTCTGTGATCTACGCTGTCAGCCTAACTGGTGTTTCTTAAATTGTTCATGCTTTTGTTGCGTTTGCTTTTTTCCCGAATTCGCACTCACGATTTCAATAGGAGAGAGCCCCCCGTCGCGCAGCCCCCCTCCCCAAAAGCGTCGTCGCACGTCAAAGAAGTGGGTGCAAAAGTCGTATTAAACTTGTACTGACATCGTATTAATCCATTTAAAACAAACACACGATGATAATACGAATTTAAGACGATTTCCAGGTGTTGTGTTTCCCGTTGCTTGCGTCAAACATCTCAATCAAAGGAAGCGTGAGAAGCAAACACGTGCAAAAGACGTAAAACCACCGTAACAACACATAAATTCCAATTATAACAAACCGTATCTAAATCGCAACAAGCAAATGAGCTTCTCTTGACTTAGCCTGCACCATAGGTCGCAAAACTAGTTGCCCGCAACCATTTGTAGGAATCCCGCAATTCGAGGAACCAGTTACAGTTGCACAATTAGGTGCCCGTCGCTTGCTGCCCCCTCCTGTGGCAGCCGTTTGCAAGCACAGCTCGTAAGCCTTGGCAATCGCAGTGCTCGCCCGTGCCGACACCAAATGGCGGACGGCCCAAAAGCAAAGCTGATCTTGGGTTATATCCAATGGGGCACTGCAATCTTCACCAACCACCACCTGGCAACTCTGCCAAGGCACTTTGCTGGCAAGGAATGCAGTGCGGTAGGTCATTGCAGCGTCGCCGCTCGGATTCTCCTTGTAAGGCACGGTTGCAGTTGCAGGGCGCCATCTCTCTTGAGCTCGATTTCTGAGAATTCTGCCTGCTGCAGCCTAAACTGAGCATTGCAGCGGGGCGCAACTGTGTTCCCAAACGCGAGCCGGCGCAAATGCAGCAAAAGGCGCATATCGAGGGGTATCATCGGCGTTGGCTAGCAGCTTGTTCCATTCCTCGGAGCGACTTGTTTGGATGTTTCGGGGCAAGACGCATATCTAGGTCTTCCTGGGCACTTTCTTCAGTATTCTCCCGTTTTCAGCAGACAAAAACGCACATTTCGCCCCAAAAAGGCTCAATTAGGAAAAACACGCTCGATTGAAAAATTGCTCTGGTGGGTGTCCGCAAATTGCCGCTCATTTCAAGCTGATTTCCGCTCATGGGGAGAAAACTTGCCAAAACATGCCAAATCAAGGTTGCCGCTCATTTCATGCTTTTCCGCTCAAAATCTGAAGCAATTTCGCTACCTTCCGCTTGCTCAATGCTGGCCCTCCCGGAAATGCTGGATATCAAGCAGAAGGTCATTGATGTAGTTGGGAGAGCTGCAAAATCAGCCATCCCCCGCGATTGTTTTCTTATAGGGCATCAGCATCTCCTATCCAATCGGTGCCCTGAACTCTCCGAAATGCGACTTGCATTTTTCCAAGAAGAAACACCACACGCAACCCATATCTAATTCTGGGTTTCCACATTCGTTAGAAAACATCCAAACATTTTGCTTTATTTGGCAGAGTCACCGTCACCTTGCCGATGCCCTTCTCTTCTTCCGTGCTTTTTTAGGGCTACGGGCCGCCAATTTGAAGGTTGAGTTTGGACTAGGAACCCTTCGATGGACACTTGCAAACGGTTTGACCATACTCAACAATGTACAGTATGAGTGGGTTACCCAGCTTGATACACACTTGCGAACTGGCCCAGAATCATGAAAACGGGAGGGAATGACCTCTATAAACCATCCCCTGTTGATTCCTTTAGGGGGATCCCCAAGCTCATTCCCATGCGACAAATGCTCGGTGAGCGCCAGCTCCAAGGACTCGGGGGTGCTGGACCTGAGGCTTCTCTGCCGGCCAGTCACCCGAGGTAACGATGCCTATAGTACAAATTGATTTCTATGAACAAACCAGCGAAAAAAACACATTGACACCCGTCTTCCCAATCAACGTCATCTACTTTGCGCGGCTCAAAAAAAGGTGCCCACACCTGAAAGGCTAACAAAGGGGGATGACGCGCAGGTATGATCCATACGCAACCACGTTCATTCAGGTTGGCAATGGAAATGGGTGTGAGAAAGGGTTTGAGCCGGAGCAAAAAAGAACAAAACTAGGATAGAAACAACTGCTGATAGGCGGCAACACAAAACTGTTAAGAGTAAACATCATTGGCCACAAAAATACCAGAGCAGGAGCAGTAGCAGGTCATGCGCTTCACAAGTTGTCAAGTTGCCGCTTTCGCACAAATCGACAAAGCTAGAAATGTAGTAGTACGCTCTGCTCTTCTTGTCGTCACGGCTGCCAAACTGGGGCAATCCGACTATGACCAATGTTGCCATAAACTGGACCTTCTTCATATAATATATATATATATATGGCATCTAGACAAATTACGCCGAGCAAAACGAAAGGGACCTTCTTCATATATGACCTCCTTTTGCCCCATGATTTGCTCTACAACTTGCCCGGCATATTTTCAAGGACCCTTCTAGGTCCCTTCCCCCCCTTCCCCCCCGACTGAAGCCCGCACGCCCTGGTCTCCAGGTCAGCACGCAGGCCCTCGGCACTGAGGCCCTTCAGACGCACCAGCGCGGTCGCCTAGAGCTGGGAGGGGCCCAAGCCGTCCAAAAACAGTCCGGCTTCCTATGCTGTGCCCTTGATTCCTCTTCAAACTCGGAAGGAGCTTTGAGCTTTGAGTCCCCCCCCTCTTCCTATACTGTGCGCATCATTTCGAAACACGGAGCAGAAAGGAGTGAGCGAAGGGCAAAGCCAAAAAGACAATTGGCAAGGGCATCGCGGCCAGAATGTCGCCATCCTGGAAAGATTGAGCAAAGAGGGGGGGGTTGTTCCTCAATCCGTGTTTCATGTATTGGACGTGAAGCTCAGCGAGATCCACGTATCATCGCATGCCACCATTGTTTTGCGAAGATTGTTGGGAGACATGTCAAGGGCCAGCTTTGTGTCTGCAAGCCATCCACGATGCCCGCTACATAGCCCAAAATGCAAAATCAGGAGAGTGTGCAAGTCATCCTGGCTCTGATTCAACCCAGCATGGAATGACGCAACCCAAAGATTTTTGGAAGGGTCGCCCGCAAACTTCCTGAAGCCACGGGTTCTCGCGATTGCCGGAATCTGTTGCAAAAGTGGCTGTGGGCCACGTCAGGTGTAGAGCCATATTCGAGTCCAGCGTCTAGTAAAGCAAAATGATATGTACCAGACTGTGAGTACTGTCAAGCAAGCGAGGGTTGCAGCATGTTTCAGTCCAAAATCATGTTTTTGCTCAGCTTTCCAAGTAGCTGCTTTGTTCATGTGCTTGATCCTTAGAACAGGAAGACGCTTCCAGTGTGGCTAAGCTGACGCGTAGTTGCTCAGCGTGCAGCCCGGGTTTGTTGAGCTGACTTGACCTGTGTGTTTTGGGCCCCAGGTTTACTGTTGACCCCGCAATCAACCCCTGTTTATTCATATTAGGGTTGGTTCCCTCCAAAAGTGATGATTCCCCACTGAGCCCAGAGACACCCGCCCGGTAATAAACAGGGGGTTTGTAGTCAAAACCAAACCCAAGGCACACCAGGCCACCCAAGGACACCCACGCGGCCTGACGGGCAGCACCGCCAATCCATTTGGCCGCCTGAATCCGAGAAACAGATTGGCCGGCGCGCCGCAAACAACACCGGGGAAGGCATACCAAGCCAAGCCCGAGTGACCCTTTTGATGTTTTTTTGATTACAGCGATCACTCCAGTCACCAAGGGAAAGATGAAAGACAATGCAAGATTCCTGTTTTCTGCTGGAGTATTGTGCGACTGACTGATAAGAAATAGGCTCACAGGGGGCGACATGACATGGGAATACATTACCAACCAAGTGAAGCCAAAGCCAGCGGGGAAAAGAAAAACCATGCACAACGAATCCACCGTTTTCGCTGGCAACCGAGCCATGGGTGAAACAGTTCAAGCGGCTTGGCCGCCCGTTTTCTGCGACGCTCATCTGGCTGTGGGTCAAAAATAGGTACCCCATTTTTTTCTGGTAAGTGGACACCTGGACCAAAACTTGCGGTCCCTGGTGGTTTAATTTTGACCCATACCCAGCTCAGCCCCTGGTACGCCATGATGAAACCTCTGAGTGCCCTCTCCCCAAACAGCAAGCCTCACAGAATTGCATCACATCCGACACTTCTTGCCTCCCAACAAAGGATACAAATGTGACGAAGATCACGTTCAAAGCACCCAGGACACCAACAGCGCGAACTTGCCGGGCGCTTCTGTACAACTTGCGGTCAGCGGGAGAGGCTCCGGCTGCGTGCCTCAAAGCATGAAGTGCCCCAGAGACCCCCGAAGAAAACCAATGCTTTTGGGAGCTCCGGCTATGATTCACATACAAGTGCACCGACTCACTAGACACATGGACACAACGAACAAATCAGCCACGACTTCTACATTTGTGTGCCAAACAACAAATCAGAGCTTGCCAAGCGGAAGACTTGGCACAACCAAGTCGTGAAGTACAAGCTTTTCAGCAAGACTTGCCCAGTCTGAGTTGCGAGCATGCTTGCCCGCATGGACCGGTCCAACGCAGGTGTTGGTTTTCATCTCAAACTGGACGCACTGAGCAAGAAGTCCGCCCTAGTTCGAAACTCTGCCACGTGGTATGACATCATCCTGCACTTTCTACTTTCTATGGCCTCCCCTACCTTGCATGCCATCGTCAAGTGTGCCCGACAAGCCCTGACGCATCCCCAGCGAGCACTTTAGCGCATCGTCTCGCTGTCATGTACCAAGCGGTACGTTGGCCGGGAGGATGACAGCCCGAACAGCGCAGGCGATACTCGTCTGACACTGGCGGCGCTCTGGACATGCATGCCCCACACCCGGCCATCGGTGTGTGTGCCGAGGCTTCCTGACTCGTTAAAAGCGCCATCAGCACTTGGGTAAGGCAGTGGCAGAACGCTGGCGTGCGCAAATGGGTCCAACGGCTCCCATTCAGCAACCGCAAACGGACCTGCACGCAAGGCGCATGCCCATAAGCACAAGTTGAGAAAAGGCAAAGCCGTCAATCCAGCAACCAAAGAGTTGAAGGGGAGCAAACAATGATTCAATGACAACCGCCACGGCCACAATTGCAAACACCTTTTTCAGGCGTGGAGGGGGCTACCCAAGTCGCCTCTCGCCCGGCCTGGCGGGGGCCTTGAAACGGCTCCACACCGAAGCGCTTCCCCCTGGCGTGGTTTTCGGCATGCCTCTTCTTTGTCAACGGGAGGTCTCTCCAGGTGCGCGTATTGCAACAGTTGAGCCATTGCAGGAGGTTGTTGTAAACAAAAATCGCCAGGCAGGCCCACAAATTAAGCCAATCCTGCAGAACAGCCTATCAGAACCCCCCCTCCCCAAACCCAGCGTGCGCCATGCGTGGGTGAGCTGTGCTGCGGCTACATTGTGTGAGGTGTGGAGTGTGGTGCGGCGCGCAAGCGCGTCTGTGTATATATGTGTGCATATGTATGTATACAGATATATATATATATAGATACGCATATTGTCTGTCTCTGTCTCTGTCTCCGTCTGTCTCTGCCTGTCGCCTGCCTGCCTCTCTGTCTGTCTGTCTCTCTGTTTGTCTTTGTTTTTCTGCGTGTCTTTCTGTGCGTGTCTTTCTGTGCGTGTGTGTGTGTGTGTGTGTGCATGTGTGTGTGCATGTGGTGTCTGCATTTGTACAATCCCTTGTCTCTCTCCCTCTCTCTTTCTTCTTTCTCTTGTTTTTTCTCTCTTTCTCTCCCTCTGTTTCTCTTCTCTGTCTTTCCTTCTCTCTTGCGCATTCTTTGTCCTTCCCCTTTCTCTTTTTCAACCTATTTACTTTGTGTCGCGTCCATCTACCTACCTGACCCACCCATCTACGCATCTAATCATCTATCCACATTTTACAAACTTGTCTATCTATACCTCCGTCTATCTATAGTTGTCTACCCATGCGTGTACTTTATCTCGCTCCATTGATGTATCTAACTGTATCTTTGTCTACAATATCCATCTGGGAACGTGTTTGCCTGCAACGAAATCTGCGCCTGATGCCACAAAATTCGTACCTAACTTGGCAAAAGCGCTGCGTGTGTCACCAGGTCTCTGCCCCTGACCTTACCAAAGCGCCCCGCCTGCGCGACCTTGCGAAAGTGCCACACCTGCACGAGCTCTGAACCTGACTTTGCGAGCGCCTGCCACGAAATCTGCACCTGACCCTGCGAGAGCGCTGTGCTTTCCACAAAAACGAAAGGGCTGCGCCTGCCAGCAAGCTGATGTCAAAAAGCGAGCGCGTCCGTGCCATGTGAGCCCAGCTCCGAGATCACTCCGATCGTTCCAACGCTTTCCGGCCAGGAATCGCGATGAGGTGAGCTTTCAGCTACCCAGAAGAGCTGAAACCCACACACGGTGGCACTTCTCAGACATGTTTGTCGCACGTGTGCCCTTGTTCTTGTGACTTCTGTTGGAGCTAGTGTCCGTGCAAGCACGACAGGGAGACGGCAAGCTGCCTTGTTGGGGTCTGGTCTAGGTAGGCATTCCAAAAGAAAGGACGCTGACCCTTGCTCTCCACGGTTCGCTCCCTTTCTTCCGCGTGCAGCCCTCTTCAACACAACGCCTCATAAATCCTGACAAGCAACGAAAACAAACGCCGGCCCTTCGGCAGGTCGCCTGCCGATTGTGCAGCCATGGAGTCCCCATTGTGGATGAGCCACCTGTGTGAGTGCAAAGGGAAGCGGGGGCGCGCTGAGTACATCGTCTATGGGGCAAAGGCAAAACATAAAGGAGACGCAATGAAGTTGCAAACCCTGGCCTTGCCAATTGTGATAAAACCTGGCTTCTCCAGTGGGCGTCTCACAGTGTCCATGCTCCCTGTTGCATACATGACATGGATGAGCCAAGTCGTGCCCCCAGCCCCAGCCCCGCGGCACTGCTGGCAAGGCTCGGTGAAGGGACTGCTGCCCGTTCTTCGATGCTGCCAATGCGTCCGCCACTGGTCCTCAAAAAGGCCGTGCACCCAAAGCCCATCTCGAGACAAGCTTCACGTGCCCGAAGGATCTGGGACTGGCAGCTTCACCTTTTGCGAGAACACGACAAAACATGGGCCAAAACTTTGAAAGTTTAGCTTTAGTTCAGCTTAAGAATCGCAGCTGTGAGCCACAGCCCACCCAAATCCAATGACCTCAACCGCTTGACAACCGAGATCCAAATACATGAGCTAGGCCCTGGACCTCCCGCCCACAACGCCCGCCTCGGACAGGGGGATGGGCCGTGGCACTGGCTGGGGCGAGCCAACGCGGTGGCTCCTGAGCTGCCCAATGGCAGTCCATGGGACTGGGTCCAAAGTGACATCCTCAAAATGACCTTACGGTGGTTTAGAGGGCACCCTCCGCCAACGATTTGAGAACCCCAGAGTGCCTGCCTTGCTCGCACAAGTCTGCAGAGAAGCTAGCAAGATTCCATGTTGCATTATGTTGCCAAATCCACAGGCATGAGGTGCGCGTATGTAAGTGCGGATCCATTCCTTAAGGACCCAACGGAAGTATACCTCTGGGTCGTCTGGGCGAACACAATCGAAATCCATTGATTTGGCTTGGGTGACGATCTTTAGCTGCTAAATAGAGTCCAAGCCTAAACCAGGTTCCCCGTGTCGCACCTGTACAGCAGTTGAAGCTTGACCCAATGGTTCTTCCCCGCATGCAGCTTGCAGCTTGTTGCAAAAGAGGCCTCCATTGGTCGCGTGTTTGCGTGGCAGGCCTGCACTTCGGAAGGACTGATGCCCTCCCAGTGCCCCCCCCAAACCGACACAAATCTTTATGTGGCAACAAGCGACCCCTTCTGCCAGCTTCCGAGTGAAAGCCAATGCGCCCTGGTCACCTGAGGAAGGCTTTGTTGGGAACCCCGGAGACCCGGCGACTCTCTTTGCCCAAGCCGCTGCCGTCCCAGCGGGGAGAAGCTGCGGCTGGGGCTGGGGCTGGGGCTAGCCCGCTCCCGGCTCGGGGACCTGGCCCCAGCCGCGTTCCGTTTGGTTTGCATACCCTCAAAAAACACACCTTCATGCAAACCTCAAAGCAAAAGGCTTGTCCAAGTATCCCGCTGCATCCCACCATGCTGTGGACATAACCGTTTCTTTGATTCAACAGTGGTCTTCCGTGACTACATGTTTGACTGCCCCCGGACACGGGCTTCATCAACTAGGGTCAGTAATCCCGCATATTTTATTGGGTCCTGTATTGCCGCATGGAGTGAGACTTTCAAAACTATCGCCATGCGCAGCTTGGATCTCTTCATACTTTATGATGCGGGGTTTCGGGCCTTGGGAGGGGGCCCTCTACAGTAACTCTTAGGATGGGGGGACAGTTCGGGAGAAGGCCCTCCAACACAGGACGCACTCGGCGGGCAAACGTCGCAAATGTTCAAGGATGTTCAAGGGGATTCCCCAGTTGTTTGCTTTAGGAACACCCCTGCTTGTCATTGTTTGAAGGACTCAGCCGTAGTTGTGCTCGAATCAAAGGTCGCTGCAGAAATATCTTGCCACATCATGCCACCTTCCTGGCTGCCCGTGACATGCATTGGACCAAATTAGAGAACTGGCATCTTAAACCCTGAACACTGGAATGGATAAATAT